ACCATCCTGAACTTCTTTCAGAATGAGCCTGTAATTTTCGGAGTCCAGAACATCGCATGTGGTGGGGCCCACAATGTCGACGACCACCACTATCCATCCTCCTGCGGCAAGAGCAGCAGTGCCCTGGGCCTGTGGTCCCACTGTTCTGGCGGGACGTTTGTCGCCCCGTACCGGTACGGGTGCCAGCTTGGCGGCTTGGGCAGCTGGCTTGGCCCCTGCCGATGCGGTGCGGCCTGCACTGGCCTTCGCTTTCTTTGCAGTGGTGACCTGGACGGTCTCTGGTTTCTTGGAACCAGCTTCACCCCTGAAGAGGATGCCGCAGCCCTCTCCTCGGGGCTTTCTTCTTTGCGCCCTTTCTTTTCGGGCGGTGCGCTGGGATCCGACTCAGGCTGTTTCTTGCGCTTGGAGCGCTTTGCACCAGATGCAGTGTCACCGGCAAGGGTAGGAGGTGCTGCCTCACCCTCGCCTGTTTGGCGCTGTCAGTCTTTCTTGCATTGGCTTGCCTGATGGGGACCCAGGCAAAGGTTGCATTGGTGACTGCGCCCGTTGGGGCATCTTGACTGTGGCTTGCCATTGCCGCACTGCCCCTTGTTGAACTTGATGCAAATCTGAAGGCCCTTGCGGTTGAGGGAGAAGACCTTGTTGTTGTCGTCCCACTTGCTCTTGTCTTCCCCCGTGTACTTCTTCTTTGCCTTCTTCTTCTTGAGCTTCGGGCTCGAGGACTTCTTCCTCTTTGGCGATGGCCGCTCTGGGGCCGACTCGATCGAGGAGTCCGAGCTCAGCCCACAGGCTATGGACTTGTTGCGGGCCAAGAGCAGTGTGCTTGGGGTCACCACTTCCCTTGTCCAGAAATCTTGCTCCCGGACCGCTTCCGCGAAGATGGCAGCCCAAGGGTTGGCGGGTGTATACCCATGCCGTGGGTCGTCGTCCAGCGCCCGCCGGATTCTCTCCATGTACTCGGACCGCATGCGGGTGTCTGCACGGTATATGATCCCCCAGCATGCTGGCCCGAAGCGATTGTGGAACTCCTTGACGTGTTCCATGTAGGCCTCGAGCCTCTCGGGGTCCGCAGCCTCCAAGAGCACCATCGCCACCTTGTATGTTTTGAAACACTTTTCCCAGGCGACGATGCTCTCTGGGCCAGGGGCTTCTTTCTTGCTCCATTCCCCCGATGCCGCATTCAACACGTAGCTCTTGAACACCGCTTTACGCAGCGTTCTGAGCCCGTGTGGACCCCACAGTGACATGTCCGCGTATGGCGTGGCGTTCGCCTTCAACAGTTGTGCCAAAGCCGACAATTGGTCGATGCTCGGCTCAACCTCCGGCGATGGGTGATCACCGAACCTGCTTTTGTACTTGGCGTACATTGCACTGACAGCGGTCTGTTCCAACTGGACCACCTCTGAGTCCAGAGTTGGGTCAATGACCACTGACAGTTTGATCTTCCTTGTTGGGGAACCTTGTGAACTGGACGGGGGCTGTGCCGGAGTTGTAGCAACCCCAGGGCGTTGTATACCCGGATCCCCCGGTGTGTCGGGCGTCATCTGCATCCGGAGCATCACCACCCGTCGAAAGATTTCCAGCCTCGAGCCCTCCACTGGTGTGGGTTCACGTTGACCTGGTGGGTCGCCTGGATTGGCTGGTGCTGTCGGTACCCTCAGGAGGACAAGTGCTGCGTCCCACACCGGGCGTGTGATGAATGCAATGTCCCTGAGTTTCGTCGGGGTGCCGAGATCTTTGAGGAGACCCTCTTTCAAAGGGCCCTCAAGACCGGCCCAGTCTGCCACGTCGTCAATGGTCTCCATGTTGTTGAGCTCCTCTTCGGTTGGGTCCATGTTGCAAGGCAGGACCCTCCCTCAAAGGAGTAAGTTCCGAACTCGTAGAGCTCCTTGGTGTTGCGGAACCAGCCAATGTGGCTCTCCTCCTCAGATTGGGTCGGCTCTGCACCGATTGGCGCAAGGAGCTTTCCCTGAGGTTGGAGAAGGCCAAGCTGATCGCTCGTCGACGGCGCACAAAGCGCAAAGCCCGGGATGTAAGCACTTCCCAAGGGCCCACAACGCGAGAGGTTGCGGCTCGGGTGTTTCCGATCCCAAACCGGACCCAAAAGGTACGGAGGAACCAGCCACACAGGACCCCCAGCCCGTAAGTGCTAACCAGCACCCACAGGAGGAGGTCCACACCCGGATCCTCGGTCGGTTGACCGAAGGGACCAGGTGCTGCGTCGCTGCCTTCCCCACCTAGCCCTGGGCCCATTGAAATGAAAACACCCCAGCCTTGAGCCAAAATGGCCACCAAGGCCGAGGCCGAAATCTGATCTGTAACCAACCTGACGGCAAAGGATTTGGTAGTCATCCCTCATCACAAGCATCTGCTTGGAGCACTATCCGCTTACAAAGTTGGTAAAGACAATGGTTAGTAAGTCTCCCAACTGGAATTACCTCTGTATTTACTTGGTCCTCACCGTTTACTCATCACAAATAAATGTGATAAATATGGATAAGCCTGAGAAGAGGGGACGAAAGCCAGGGTCAAGTTTGAACGGGGACAGGAGAGTGGAGAGCATGGGAGGGAGTGCGGCGGGGGGTTGGTGGGGGCATCGGGGAGGGGCGGAGGGGCCGGCGGGGTGAGGCTGTGTTGGGTGTGGGCGTGGGGAGCCCTTGGAGAGAAGGAAGTAATGTGTAGGAAGAAGGAGCGGAGGGAAGAAGTGTGGGAAAGGTCGGGAAGGGTGAAGAGAGCGTAGGAGGAAGTGGAACGGGGGGCTGGTTTAATTAGCTGACAGGGCGCAAAGGAGCCCGGAAGGGGAGAGGACGTGTCGGCGGCAGGGAAGGCAAGGAAGAAAGGGAAGCGAGCGCCTGTGGAGAAAGAAGCTGAGGGTGTGTTTGAGAAATAAAGGGAAGGCGGGTGGGTGCTCCGTACTCGACACTTTAGAGTGTACACTGGACATTATACACTTCACAGTCCACAGTCGACACTTGACACACTAGACTGTACACGCTTCACTCTAGGCCCCATACTTTAGACTTTAGATGTTACACTTTACACCCTTCACTCGTCACTGCACACTTGACACGCCATACTCCACACTTTACACTCCACACTCTACACTTGACACGCTACACTTGACACTCTAGACGCTACACTCCACACTCTACACTTGCCACTGTACACCCTTCACTCACATTCTGCCCTCTACACTTTACACTCTACATTGCGCACTTTACACACTTTACACCCCACACTCCACACACACTGTACACTTACACACTGCACTTTACACTCTACACTTTACACTCCACACGCGACGCTCGACACTGTACACACTAGACTTTACACTCGACACTCTTCACTCTACACTCCATACCGTACACTTTACACTTTACATTTTATATTCCTGTCCTACCGCCGGGCATCAGCACCCATCTGCAACTTGCACCCTGCGGGCTCCTGTCCTTTAGTTCTCAGCAGCTACCTAAAAGAGTATCACTCCAAATGGCCTCCAAGCCACGCCCTTTCTTCCTTCCAATCGAACCATATGCACCGCCACACTCCACACCGCACACTCTACACTTTACACACTCCACTTTACACTTTACACTCTTCCCTCTACACACCATACTTTATACGTTACACGTTACACTCCTCACTCCTTACTGCACACTTTACACTCCACACTCCATACTTTACACTCCACACTCTACACTTCACACTCTACACTTTACACTCTACACTCTACGCTTTACACACTACACTTTACACTCTACACTTACACTCCACACTCTACACTTTAAACTTTACACTTGACACTCTACACTCCCACACCTTACACCCTTCACCCTGCGGGCTCCTTTGCTTCCCAACAGCTACCTAAAAGAGCCTCACTCCACATTCCTCTTGTCCCTCCAACCTTCCCCCCATCGTACACCCCGCCCCAGCCATCATGTTTCCATACGTCTACTACATGAGGAAATTGTACGCAGAACTACCTTCTGTATCTCTCCATAACCCCACGTGCCACATTGGCTGCGGGAACGCCGACAGCGGTACATGAGGCTAAGTCGAGGTTTCCGGGAATCACAGAGAAGCAAAATTGCAAGAACTTCAGCAAAACGGTTCACATGGCGACTTACACTAGACTTTACACTCTACGCTTTACACTCCACACCGCGCACTCTACACTTTACACACTCCACTTTACACTTTACACTCTTCCCTCTACACACCATACTTTTTACGTTACACGTTACACTCCTCACTCCTTACTGCACACTTTACACTCCACACTCCATACTTTACACTCCACACTCTACACTTCACACTCTACACTTTACACTCTACACTCTACACTCTACGCTTTACACACTACACTTTACACTCTACACTCTACACTTACACTCCACACTCTACACTTTAAACTTTACACTTGACACTCTACACTCCCACACCTTACACCCTTCACCCTGCGGGCTCCTTTGCTTCCCAACAGCTACCTCAAAGAGCCTCACTCCACATTGCCTGCCCACGCCCCAAAGAGCCCGCCCAAGCCACCCTCTTGTCCTTCCAACCTTCCCCCCATCGTACACCCCGCCCCGAAACTCCAATCCGTCTCCTTTGTTTTTTTCCTTCCATTCCCTCTCTTCTTCCATTACTCTTTCCAAGTTTTCCATTCCACTCACTCCAAATGCACGTCGGAGGACGGACCAGAGGGGAATCGAACCCCACCGTCACCCAATTGCCACCTGGTACATCAGCCTCAAAATCGACCACGGTGGCCACCCTAATTAGGTGGGAAAATCGTCCGTTTGGAGACGACCACCCCCCAGACCCCCTATTCTCACTTCGTTCGCAATGAGCAACTTCACCATGCTTGACAGCTGGCTTTCGTAATCATGGGACATGTGAACTTCAATGACCGCTATTACCCGTATTGCTGGTGATATTGGCTATATCACACTGGCTATATCATTCTTCTCCACCGCCGGGGTTCCCACATTGGGCTAGGCCTGCCGCTGCTCCGGCGCCACATTGCCGATGATCTTCAAGGCGCAGGGCCGGTCCTTCCGTCGCTGGATCTGCTGCAGCAAGACGTCGATGGCCGACAGACTGCTGCTGAAGACCAGGGCCTCCAGGGCCATGCTGGCCATGCTGGCCATGGTGGGCCATGGTGGGCCATGGCATGAAACGGGACCTTTTACGTGGGGATGATGGTTGATGATTTGATCATACAAATCCATGGGGCTTTAAGATGTGTTTCAAATTGCATAATCCAACATCTTCCAATATTTCTGAAGCTTTCCTCCTCTCAACAGCACTCAAGTTATGATTTGCCGGACACCATTTCCGAAACAATTTTTTGGACCCCACTATAACCCGCACCTTTTCCCCAGCTGCCAGGATGTTGTCCAGCAACTCGTGGAATTTGGCACATTTGCCGCTGAGTTCAATATCAGTTGCTGGATGTGATCCGGTACCATGTGGACGACGCTTCTCCGGGAGACAGGCCGGATGATTGCCTGGTGAAGCCACATTGTGAACCACTTGGGCTTGGGTTCCACCAAAGCGGTGGTTGAACACCACAGCGGCGGGTCATTACCAAAAACACTCCCATAGTAATTTCGGATAATCTTCCCAGCAGATATGTCGTACATCGCACTTGCTGGAATATATTGATCACATCTCATTGTTAGCATCAAAAATGGAAACATACAGATTGGTTCTCTAACTTTCATTCCTTTCACCACAAACAAACTTGGATTGGTTCAGCGCCTATTGGTCCCCAGTCCAAAACCCATTAATGCCAATTTGGAGATGAGTACCATCATTCTTAATAATTCAAAGGTGGTCATTGGGGTACGTGGTTTTGACCAACAAGCATATCCATTCCCATCCCATGTCCCCATGTCCAGTTGCAAACTTCTCTCATGGCTTGAAGCATCTCGAGGACCTTAAAATTGCGACCAGATCCGCCGCAAGCAGCCCATTGCATCTTCTGAACCAATGTGTAAATCTTCCTCGCCCAGGACCCAGGATTATCAGGATTCCAGGACCCCAAGCATTCTCCCTACGCGAGCGGTGAAGCCATGTGAAGCCAATATTTGACGTGCAAAGGGCTAAGGGGACAGGGGACACCAAAACTGCCACTGGTGGGAGGAAACACACCTGATACCTGGAAGATCCTGGAAGATCCTGGAAGATCCTGGGAGATCCTGGGAGATCCTGGAAGTCAAAGGGCTGACGAGGCTAGGAACTGTGTAGAACAAAACAGGTACAAAACGAGTGAGAGGCGCAGTGATGTCATGTGCCATGGCGGTCCTCTGCTTGGGGCTGAGTTCACATTCGTGAGTTTGCTGAACTTTATCAGGTAGATCGGCTGAAATGGCAGGATCCGTTTTCAATCGTCTCAACAGAAAAGGTTCCTTCATTCGGTTCAGCAGGGATCGTTTTTCTTCGGCCACATTGCAAAGATTACCTTTCCGCGCTGCTAGCTTCAACGGTTGGCCGAAGGTTCTTTCGAAGTCGCTTCTGGAGGACAAATAACCCGGAAGAATGAAGTCCTGAGCACCATAATCAATGGAGCAGCTGATGGGCAAACCCATAAAAAACACCATGGTGTTTTTACCTTCAGATCATGAGATTCCTACAAATTTCCCCTGAAATGAATCTGATACATAACCGATCACAGTCAAGGTGAATTCAAAAAGTATCGGCCTTCAAGTATTGATATTCTGAGACCGACAAACACAAGAAAAACACTGCTGAACAACACAGACAAGATTCGAAGATACTATGCAAATCCGTCAAGCTGTTCTCCACAGGTGTCCCACTCAAAGCTACTCTCAAATGACCAACCACTTCCGCCACATCCTTCACCGCTTTAGATAACTTTGTGTTGAAATTTTTGATGTGTTGCGCTTCATCCAAAATCATTCCTCCAAACCCTGGAATTGCCAAAAGTTCCGCATCATTTCGCAAGATCGCGTAGGAGGTCAACACCACATCCGGCGCAGAAGGCTCCACCACAGGAGGCTCCACCGTTGGTTCGGCTTGTTTGAAATTCAGACGCCGGCGCTTCGGGGACCCAGCGGCTCCAGCGGATGACGGGAAGGATCGCAGCGATGGCAGCTGTCGGCTTTTGCCATAAAACAGGTGGACCCTCAAATCCTTGGCCCAATGCTCCAACTCCCTTCGCCAGGTCTGTACTAAGCCGCTGGGAACCACGATCAAAATGGGTTTCAAGAGATTTTGCTGCTTCAGATACATGATCAAAGAGATGGTTTGAAGAGTCTTGCCCAAGCCCATATCATCTGCCAACAAAGATCCAAAGCCATTACGAACATTGTTCACCAACCAACGGAAACCGGTCAGTTGGTATGGTCTCAACGTGTTGACCAGCACAGTCGGAGGTGCCACATCTTTGGGAACGAAGAGCCCCACAGGTCCACTGAAAAAATCCCGGACCTCCACATCCAACACAACTTTGTGACTCCCTGCCCCCAGGGCCGCTTTCAGGAGAGCAAAACTGTGCAGTGGATCTGCGGTCGGTATGTTGCGATGCTTTAAGATTTTCTCAGCCACGGCTCGAGATAAGCGAAATGCTCCCAACGTTTGATTGGAAAAAATGTGTTCTTCGCGGTCCGCTTCGGTTTCACCCACCACCTGTCTCCAACACAAAAAAACAAGGCACCCCAAGACCTATCCAAGATTTTGGCTCTTGTTTGGATCATCACATTCTGGTCATGTGTCATGACTGCGGATTTGAACATCAACCATCTTTTATTTTCTGGCTACTTCCCTGGTGTTTCCCTTGGACCATGCGATTTTTCATGGCCGGCCACACCTGGTAGGCAGCTGTTTTGAAGACTCCCAGTGGTACAAGCTGGCGGAGGCCAGCGGCAGTTTCCATGGCCACGGACCATTCCACGGTGACGTAGGAAGAGATGTCGCGCCACTCCTGGTGGAGCGGGGGACTGCCATCAATGATCGGGTTCATTGAGCTGTGGTTATCATGGTGATAGTATGTTATCAGTTATAATGATTATCCATTGCTGAATATTGTTGATATATCATGACAATGATTAATTTGGTGGTTAGTGATTAATAACACTTGCGCAAAATGGATGAACATAGTTGAACATAGATGAACCTGTATAGACCCTTTCCCGCGGGCAAAAGAAATTTGCGATTTCTGATTCAAATCGCATTACTATTGGTAAGAGATAAGCTATGGTGTTGTTCAGGATGTGCAAATATGTTCCCTCTCCCAAATCGAACCCACGGGTGACTAGTACTATCAAATATTCCAGTTGACCAGCCACACTTGTCTTCCGCACATCATGGGGCATTATCTACCAATGGTTGATATTGGATGGTTGAACATAGATGGCCAAGTACTGATCTACTCTCCTCTAACAATCAACATCAACCAACCATCTACGTTCAACCAGTATTATCCATTGTAATTAAATACGAAGAATCAATCCCTGCTATATACACTATACTGACCACTAAGTGGCCACTATGATAGAACCATTACTAACCACTGCAACCATTATTAACTTAACCACAATTAATCAACCATGATTGAGCCTTACATACCCTTACCCATAATTAATATCACTGATCATTCGAACGGCCGACCCCTGCAATTTCACTCCCATCTCCTGCGGTCTGTCGCTCGTCTTGAAGCGAGCGACCTTCACTACCCGAAGTGTGCGGGCGCTCCCTTCCGCTTCGCGTTTCGCCTGGTGATTTCGGGATCGGCGTCCGCCATCCCATAGGATATGGTGATGATCAGCACGGAAAACCCTCATTGTGACCGATGTTACTGTAATCATTATCAGCTGCCTTTCAGAATCACAACACGCATTCGCCAGTGTACACTTCTTCTACATCCGTGATTCTGGGTTATCCACGACTATGGTGGCAAAGCTTTCAGACTGAAGACTGATTCACATTGAAGTTCACCAGCTGTCATGGTGCATCATTCAGATCTTATATCATCAATGAAGTGCAGATTTTAATGGAACAGATCTTATATCATCAATGAAGTGCAGATTTTAATGGAACAAAAACCAACATTATTATATCATCAAAGTGAACAGAGCTGATTCAATTCAATGTTATCATCTGACCTTTTTTTTTTGGAATCAAAACAAACACTATTGCCATTGATTCTCAAATCAACGCAATTCATGACAGGGACGCTCTGGGAGACAGGATGATTCACTGGCTTCAAATACTTGGAGTATCTGTTGGGAAAGATCCACGATCTGTGTGATTCAATGGTGGCAGACTCTTTGCAAAATTGGGATGGTTTAGTCCCTTGGGGTACCTGATTTCTTCTGCCGCCATATCCATATCAAGCTTTCTAAACCTATCCATGTATTTCGCCAAGCTTCATCTTCAGCTTCGCGATGTCTTTCAACGAACTTCTCCTTCCAAGGAGAACCCATCGAGATGGCAGTGGTTGGGAACCATGGCTTGGAAGATGATCATTTGGGACCCTCCAAGAAAAATATTCCAAGCGCATGTTTTAACCATTGTATGCGGGAAAGACATCATGATTATGAACACCACAGACTCCACCACTGTCATGGGTCTAAAAGTTGGCTTCTGGACATCCAAAATTCCACAAAGTGCGGGTTTGAGGGCCAAATCTTCGAGGTGCGTGACGCAGTTGATTCATTTGGTATATAAAACGGTGATTTTCGGTTGTTTGCTGTATAATTTGCCAGTATACTGGTTTACTTACTAACTTACTACAGTAGATCAGTATTATTACTGTGAGACAAAATTTGCTAGCCACGCATGTACCAATAGTCCAGTAATTATCCGGTCCATTTTGGGGATGTGATCAGGAGGGTACCAGGGTGCCCTGACCTATCCATTGTATTGGGATGTTCATCAGTGCCAGGGTTCTGAATGGAAAAACAAACCAGTATAGTGCATTGTTGTGGATATTTGTGATACTATTTAGATAACTCTTGAATATGCCAACATTCATTGTACCCAAAACCACATCGACGATGTTCACATCGGCACCTGCTCCGCTTGCAATGCCTTCAGCTGGGCATCGGCTTCGACGGCTGCAGCGCAACTCTTCTCTAGCTCCTCCTGGAGGGGAGACATGGAGCATTGATCATTGGCAATCATCAACCAAAACACAAGAGTAAAGATGATCATGATCTTTATTTATACCATTTGTTGGTTCCTATACCACAATAAACTGTTCGAAGGAAGTTTTTAAGTCAAACTTCCGACAATATGGAGAGATGAAAAGCAGAGCAGGGAAGAGGCATAGAGAAGAGAAAGATTAGAAGAAAGAATAGAAGAGAAAGAGTAAGAAGACAGAAGATGCAGATGCGCGAAAAGGTAGGAAAGTCGCGAAACATTGTGTTTTTCCAATGATTTGTGGCTCCGGAGGGTCGAAAAGTAGGCTCGCTAAAGCGGCGGGTGCGGAGCCAGCTGGCCACAGGAGCGATGAAAAGTTGCACGCCGTTGTGGCGCGAAGCACATTTCGAAGTCAAAAGTGTTAAAAACTGGCGGTCTCGGACCACTTTTGGAAGTTGAGATGTCGAAAAAGTACACGCCGTTGTGGCACGAAGCACATTTCGAAGTCAAAAGTGTTAAAAACTGGCGGTCTCGGACCACTTTTGGAAGTTGAGATGTCGAAAAAGTGCACGCCGTTGTGGCGCGAAGCACATTTCCAAGTCAAAATGCACAAAACACACCAGCTTCGGACCACTTTTGGAAGTTGAGATGTCGAAAAAGTGTACGCCGTTGTGGCGCGAAGCACATTTCGAAGTCAAAATGTTAAAAACACCACATGTTCGCGCCACTTTTGGAGGTTCGGATGTGGAAAAAGTGCACGCAGTTGTGGCGCGAAGCACATTTCCAAGTCAAAATGTACAAAACACTAGGGGTTCGGACCACTTTTGGAGGTTCAGATGTCGCTTCGCCGCTTCGCTTCACTACACTACACTACGTTACATTCCACCACACTCCACTATACTACACTACATTACACTACGCTACACTCCACAACACTACAACTACAACTACACAACTAGACTACACTCCACTACATTAAATTTCACTACACTACATTACACTACACTATGCTCCACTACACTACACTACATTAAATTACACTACACTCCACTACACTACATTACACTACACTACGCTCCACAACACTACAACTACAACTACACAACTACACTCCACTACACTCCATTACACTAAATTACACTAAACTACACTACATTACCCTACACTACACTCCACTACACTACACTACACTACATTAAACTACACTACCTTCCACTACACTTCACTACATTACACTACACTACACTCCACTACACTACAACTACGACTACACAACTACACTCCACTACACGAAATTACACTACACTACACTACTTTACACTACACTACACTACATTCCACTAAACTCCACTACACTACACTACATTACACTACACTACAATACACTGAATGACACTGCACCACGGATAGACAGGTAGACAGGTAGACAGATAGACAGATAGATAGATAGACAGATAGACAGATAGACAGATAGACAGATAGATAGACAGATAGATAGAAAGAAAGAAAGATAGATAGATAGATAGACAGGTAGGCAGCTAGATAGATAGACAGATGAAAGATAGATAGATAGATACATAGATAGATAGATAGATAGATGGATAGATAGATTGGGTAATTAGATGAAAGAGAGAGAGAGAGAGAGATAGATAGATCGATAGATAGATAGATAGATACATAGAAAATAGATAGGTAGGTAGGTAGATAGTCAGAGAAAGAGATAGAAAGAGTGAGAGAGATCAAGCACCTTTCAGTCCATCAGTGGCTTCGCTCTGCCATCCCTGATTCACAACAACCAACCTCTCCTATAGGTTTTCTATTTTTGAAACTTCCGCCACCGCCTTGTGCGGTACTACTGGTATCCAAACAATTAATACGAATACAACTGTTTTAATACCATCATTATACCATCTTTCCACCACTCGATGGAACTTGGGCCTTGTGCTTGACACAGGGTGGTTCTTTAGATGTTGTCACGATTAGCCAAGTGTACGCCATCATTAGTCATCATTATTATTGTTATATTATATTAGTTATTACACCATCAATCACCAGATCTCAATCTCCCAGTTGTCACTCCTTGAGCTCTTCTGCCTCTTTGGTGAGCTCCGTTACCCTCTGAGAAAACCAGACCTGTCGTTCTCCCAGGCTACGGGTCATCCCGGATCACCTTTAGGATAGCAATGGATAGTACATTTCTCTTAGAAACTTCGATACTTTTGACTGGAGACATCCAGGATCATGTCAAGTATCTGATGATTTTGGCCTGTCTCAACTTCCTTTTCCATTGAAAATCATTGAAACACCTTGTCAAATGACTTTTTTGGCTGATGATGTTTCAAGAGCTCTCAACATCCAACGCAGTGGACCCATGATTCAATGATCCGCCTCCTCCGAAGTCAAAGTACTGGCCGGAAGGCTGACATGTGCACTGTAGGAAGTCAGGATCACTTTCAAATTCAATGGATCTTCGGAGCAAAGACCCGTGACAACACCTGGAATTGGCAAGGGAGTCTGTGAATGGGCTTATGGAACCTTCTTGGGATACTATGAGTTGGGAGTGCTTCGAAAACGAAGGCTTTGTAAATTGGGTCCCAAATAACTTAATTTTTCATTCTTTTCATTCTTGATCTTTTCCTATTTTCCACCATTTTTTCGCCAACATGGATGGTTTTGGACTTTGGACCAATTGTTGATGACATTTCATGACATGTTCAGGTGCACCTTTTCTTCCCTCCTCATCTCGCACATAGTCCAGATAGGTAAACCCCAGCAGTTTCTGCGGTGCGGGTTGCTGAGGCCGAGGTTGTGGTGCGACAGGGTGATTCGGTGGGCGAAGGTTGCCGTTGGGGATCAGCAAAGTCGCGCCGTTAGGAAATGTGACCTGAACTCCAAAAAAATGCTACTAGCTGAGTCAATGACACAAATGATCTTAAGTCCAAAATGAACGATTATATACGATTATCATTAGTTATGGCATGTTATGGCACAATTTGGGGAAGAATGCCCATGACAAGTCGTTTTTTGACATCAATAGCCTCCACAAACCAAAGAAATCTCATGGTAGCAATTGAAGTCTTAGGTATGGATCAGAGGTGTGTATGCATGATTTTGTGCTGGAACAATGTGATGGGGTAGTCTGATTTGTCTTGCAATATGAGAGAGCAATCATCAGTATAATCCTGCTGCATGGCTAGTTCACGGGACTTGCGCGGCGCAGCTCTGAATTTTGATCATATATGATTGATAGCGATGGTTGATAATGATGATAGGTGATAATTGGTAATGATCGACGATCGGCAATGATCCATGATGATGGATGACGATGGCTGAGAAATCATAATTGACACTCATGAAACCATAATTGTTTGCTGATGCCTCGCAGAGCCAGTATATCTTTTTATATCTATGCATGGTTGGTCTATGATATATGTACATATAATTGTACATATACGACCTAAACAGCCAATTGTCCACCAAAAAAAAATCAAAAATCATCACCCAAGTGGCTTCAAAAGTGGTGTCAGACCTTCGTTGTTTCAACCTTGCACCGCTTCCACAGCGCTGGGCGACCTGATGCAGTTGCCGGGCCACGTCGGCCGACAGGGCTGGGGGTTCAACGATGGACACCACGCTGCCAGGGAGCAATTCGTAGTCCAACTCCTTCGGCGGAATCTGCCCCAAATTTGGCCATGGGTCAAAAAAAATAAAAAAAACATACCCACATCCAATTAGCATCCAATGGCCAATCTGAATTCTTTGGTCCGAAAACTGGATGTCAGATCTTGATGGCTCTTTGGCTCCCAATATCATCCAATAACATTTCACTTTGGGGATGATGAGTCGCCATCATGGTTCATCATGTTCGGATCATTTCGGATCATGTCAGCCACATGAAGATCAACAACCCATCGATGGTGGAACTGTAGATCCTAGTCCCAATAATATGGCCTCCCACAATCGCAAGCTGGGTTTTGGAAATGATGTTGGTAGACAACTTTAAACTATTCTTCATGCAATAGAATTATAAAACCCCGCAATATTGAGGGGCAAGTATGGGCAATGATTTCAAATGTATGAATGGAGGATTCTGCCAGAAAGACGGTAGTTAGCAATAATGATGAGGCTCAAAACAGTCACTGATCAAGAATATTCAAGGATGGCGCATGAGCGGGCTCCCAAATGGGGGTGTCTTGACATTGGAACGCGCCCAAAATTGCAGTTCAATAAGCCGACAGTTTGGCCAAGGAGTTGCTGGGTTGGAAGCTATTCCTCAGACAATGATAACATGATAGATAAAACTGATAGAACTATACTCTTGAATTTGTTGTGCAATCAAGGCTTCAGGCACCGTACACTTGTGTCAGATACATCGGTTCATTTGGGTTGCAACAGCCTCCCCCAGCGCCGCCTCCATAGCATCGGGTGGAACACATTCCAGCACGTTCCCAGAGTGCGGCAATGACAAGGTGTAGCTGAAGCCACTGAAATGACAGACCCGCCAATGACAGGACCCACTTTTGGCCGCTGCCGGCACCTGCAGCTGTTTCCAGTAGCTAGTTTTGATCCTCACCATTTGACCATTGGCAAAGGCAGCCGCTTCACCAGCCACGGTGGGAATGGCCTGAACACTTCGATGGCAACGCTTGGGTGTCAAGGGATGTTGCCATGGCTCAGGTGGTTCATAGATCAACAGCTCATGATCACTCATGTTCAATGGTATCACAAATAAATGGGAGAAAGATAAAGAACCGCGTTGAACCATGATGCTAATGATGCTAAAACTGGGAATCGGGGGGGCGTATGACTCCGATTACAAACCAAAAACAACAACGACGACACCGAACGCTCTCCGGTGACCTGGACTGTTCCACTGCTCTGTGCAGCTGAGGCTCCGCTGCTCTGGGTTTCTGCTTTGCCAGCATCCATTCGTGTCGCGCGTCCTCGCGTGGCGCCAAGAATTCGGACTCAAAGTGAGACTCAAAGGTGTCAGATTCCTGACGCTATTTGTAATGGGCATCCTTAATCATTTTCAGTAATTAATTCGCATCAGTGATCGGCATCAGATGTCATTTGTGCGGAATAGGTGTAATTGTTTTTTTTCGCCACCATGCTAATCGGCATGGACAGGCAATGGTGAACCGAAAAGGGATATCAACCAAGCATGGGAAAATGACAAGCCATCGGGCAAAACAGCAGGTCACTGGGAGAGGAAAATGACCCACCTGGTATTGAGAATCAAAGATTAGCTGAATTACATTTCAAAGCTTTATTGGCCATCGGCGTCTAAGCATGTGCGGGCCATGCTTTCCAGTGACAACCAAAAATCATTGATCATTCAGCCAGATCGGAAGTCTTCTCTCTCATCCCTCATGGGTAAAGCCTCGGTATAGCCATCTTTGATTCCAATGGGGGGCAACCACCAAAGCTCACCCTGCCTGGCTGAAGTGTGACATGGCTGGCAGGTCCTGGATGCGCTTGTGTTTGGATTGATATTCTCGGTCTCGGTTCCATCGGAGTCGCATCTTGTTGTCAAACTGTGCCTTTGCCTGCAATGCTGGTCAAGACTGTGGCTTTCAGTTCTCCAGTTTTCAGTGGAAAATAGCGCTAAGAATTATAGTCAACACCAAGGGAAAGGAATCAGGAAAAAACGAGCTGTCCTAGGCCCACCGATGGCCACATGCTTCGCCATGGTTCCCCTCATGGTTCCCCTCATGGTTCCCCTCTATGGTTCCTAGCCCCACCTCTTCCACTTTCTGCTCATGTTGGGTCATCTGTAGCTGTGCCTCCCGACATCCCATGGTGAAGTTGACCAGGTTGACCGTTTCCAGGTCCAGCAGCGGGTCATCTTCTGACGAGGACGATGAGGATGAGAACGACCCGCTGCTGGAGCTGTTGTTGGACATTGGCCACGCTTTTGCCGCGATCTTTGGTCAAAAGATTGGACCATGGGGAGGTTGAGCGGCGTTCAGAGTTGAGAAACAAGGGTGGTGTCTCTTTGGGAAAATGGAGAAAGTTTTGACCAAATACAATAACTTTTGGTGAAGCGTTTCCTGATCTGGAATGACAATAATCTGTGTGTTCTTTGGTGCTTTTGCCATTTAAGCTCCAGTTTCTCTGCAGGATTTCAATTCCTTCCATTTTCAATCTTGATCATCAAATCAGTTTACGCCGTCAACCCATCTCTTCATAAAGCCCCATGTCTTCGAGCAGCTCCAAAGTCATGGTGCCAATGGAGTTTTCACGTGGTTTCACATGTTTTCACAGTAAACCAGCATGAGGTGACGAAAGAACCAATGGGGAAACATAGAAATCATGGTTCTCAGTATGGAACAACCCCCATTTCTCGGGGGATCCAGTGAATGGCTGTATGTTTTGACATTGCATGGTGCATCTTCACGACAATGACTTGGTTGATTCTTTTTCATTCATATAAAGCGATTTCAAAAAGTCTCGGCATGAAAGTTTCAGCAGCGTCTCACCATCCACGGGTTTTTCCACTCGACGCATTTCTTTCAGTTTGGCACTAGTACAACATGCAAATACATGCAAGCCACAACCTGCGAAGCTGGGGCTTCGACTTGAAACATCATAGGTGATGACTTCAGCCCGTCTCCCCCGAAATAGTCAGTTGGGCTGGGCCAAAGTATCTTCCAAAAATCAGAGAACATACAGAAATCTGGCTGAAACAAATGAAACAAACAACCAGGAACCTTGCGATCCTTATGACCCTGGCAGTCCTCTGCAATCACTTGTGGATCGGATTCAAATCTCCAGCAACTCGACATGAAACATCTTGGCCAATCTACCGACAATGCTCATGTTGAATGGCAAACTGGATCAGACTGCTAAACCTTAGCCGTCTTTGGCTGCTAGAAGTTGAAAAAAGCCTAGACATTTGACACACTCTAAGTGTGCCCAGGACCGGCATATCCATTTGGGATCATTTGGGATACCGATACCAATTACTTCCGGTATGACCTCCAAGAGACCGAGTTCCCTATGATCTGAACCTGAAGCAATCCAAGCAATCCATCTATGTTCCCCATGAGAAACAACCTACGGACCTGTAGCACTCATCATCAACATGTATCCATTGTCTTCCTATGTCCTCCCATGTCCTTTCCAATCAATGTGTGAGTCACATCACCCAACTATATACCGTTCATGGTTTCCATTTTAAACGACCACTTTGGGGTGAATAATTTTCACCCATGGCCACTATAGTCCAATGTCTTTGGTCTGTAAAACCAACCCTGCAACTTGCCACCTGGTGGGTCTGACACCTCAGCGAACCCTGAATTTCCGAGGCAAGGCTCTGGCTGCTGGGGCAACGGATTTTTTTGGAGCTGCACATCCCTCGCCCAAGTTCACCAGGTCGCAGACTCTGCAGATGGAAGGCAGTCTCAATGAGATCCTGTGCGTCCTGAAATATCCATTAGGCGCCGGGTGGCCGGGCGATAAAGATTGGTTGAGATGTGGATTTCTTTGGTCGGAAACCATATTGATATTTTGAATCCAAAGATCTTGTTTCTATAAGGCGTTTTTTTGAGTCCTGCGAAGATTTTGTAAATGTTTGCAATAGGGCTGTAGGTCTGTAGTTTATCATCTGTGTTGCATCTCCCTTTTTGTGAATAGAGACAATGTTTGCTAATTTAAAGCTTTCGGGGTAGATATCTGTCTCTAGAATGTCGTTGAAACATTCAAGCAGAATGTAGCTGTTTACGTTGTCTAGCCACTTTAAAAATTCAGCTGGACAGTCATCTGGTCCAGGTGTTCTGCGGTTCTTTTGCGATTTGAGGATGTGGTCTAGTTCTGCCGCAGTGAAGTTACATCCGTCATATCGATGTTGCCATGATACATAAACTGGCTTTCGTATGCAGGGTTTTGGTTATCATCTGTGGGTGCTACCCATTGTATTGTTTCGAAAAATGCAGCTGCTTCGTCAGCAAAATCGGATTCTTTGATGATTTGTCCATGCTGGTTTCTGAATTTAATACGTCTTGGTTGAAATGGTGCACGTGCTGCCTTTAATCCTTCCCATTTGTAGCCTTGCGCATCTCAAAAGATATGATATCTGAATTGTCCTTTATCATTTGATCTCCTTGAGATCTGTTCGCAAAAATAGTTCGAAAATTAGAATCATATTAGAATCAAGATTTCTGTGATCCTCTTTGCAGATGACTTGGTGGGATCGCTATACTAGAATTCCTGAGGTCTCTGGTTGCGATCTTTTCATTCTTCTTCAACACATCAGGAGCTTTGAAGATCACGGCATCTCCTGGACCTTTTTGAAAATTCTGTCCGTTTCTGTCACTATTTGAGGTCTGAAATCTGTTCTGATCTGCCCAAGGTCGGGCTTACTTCCAAATAAAAACATGAGGATCAAAACCTATCTGGAATGCGTTGCCGCAAAACAACACCCAAAATCTGCATACGGATACTGCGCACATGGTGAGAACTTACAGCGGGAATGTCCTGTAGCATCTGCAATGCCCTTTCTCATGTTTCTGCATGCCAGGATGTAATGTTGTGAGTTTGCTAGCGAACTCTAGCAGACTCTAGCCCTATTATTTCCCTATTTTTTGCTTATTATTTCACTATGTTTCCCTATTCTTTCCCTATTTTTCCCTATTTATTCCCCTATTTATTTCCCTATTTATGTCCTTATTTATTTCCCTATTTATTTCCCTATTTGTTTCCCTATTGTTCCAGTACAGAACAATCACTGGCTCGAGCCATTTGCTCGAATTTGTTCGAAACAAGATTCCAGAGTGCCGTCTAATGAATTGCATGGACTAATATAGACACACGAAGTACGCCAATGTCAATATATGATGATGAATCCAAAATTTGATATAGTACCTTCCAAAAATATGATGGTGAGTCAAAATTTGTATCCAAAATAGATATCCAAAGCCGGATTGTTACCCAACAATAACCACAATATCCCACAATTGGTATCCAAATTCATTGAAAATCCCCCGGTTTCTTCGGATCTCTTTGGTCCTCAAGGAATTTCTGCCGCGCCTGGCAAACGCTCCTCCATTCGCATTTCTGGCGCAGTTTGAAGCTGTGCTGTGCCTCCGCCTGACCGGAAATTGGAGATGAACTGATTTCATTGAAGATCAACATAGCTAGGTTAGCATAGGTCTACTTTATGACAGTATACCTTTACAATATATACCTTTACAGTATACGTTTAGAGTATACCAACATCCCCCTTCGAATTAAGTCGGGGAGTACACCCCCCCTCTATAGAATCCACAAACCTGATCAAAACGGCCCTCTGCAGCATGTAGGAGTACGGTACGGGGTACTGACTTAATGCAACATTTTGTGGAATTCCCCTCTATAGAATCAGAGCCCCATGTTCTGACATTTCTCAAGGGATCACTTGCACATGTCCCAAAATTTGGTTTGTGAACCCTATAGAGGGTGGAGGCGTACTTCAGCAGAATGGGATTGAAACCTTTAAGAAGGCAGAATGCACGCCGTTTTTGTCAATGTTGAGTTGGCCTATCAAATTACGTTTCGCGACATGATTCTTAAAGTCCTTTGAAGACAATAAACATGCAATTTGAAAAGGAAAAAGGATTGTTTCTTTGTCCTACTGTCTGGAACTCTATGGACTCAAACTGAAATTATTTAAAGTAATATCTTTAAATCATCTAAACCATTTAAAGGAAATCTAAAAACTTTTAAAACCATCAAAATCTGCAGACGAAAGTCCGGAGAGGACAGCACATAATGTGCATTAAAAAGAGCCCTGTGCAGGGCATCTGAGAGAGGTTCAGCACGAAACAGGTCAAAACAAAAAATACAACAGAGATTTTTTTTATTCATGGTGATTGTTTCTGCGTTGTTTCACATTGGTTTACATACTTTATTCCCCTATTAATTCCCCTATTTATTTCCCTATTTATGTCCCTATTTATTTCCCTATTAATTTCCTTACCTATTTTCCTATTTATTTCCCTATTAATTTCCCTATTTATTTCCCTATGTATTTCCCTATTTATTTCCCTATTTATTTCCCTATTTATTTCCCTATTTATTTCCCTATTTATTTCCCTATTTATTTCCCTATTAATTCCCTATTTAATTTCCCTATTTATTTCCCTATTTATTTCCCTATTTATTTCCCTATTTATTTCCCTATTTATTTCCCTATTTATTTCCCTATTTATTTTCCCTAGTTTTTTTCCCTATTTATTTCCCTATTTATTTCCCTGTTTATTTCCCTATTTTATTTCCCTATTTATTTCCCTATTTATTTCCCTATTTATTTCCCTAGTTATTTCCCTATTTATTTCCCTTTTATTTCCCTATTTATTTCCTATTTATTTCCCTATTTATTTCCCTATTTATTTCCCTAGTTCCCTATTTATTTCCCTATTTATTTCCCTATTTATTTCCCTATTTATTTCCCTATTTATTTCCCTATTTATTTCCCTATTTATTTCCCTATTTATTTTCCTATTTATTTCCCTATTAATTTCCCTATTTATTTCCCGATTTATTTCCCTATTTATTTTCCTATTTATTTCCCTATTTATTTCCCTATTTATTTCCCTATTTATTTCCCTATTTATGTCCCTATTTATTTCCCTATTAATTTCCCTATTTATTTCGCTATTTATGTCCCTATTTATTTCCCTATTTATTTCCCTATTTATTTCCCTATTTATTTCCCTATTTATTTCCCTATTAATTCCCCTATTAATTTCCCTATTTATTTCCCTATTTATTTCCCTATTTATGCCCCTATTTATTGCCCTATTTATTCCCCTATTTATTTCACTATTTATCTCCCTTATTAATTTCCCTATTTATTTCCCTATTATTTCCCTATTATTTCCCGTATTTTGTCCCTATTTATTTCCCTATTTATTCACCTATTATGTACCTATTTATTTCCCTATTTATTTCCCTATTATTTCCATATTCATTCTCTTTTTTCCCTATTTATTTCCCTATTTATTTCCCTATTTATTTCCCTATTTATGTCCCTATTTATGTCCCTATTTATTTCCCTATTCATTTCGCTATTTATGTCCCTATTTATTTCCCTATTTATTTCCCTATTAATTTCCCTATTAATTTCCCTATTTATTTCCCTATTTATTTCCCTATCTTTTTCCCTATTAATGTCCCTATTTATTTCCCTATTAATTACCCTATTAATTTCCCTATTTATTTCCCTATTTATTTCCCTATTTATGCCCCTATTTATTTCCCTATTAATTTCCCTATTAATTTCCCTATTTATTTCCCCATTTATTCTCCTATTAATTTCCTCATTTATTTCCCTATTTATTTCACTATTAATTTCCCTATTTATTTCACTATTAATTTCCCTATTTATTTCCCTATTTATTTCCCTATTTATTTCCCTATTTATTTCCCTATTTATTCCCCTATTTATTTCCCTATTATTTCCCTATTATTTATTCTCTATTTATTTCCCTATTTATTTTCCTATTTATTTCCCTATTTTTATCCCTATTTATTTCCCTATTTATTCCCCTATTAATTTCCCTATTTATTTCCCTATTTATTCTCCTATTTATGTCCCTAGTTATTTCCCTATTTTATTCCCCTATTTATTTCCCTATTTATTTCCCTATTAATTTCCCTATTTATTTCCCTATTTATTTCCCTATTTATTTCCCTATTATTTCCCTATTTATTTCTCTATTTATTTCCCTATTTATTTCCATATTTATTTCGCATTTATTTCCCTATTAATTTCCCTATTAATTTCCCTATTAATTTCCCTATGTATTTCCCTATTTATTTCCCTATTTATTTCACCATTTATTTCCCCATTTATTTCCCCATTTATTCTCCTATTTATTTCCCTATTTTTTTTCCCTATTTATTTCCCTATTTATGTCCCTATTTATTTCCCAATTAATTTCCTTACCTATTTTCCTATTTATTTCCCTATTTATTTCCCTATTTATTTCCCTATCTTTTTCCCTATTTATTTCCCTTTTTATTTCCCTATTTATTTCCGTATTTATTTCCCTATTTATTTCCCTATTTATTTCCCGATTAATTTCCCTACCTATTTCCTTATTTATTCCACTATTTATTTCCCTATTATTTCCCTATTTATTCCCCTATCTATGTCACTATTTATTTCCCTATTTATTTCACTATTTATTCCCCTATTTATTTCTCTATTTATTTCCCTATTTATCTCCTTATTTATTTCCTATTTATCTCCCTATTTATTTCCCTATTTATTTCCCTATTTATTCCCCTATTTATTTCCCTATAAATTTCCCTATTTATGTCCCTATTTATTTCCCGATTAATTTCCTTACCTATTTCCCTATTTATTTCCCTATTTATGCCCCTATTTATTTCACTATTTATTCCCCTGTTTATTTTCCTATTTATTTCCCTATTTCTTTACCTATTTATTTCCCTATTTATTTCCTTATTAATTTCCCTATTAATTTCCCTATTTATTTCCCTATTAATTTCCCTATTTATTTCCCTATTAATTTCCCTATTTATTTCGCTATTTATGTCCCTATTTATTTCCCTATTAATTTCCCTATTAATTTCCCTATTAATTTCCCTATTAATTTCCCTATGTATTTCCCTATTTATTTCCCTATTTATTTCACCATTTATTTCCCCATTTATTTCCCCATTTATTCTCCTATTTATTTCCCTATTTTTTTTCCCTATTTATTTCCCTATTTATGTCCCTATTTATTTCCCAATTAATTTCCTTACCTATTTTCCTATTTATTTCCCTATTAATTTCCCTATTTATTTCCCTATGTATTTCCCTATTTATTTCCCTATTTATTTCCCTATTTATTTCCCTATTTATTTCCCTATTTATTTCCCTATTTATTTCCCTATTTATGTCCCTATTTATTTCCCTATTAATTTCCCTATTTATTTCGCTATTTATGTCCCTATTTATTTCCCTATTTATTTCCCTATTTATTTCCCTATTTATTTCACTATTTAATTCCCTATTTATTTCCCTATTAATTTCCCTATTAATTTCCCTATTAATTTCCCTATGTATTTCCCTATTTATTTCCCTATTTATTTCACCATTTATCTCCCTATTTATCTCCCTATTTATTTCCCTATTTATTCCCCTATTTTATTCACCTATTTATCTATTTATCCCCTATTTATTTCCCTATTTATTACCCTATTTATTTCCCTATTTATTTCCCTATTTCTTTACCTATTTATGTCCCTATTTATTTCCCTATTTATTACCCTATTTATTTCCCTATTTATTTCCCTATTTCTTTACCTATTTATGTCCCTATTTATTTCCCTATATATTTCCTTATTTATGTCCTTATTTATTCCCCTTATTTTTCTCCCTATTTAGTTCCCTACTTATTCCCCTATTTATTTTCCTATTTATTCCCCTATTTATTTCCCTATTTATTCCCCTATTTATTTCCCTATTTATTTCCCTATTTATTTCCCTATTTATTCCCCTATTTATTTCCCTATTTATTCCCCTATTTATTTCCCTATTTATTTCCCTATTTATTTCCCTATTTATTTTCCTATTTATTTCCCTATTTCTTTACCTGTTTATTTCCCTATTTATTTCCCTATTAATTTCCCTATTAATTTCCCTATTTATTTCCCTATTAATTTCCCTATTTATTTCCCTATTTATTTCCCTATTTATTTCCCTATTTATTTCCCTATTTATGTCCCTATTTATTCTCCTATTTATTTCCCTATTTATTTCCCTATTTATTTCCCTATTTATTTCCCTATTTATTTCCCTATTTATTCTCCTATTAATTTCCCGATTTTATTTCCCTATTTATTTCCCTATTTATTTCCCTATTTATTTCCCTATTTATTTCCCTATTTATTTCCCTATTTATTTCCCTATTTATTTCACTATGTATTTCCCTATTTATTACCCTATTTATTTCCCTATTTAATTCCTTATTTATTTCCCTATTTATTTCCCTATTTATTTCCTTATTTATGTCCTTATTTATTTCCCTACCTATTTCCCTATTTATTTCGCTATTTATTTCCCTATTTATTCCCCTATTTATGTCACTATTTATTTCCCTATTTATTTCCCTATTAATTTCCCTATTAATTCCCCTATTTATTTCCCTATTTATTTCCCTATTTATTTCCCTATTTATTTCCCTATTTATTTCCCTATTTATTTCCCTATTTATTTCCCTATTTATTATCCTATTTATTTCCCTATTTATTTCCCTATTTATTTCCCTATTTATTTCCCTATTTATTTCCCTATTTATTTCCCTATTTATCTCCCTATTTATTTCCCTATTTATTTCCCTATTTATTTCCTTACCTATTTTCCTTATTTTTTCCCGTATTTTTTCCATATTTATTTCCCTATTTATTTCCCTATTTATTTCCCTATTAATTTCCCTATTAATTTCCCTATTTATTTCCCTATTTATTTCCCTATTTATTTCCCTATTTATCTCCCTATTAATTTCCCTATTAATTTCCCTATTTATTTCCCTATTTATTTCCCTATCTTTTTCCCTATTTATTTCCCTTTTTATTTCCCTATTTATTTCCGTATTTATTTCCCTATTTAGTTCCCTATTTATGCCCCTATTTATTTCCCCTATTTATTTCCCTATTTATTTCACTATTTATGTCACTATTTATTCCCCTATTTATTTCCCTATTTATTTCCCTATTTATCTACCTATGTATTTTTCTACTTATTTCCGTATTTATTCCCCTATTTATTTCCCTATTTATTTCACTATTTATTCCCCTATTTATTTCCCTATTTATTTCCCTAATTATTTTCCTAATTATTTCACTATTTATTTCCCTATTTATTTCCCTATTTATTTCCCTAGTTATTTCCCTATTTATTTTCCTATTTATTTCACTATTTATTTCCCTAATTGTTTCCCTATTTATTTCCCTATTTATTTCCCTATTTATTTCCCTATTTATTTCCCTATTTATTTCCCTATTTATTTCCCTATTTATTTCCCAATTTATTTCCCTATTGATTTCCCTATTTATTTCCCTATTTATTTCCCAAATTATTTCCCAAATTATTTCCCAAATTATTTCCCTATTTATTTCCCTATTTATTTCCCTAATTATTTCCCTAATTATTTCACTATTTATTTCCCTATATTTATTTCCCTATATTTATTTCCCTAATTATTTCCCTAATTATTTCCCTATTTATTTCCCTATTTATTTCCCTATTTATTTCCCTATTTATTTCCCTATTTATTTCCCTATTTATTTCCCTATTTATTTCCCTAATTATTTCCCTATTTATTTCACTATTTATTTCCCTATTTATTTCCCTATTTATGTACCTATTTATTTCCCTAATTATTTCACTATTTATTTCCCTAATTATTTCCCTATTTATTTCCCTATTTATTTCCCTATTTATTTCCCTATTTATTTCCCTATTTATTTCCCTATTTATTTCCCTATTTATTTCCCTATTTATTTCCCTAATTATTTCCCTATTTATTTTCCTATTTATTTCCCTAATTATTTCCCTATTTATTTCCCTATTTATTTCCCTATTTATTTCCCTATTTATTTCCTTAATTATTTCCCTCTCTAGTTTTTTCCCTATGACTATAATTGGGAAATAATTGAAACAATCGGGGCCACTCACAGGGTCTTGATCACATCATGCCGGGGGCATTAAGTGGTCAAGGGTCAATCTCATGTCCACTGGCCAAGGTGATCTTGTTCTGCTCAGGTTGGAAGGTGAGGCATTTTTCCTTGATCCATTCGACATCTGTAGGCATCACCTGGGCATAGAAAAGCACGGGGCTTGGCCATTTCTGGGGCTCCATCAGCTTATGATGCATGGTAACAGAGCATGCTTTCCCGGAATGGAGAGCATTCCACCACGACATCTTTTCGAGTAAAGCAAAGGGTTCAAGACATTCCACCACGACATCTTTTCGAGTAAAGCAAAGGGTTCAAGACTTGAAGGTCAGTGGACAAATGAAATTCAAAGTATGCGTTCACGAACCTCATCTCAAATATTGTTCCGTAAAGGACATCATGTCTCTAGTCCTCCTTCATTGAAATGGGATAGATGATATCGACATCGACATCTACATCCTCATGATCATCATCACCACCATCACCATCATCACCATCATCATTCAGTATTTCATCTCATCCACTGTTTCACTCAGTGCAACCAGGGATGAGAAAGAGGTAAAAACACATTGTTGAAACATGTTCACACCACCAACCCAAACTCTTCATGCTTGTTATCCTCACAAATTTTGTCCGTGAACACAATTCATTCCACATTCCATTCCGCCATTTGCTCATCCAACACATTCTTCCTCAGTATGAGTCTATTCTCTCGGTACACTTCAGCATTTTGGGCGCATCCAACCCCACCCTGCCAAAAGGCTTTCTCCATCTTCTGCATGGAACCCGAGACCTGCAGGTGTCAAATCAAATGTTTTTGTGGTCAATGGCAAACACATTGTAAAACTTGCGGACACTTGAACCAAGATGAACAAAAAGCTAGGACATTTAGCTGTTGATATTCCATTGCCAAGAGCCATTTCCTGAATCCTCTTTCCCTGCCTTTCCATGAATGCAAGTGAATCAGCCTGTTGATTTGAATTCATCCCATCTATCATTGATCGACTTGAATGGAATTTGATCAGTGTTTTTGACAATTTGATGTGAATTCGCTATCAAAATTCAGTCTAAGGGATCATTTAAATTCATAAAGTTTGATGAAAGACTTTGGTGAAAGTTGACGATCCGTCGGCTTCATAAAACTACTATCCACACCTTTGATTTCCCCATTAACTCAGACAAGGCACGTCCAGACCTAGACCGCCCACCATGGTCCAGTAGGGCATATAGAGATGATGATCCTCGCGAGTGACCATTAAGCGATTTAGAGGCACCCTATTTTCATAGACAAACCGAGATGTCTGTTGCCATTTGCCATTTCCCTCCAGTAAACTAGCATAGCTATGGAAAATGGCCCTGTTGTAGATGATTTCTCTCCGAAAAATGGGCGATGTCCAGTTCGGAAACTGTTTGTTTACCAGAGGCTACACCACACAACACACGCAAACGGCGGTGGCTCCCGCGGTTCAATGACTGCAATCTGGCCATGTTCGTTCTTGGGCAGTTTTCGTCGAAGTTGCGAAGCCACCTCATTGGACCAAGCCACTGCCACACACGGCTTGGAATCCGATGGCTTTGTGGATGATTTTTCTTGTTGGGCTTCACATGAACTTCTGACCCAAATGTCAAAGTCATAGTTGGAAAATGTTGGATAATGTTGGATCATTGATCTTAGTTGATTGAAATGGTTCCTGATTTGGGTTCAAGTGTATGTAATCTGATATCCATAGTGAAATATCACCACATCTTTTTTGGTCCAATGTTGCTCAATAAGCAATAAAACTGGCTTGAAGGTGGTATACAAACCATGGCCCTTGCCAGCAATTTGCCCCTCCAGCTATGCATCCAAGTCACTGACACACCTGCGGAACCTGGCTTTGGTTCTTTGGTTCAGCAACACAAGGTGGTACCAGGTAGGAATTGGATGATGGGAAGTCATGTAGATTTGTGGATGGCCAAAGATAAACGTACCGGAATTGACGGAGATTTGGGATTTTTTGCAAGGTTCATAGATTCACCATCCAAGACACGATAGATTGACCTCTGGATGGTTGCTGTTTTCACGTGGAGGTTGACTCCAAGAACCACTCCCAAAGATTCCTCACCCCGATCATGACGAACCTCCGAACGAACGACTTAGCCCTCAGATAGCTCACCAAACAGAACACTCAATGTTTGGATAATAGTGGTTAATAATGTTCCCCTTAAACAGTAGAAAACAGAACCACTAGAACAAATAGTGGGAAAAAATCATGTTGGATATTCTGCACGGAAGTTTCCCACTACTTTTTCTATTCCATTGTGGATGAACTCACTTCACCCGTACCCGTCGTGCCTCCCCCAATAATCGCCACGCGATACTTCGAGGCCTTAGGAGCTGAAGGAAACAGTCTAAAATCTACTCGAATTCTTCGGGCCAATAAGATCCAGTCTTGTCTCACCCATAGGAATTACTTGGGGCAACCCCTATGATTTTTCTTAAACTATAGTTGGAAAAGGGGTCAAAATTGGACATTCCATCTGTGTTTGATCGTTACACCCCTCAAAATGCCTATAATGGATGATTAAATCACATCAAAAGGCCCATTCATCCCATGAAAAAATCATTTCAACCACCATTTTCTTGCTTATGTCACCATTTTTGATGGTGAAATCTGGTGAAAAATTTCCGAAGGGTACCCCTGGGTCCCCCTGACCCAGGCGGATGGCGGCGTGGGCACCGCAGCCAGGCCCAATTGTCGGGAGAGGTAGCCCAGAGGCGTCTGTGCTGTGCGCGAGCGAAACATGGGGCCCTGGCGATGGGAGGGATGGAAAGGAAGAGGGAAAACACAGATATAGATGTTAAACATCAATGAAATACATGGGATGTTCCAACATTTATACGTTCATTTAAAGTGTTATATAAGATTGTATAAGTATATGAAGGCAATGTTGTGTATCCTACTTAAACTTACGGATGTGATATAGTGAGAAAATGGGATAAAGCATCAGGAAGTCAAACGCCCAAGCCAGGATGGAAAACAAAGGAACAAAAGAAATATCAGCTGATTTTTCTTGGGGTGACTCGATGTAGGAAAGGAACAACCAAGTTTGTCACTTTTGGTTCTAAACGGGTGCAATGATCTTGAGCCATGTCCATCTGTTTATGTAGGAGAATCACCCAGATCTCAATCGAACAAAACTGGCAAATCCAAGTGTACCAAAGAGCATCTGACAGCCCTGAAAGGAGAAGCCTGCGGATCGCTACGCAAGCACATTTGAACAATCTTAATATACCCAGATTGATTTAGCCACAACAAATAAGTACAAATCAGGCAATTGAAGGATATCATTGGACACACAAAACATCATTGGTTCCGTTCCCCACGGCTTGTGGCACCTTGGATTGCAGGATCAAACCGTCGGTGATGCTAACGCTGAGCCCAAGCCAGGCATTGACAGGTCCCACATGCTGTGGTTCTTCAGTGAGAGATTGACGCGTAAATCTTGCTAAGGTTGGTTGAGTTGATCTTCGACTTTCAACTGATCAAGGAGTGAAGAAAATTCCTAGAAAATCGATCAACAGCATCCTTCTAGGGGTGTCTTGATCATGCAAATCACTTAACAATCCAAAGATCTGTTACTGTTCCTGCGATATGGCCCATATGGCCCTCTATCCAAAAGGGATGCCCGGTATCACCTGCGGGCCCCCCACATTGAAGCCGGGCCCGGAGGGGTTCCGTTCCCAGATGACGATGCTCTCGTCCTGTAAGGCCAACAAGAAAAACGCTTGGGTTAAGAGCTGCGACGATTCAACTGAAGTCAGGATCCATGGTCAGTTCCATTTTTTCTGGTGGTTAATAGTGGTTAATAGTGGTTAATAGTGATTAATACCTGATCTAATGAATAATATAGCTGGTTGGTGGTTTTTCGCCTACCCCTCTGAAAAATCTGAGGACTCGTCAGTTGGGATGATGACACTCCCAACTGAATGGAAAGTCATAAAAGCCATGTTCCAAACCACCAACCAGATAGTCATAGTCTATCCTTTATGAACCTTTAATATGTTCTGGGATATATTCTGGGATTCGACTTACAAACCAGGTGCGAGCTTCGGGGATCACCATAGAATAATGGTGGCGTTCAAGATTTTGGGGTTGAGAATGCTGGACTGCTAGACATTGTAGGTGCAGCTGTATTCAAAGTGAACCAGCCTATCAAATGGTGTATTCAATACACAATTCATCAAAATTCAATACGAACATACATTTTCTGTTTCGGAAACCCTGTCTTTGCACCAGACACTTAGATTCATACAGTACATGTTTTTGATCTTTTTGTGCATTTTAAGGTGTTGTGGGTCGCAAACTCATACCATATCTCTGGCTTCTACCCATCGCAGCAAAAACTTTCAGGCTTTTCACGCTCCACAATCAGTAACCAATCATCCATAACTGGATCTATTCTGATGATTGTCGAGGTCCCCATATGATCATTCCCTCTTGGAGGATCATCCAAATTAGTAACTGATAAGTAACCCTGGTCAATAAGTTCCCATTGAGCGGCTTTATCCCAGTTATAAGTGGCTAACCCCATATCAATGGATTGGATTAAGGGAAAATTTACAGGAAAACCCCATATTTACTGGGAAAATCGATGGTTTCCTGTAAATTTTCCATTAAACCAATCCATTGACCATAGGATTCGTGGGGTGAAGCACCAAGTTATGGTGAAGCACCAAGTCGGGCTTCTCCTCGATTAAAAGCCCGGCCTTGGAAGACGTGGCCAGCAGCCGACCGTCGTGGGAGATGGAAGCGAACCAGACTTCATCGCGGTGGTGATCCAGCCTCCGATGTTTTTCGGTGAAACCAGGCTGTTGTTTGATCTTTGGTGCTTAAACATCTTTGACATCCGGCTTTGGGGTTGGTTGAATCCAATGGGTTTCAATGGTGAACTCCCCATTCCTGTCAGTTGGTTGCAAAAACCAATGGAATCTATTAAATCTGTTACCATTTTGGCGGTGAAATACACTGTGTGTCAGCATGTGTCAGCGTGGCTTGATGTGGAGGCTATGGGTCTAGGGGGAGAATCTCAAATGGGGTTCATATTTTGGAAGCCAATTTCCACGCTATACACTTGCTGTGGCGTGCAAAAAAATTGGCCCTGCAACTTGCACACGAAGCTGACTAAGCGCGTATCTTCATCTAAACGATGAAGAAATTGATAGAAAGGGCTTTGAAAGCCAGCAAAAACTACTTTGTCCCAACATGTCCCAACAACTTATAATATAAATTCATTGTTATAACTAAAGTTGTTGGGACAACTTAATAACAAAGTTGGGACATGTTGTTCCCTACAACCTATAATTATCATTTATTATCTAAAGTTGGGTAAAATCATCCCAGGTCTACCACCCAAATCCAGGTAATCCGCCTCCGAACGCAGTGCGTCGGCAAAGGGGGCCTGGTGCCGAAACCACGCAGCTGGGTGAGTTGGGTGAGTTGGGTTGCATCAACTTCCCTGCGGTTCACCACGTTTGCAGTTTGCAGTTGAAGGAAATGGGTGGAGAGTCTCAAAATTCGTTTGGACGATACCGCAATGTGCAACAAAGTGCAACAGCACAAGCTCCCCTAGTGACAGACTCATAGGTCAGCCTATCGGTGGAAACTCATTGAGTCTGCTGGGATGATATCTGGACCATCTATGGAATCTATGGTCAATTCATGATGCTTTGTTATTGGATCATCTAACCTTAGACAACAAATTTTCTATTCAAGGATGATCTATGAAATCTATGGTTAGTGAGATTTACCCTCTGGTAAACTAACATAACTATGGAAAATCACCATTTTTAATGGTAAAACTCACTATAAATGGCCATTTTCAATAGCAAACTGTTAGTCATTACCAGAGGGTACCGAATCTATGCCATCTATGTGGCTTCCACCCACTGGCGGTCATGGATCTGCAGCCAGGGGACGGCGAGTAGCTGTAGTTTTGCACCAAACAGGGCACTTGAGACCTTCGGACAGCGAGTTTGGCATCGGCAACCCCTTCCAACTCTAAGAGAAATTTCTAAAAATCAGGATGGGTTGATATGATATGATATGGAAGATATAAACACTAGATATGATATGGACACTGATATGGACACTTAACACACATTAGATATGCAACACTGATTAGATGATAGATTGATTTCGCTGTGGACATGATTTGGCTAAACGCTCAAGGAAATACTTGCCAGCAAAATAAAGAACTAAAACCAGGACACACATGTCATGGACATGTCATGGATCATCATAGATCGTATGAAACCATCAAATTCTGGATATATTCTATGGATTTCTATGGATTTCTATGGATTTCTATGGTGTAAATATAACATATATTGACATTCATAGGACCATTTCTACTCAAACACATCGCAATCCTGCCAGGTTCTTCCCCGGTTGAAACTGCTGAGTTAACCCACATCAAAGTGGGATCCAAGTCAGAGTAGAGGCAGTGAAAGTGCTGATACCTGCTGGATAGACAGCACGGAAAACTCAGGACCAGGTTACCAGATGTTACCAGGTTGGGCACTTTAGAATTAGAATCTAATGTGAAAAATGGCACTTCAACAACAGCATTGATACACTTTGCTGTTCTCAAAACATCAGAACTTGTTTGAAACACATGGCTATTCACCAGCTATGGTGAACATATGAATGAAGATTACAGATGTCAGGTTTTTTTGTGGCCAAAAATGGGCCGTGAAAAAACACACAGATGGAATATGATGGAATCAAAGGGACCCTGGCTAAACCAGCTGGCTTTGTGTCAAACCTCCATAGAACATACCCGGCCTGGTAAACATACAAAAAGCTATTGAAAATGGCCATTGAAATAGTGGATTGTCCCATTAATAGCATGGTGATTTTCCATAGCTATGGTACAAATTACCAGAGGGTATCAACATCCATCAACATCCATCAACATCCCACCATTCCACCAGAAAATCATCGCCTCACAGCTTGCCACAGGAGCTCTGGCAAGCGCCGAGGCGGCAGCTCAGGCAGAAGGCTGTCCTCGGCAGTTTCCAGCAAAATGTACCAGGTTTCCAACATCCCAAGGTGTGTCCAAAGATTGTTCTGGGTTGACACATGTTGACATGTCGAAACATCAGCATCTTTGGATCTTTGGAGTTGAAGATCTACCAATTCACCCCCTGGTATGGATTCCCGTCGGTTGTAGGCCAGCTCCAGGTGTTTCTGGGTTCTCAAACAGAAGAGTTGTGACCTTTGGTTTCGTTCAGGAGTAGTTCATAGATTTCATAGTTGGATAGTCGTTTTATTTTAGACTGGAATAGACTAGATAAACCAGACACTAGGACAAGTCAGGGCGAACCATGACTACTTGCCGTTGATGTTTCATTGGAGGATCATGGAAAGAGCGCCATGCCACCCCACAACATGAGGCCAAATCATGACTCGTTGTGGCAGTTGAAAAGAGCAAACACATCGAGTAACACATCGAGTAATTCATCACAAATGCTGGTATGATGGTCCGCAATTTGGCAATCGATCGCGAATTACCCTCTGGTAAACTAACATAGCTATGGAAAATCACCATGCTATTAATGGGAAAATCAACTATTAATGGCCATTTTCAATAGCTATGTCAAATTACCAGAGGGTATTCAAACATCAAGGTCACTTTCCCCATGTTGAGCATGGAACAATCCATGCGCGGCGCCGGTAACCCAGCCACCATCAGCCACCTATGACCAAGCCCCAATTGCAGCCACAGGATCAACCCTCTCAAGCACTGCATGACGGTCACGGTCCTGAAACATCACGGCCTGGCTGTTCACTTCACATGTCATCCCGGTGATGGTGAAAAACCCTTAGATACTGCTCCAAACAAATCACCATGGTAAAGAAAAGGGTTTTGAAATCAAATGCCACTGGGACCATATATCCAAAGGGGCTGTTTAATATGATAATATATAGAAGGATGGGATTACACACTGCTAAAATCCAACTAGTTCCCTTCTGGGTCCGACACCCCTACCCCCAGCTAGATACTCGGCCATTGCTTTGTGTTGCGCCTCCACAAGAGACTCTAAGTCTTGCGTCGAGGGCTGCGGTTCTTCCTTGGGAGAGGGATGATCACCCAAAGAGAACAGGAAACCGATGGAAATTTGTTATGGCTACCCTCTGGTAAACTAACATAACTATGGAAAATCACCATTTTTAATGGGTAAATCAACTATTTCAATGGCTATTTTCTATAGCTATTTTGACATTACCAGAGGGTACCCTCTGGTCATTTCCCATAGCCATGGAAGGTCATTTTCAATGCGCCATTTTCGAAAGCTACGTTCAACTAGGCAGATGGCAGCAGACGTGACATGGGGGTGTTTTGCGTGAAACTGGCAGTTGTACTTTTGGGGTGGGTCTTCTAGGTTCAAACTGTGGGGCCAGCCACGTTTTCTCCATGCTTGCCTGGCAGTTTGGAGAGCGCAGCTGTGCTGGCCGTTGTGCTGGCCGCAGCATTGTTTTCTGCTGTGTGCTGCTAGGTAGCTAGAGTCGGGAATACCGCAGGTCACCAAGTTTGGTAAATGGTGGCCTAAGCTTTGCGGATTTAGTATAATCAACAAAAAGTGGAGATACAAACAATTTGTCAGTTGAACTGGATGGTAACTGCTGGTAATCATCAATACACAGCACATTATATATACATATGTATATATATATAATATATATATTGATATATAGGGTTCTCTGAAAATAGGCCATCCTCAAATTTGATGGTTTATCATGGTTTTCACCACTAAAATTGCCCTGTTGCGATATCCCCTGTGAGACACACCGACGGCCAACGAAAGCTGCGCTGCGCCGGGGTGCCGCAGCAATCTCCTCGAAGACTTCTTGAGCCGCCTGCAGGTTTTCAAACTTTTGCTGTCCAAAAACATCCGAAAACTATCCCAAAAACTCATGTTCAAAAAATGGTGATGTATCCCAAAAATTATTGAAAACTGGTGATAGGTCACTAAACTCAATAAAAAATGAAAACATGATGATATCCCACCTGGGTGTGTCCCTTTTCGTGCAAATCGCAGCATTTTTGCTCCAGCAACAAGCGCCGCAAGGGCGCCTCAGTGGTTGAGCTGGTCCGCAGTACCCACATATTCATCTTCCCAGTTTGCTCTCCTACGCTTATACAAAATGCATTGCTGGTGAAATAGTTTCACTTTGGTGGGGATAGATTCCTGTTCCAGTCGGTGAATTCAACCAGATAGTTGCTAAACTCAAAAAAATCGATTACATCTCATCATATCCCAAAATGTTGAGGTCATGTCGTAATACAACAACAAACCATCCCCAATATTGTCATAATCTTTAAACTCATACCCAAACGGTAGATTTGTCGTTGGGTTTACCGGACCTCCAGGTTAAGAAATGTATTTGGCCAAGTACCCTTTAACAAATCACTCAGACTATTGCTTCCAACAGGAATCGACTCCCATTTAGCACATTGGAGTCCCTTCCCCCTATTAAAGACCCTTAGAATAGACTTAGAAAGCACGGTTTAGAACATTTTTCCCATATACTTGGGGTTATTTCATGCCATTTCATGCCATGTCATGCCATGAAATAAGCATTGCATGTGTGCTTCATCCATTTTCCAAATGACCAACGGGCACCCATTTTGTGTCACCCCGTCACCGTGGGAGCCCCGACGGCCACCTCTGGGAGGTCTAAGGAGAGAAAGGAGGCAATCTGCAACGCCTCGATCATGGTGGGAACAAGCTGGAAAAAGCTGGAGAAATAGGTGTGTCTGAAAATAGGCTAAACCCCTAAACCCAATGGTTTGGCTGATCATTATCCCGTTTTTAAATGGCTATTTCATTGGGAATATTAACCCAACATTTTCAGACAAACCCAAATACCATGGGAGATTTCCTTAAATTGCCAGATTCCTGGAAGGATACCATGGGAGACCTGGAAATTCTATGAAATTGTCAGATTCCTGGAAGGTGATCAAGGTGACCCTCCAACAATCTCAAGGAAGTTCCTCGGAAGGCGCTTTACCTCGATGGAATCTTTCGGACCTCCCGACTCCAGAAAAAACACACCTGAAGGGAAAACTAACTCAACTAACTCGAAAAGGTTTGACTTTCCGACCACATTCCACTGGCCTCATCCCATTGACCTGCCAGAATTTCCGTCCTGCGCAACGGGAATGGCAAGCCCGAAGCAGTCGTCTTCTGGTCGTCACTTTGGGCCTCCCTGACATTACCGGGTCTTGACATATGGGGGTTTTCCATAAATGGTTCCCCCAAATGGATGGGTTATGCAACATGGATGATTTAGAGATATTGTACCCCCCTTTCAGGACACCTCCAAGGGCCTAGCTTTTTAACCCAAGATCCCACCCCCTTAAGTCCACGGCAGCAGGTTTAATGCCCAGACCGCACATTCGTGGACTATTCCTAGTTGTAATCATCCCAGAATCCCAATAGGGAAACCAAGTTTGACCCAAACTCCATACATTTTTGCTTGATTGCGACACTATCTGTCAAGATCTGTCAAGTATGAGTGGGTTATATGTGATAACACAAACCTAAGTGGGTTATATGGTGATTATATGTAACATGTGATTATCACACACGCAAAACATACAAGCAATTTGTCCATTGATAACACAAGCCTAAATGGGTCATATGGGATTCTCAGAACCACAAAATGTTGAATAACTCGCGTCACTTATCTCTTGTTTACCCACATTCTGCCGTTCACATAGCCAATGATATCCAGCACATGGCCTCAATCCAGCCAAAGCTTCTTCATGGCTTGGCCCGGACCTCGGAAAGTCGCAGTCTAATGGAGATCACAAACACAGGGGATGTTTGACCAACAGAAAGTGCTGTGATAAAGTGAGATATGTTTAACATGTTTAACATGTTTAATTTCATTTTAATGCATGACAGAGGTCAAGCTCTTGTAGCTCGTTGAACACTCTTTAACTATGTACAAGAATAGAGCTTCCCCTAGCCTTGAAAGTCCGGGCTGTGAGAATTCAAATACCAAACGCAAGGAAGTAAGCAAATGCAGGGATGAAACCAATATGAAACCAATGAAAGCAAGAACATCGCTTTACCGTTGGCATTACGTATAAGAACTTGACCTCTGTCTAACGCAGAGATTTTTACAGAATCATCAGGTTGATTCAAAGTCACCATGGGCTGATCATTCCAAGTTGGTCATCTCAAATGGGAACAATCAATTGACCAATGCGTGTCTTGTCAGATGTCGATTTTTAGAGTCAGAAGCTCCACAACGAACCCAACTTTGCCCCAGTCAAGCATGCTGAGCTCTTTCCGTGCGGGGGAGTTTCAGGGCTCCAATCATGGTCTGATGTGGAACGCACCCAATAATTCTTTTCCATCCTGTGCTTCTTGCTACAAATATGGGTATGGGTCAAAATTAGGTACCCCAAAATTATGGATGGTTAATACTCAACTAGACATTCACATCTGTGGTCCCATTAATGGTCTTCCATTTTGACCCACATCCCGACGGGAACATCTCAACGTTCTGCCATGCTGCTCCACTTCCAAGGTATGACGGGTGGCGTGGAAACCCAAGTCCGACAAGGTCTGAGGGTTGGAAGGAAGCTGACATGGCACAACCGTTGGAAATGGTGGTTTTATGGGGATACTCATGGATAATATTGGGGATACCTATATACATAATTGCATATCATCATCAATTTTGGTGATATCACTATTAAAAATTGTGGTTTTATGGGATACCAATCGGGATAAAACGGAATCTATAACTAAAACCAATTTGTGAAATTACCTGGCGATTCATAACATGTTGTTAGGGCTGTACTACAGACCATGGGCATACAAAAATTGTTAAAAGTTATATCGTATCATGCATCCCTATCATGGATGTAACTTGTGTGGCCTACGGATATGATTTTTGTTGTAGGTTGTGGACATTCAAACACCCTACAACATTCTTGATAGTTGGTGGTTTCAACCCCTCTGAAAAATCTGAGTTCGTCAGTTGGGATTATGACATTCCATGACATTCCCAATATGATGGGAAAGTCATAAAACCCATGTTCCAGTCACCACCAACCAGATCACCATCATATTCCCATTGTTGTTGGTTTATAGTTTATAGCCTATTAACCACTATTAATATCTATTAATATCACTATTTTCCAAACCACCAACCAGCTTGTTGGTTGGGGGGATAAGTCATTCTATCATTTTTCCCGGATCACCGGACGTTGACGGACCCATCTCACCGGACCTGCTTCAGCAGGCGAACGACTTCGGAGCGTCTGAAGCCCTCGAAGAGCCTCGGACGCCAGCCAAGGAAGACCGACAGTTTCAGAAAAGTCGGAGAAATGGTGCTTTTATGATCTTTTATGGTTAATGAATATGATGGATGTACTACATATATGAAGTTTTCATACCCTACATATTGAATGATATTGACATGCTACTCCACAATTTTTTCCATTCCACCGCATGGAGAAGTCTCGTGCGGACACGCAAATTGAATTGAGTCTCACTGAGTTGCCTCAAGCCCTAGGTCTTCTGATAATCCGGAAAGAAAACATCATGGGCGAGGACTTCTGATTGGTGACGCATCTGTACTATCCATCTCAATTCACTGTCAGATGGAGTAACAGGATCACGCACTCCATCTGTATGGATGCGATATTGTAGCCCTTTTAAAAGTGCTACCACCAAGCTCCTACAGAGTGCGCTCGGATACTCTTTGGCCTGCGCGGTACGGAATTTACCGTCCTCACCTTTGCCCTTCAGTCCTTGTTGAGGTCGCACGCGCCACGGCTCAGCGCCAGAAATCAGCGCCTTCCCAACTGTGATCGGTGGCCCCAAATTCAGGGCACGAAGGTTGGTGGGCTTTACGCCACTGGCTCCGTAGAGCCATTGCTCAATGCGATGATGGCAGGCACCAGGGAGCTTCATGCACCACTGTCGATGACACTCGAGACGCCAGACCGAAACCTTGTGTTCATCTTGAGGTTCAGCGGGGTGTTCCATGATAGCTCCACCACCTGCACAAACCACTTCGGCCTCGAACTGAAAGGAGTTCATCAATAATTCGGAGCCTGTGTCGCATTGGCGAAGCTCGCGCGCTGTGCGATCCTGCAGACACCATGGTTGCGCAGCAGTCCGAAGAGGGCGCGGACCCTGCTGTTGTTCCATCTGCAAATTTCTGGCGGCACTGAATGTCTCGCAGGGGGGCCCAGTGAGAGACCCGGCCACGGCACCCTTGTGAGCCAGCTGCAGGATTTGATCGAAATTGGCACCAGAGGACAAGTCACCATAGACCTCGTCAATGGCGGTGTCCACTGAGATCATCACGACCGGGTAGTCCGGAAAGATCTTGTCGGCTAAGCAATGAAGCCACCAATGGCAATCCCCAATGCGGCGTCGCCCGCTGAACAAGTGCAAAATTAAGATAACTGTACAATCATTAATTTTACACAAGGGTACTTGACCAGCTAGGGGAAAAACAAAATCACCAGCAAAAGCACCCTCTAAAAGCTGGTTTTGCAAAGCGCAAGGATCAAATATTGGTTCCAGAGCCTTGGGTAAGGTCGACTGGGGGCAATCGGACTCGCGAGGGCAAAATGCAGAGTCCATGCGACGTTGCCAGCAAACCAATCTTCCGATGTGAGAATCTTCCAAGAACTGCTGCAAAGCCCCATCTAAACGTTGAAATACATCAGCAGAAAGAGCAGGAAAACGTGAACACCAGAAAGAATCCAGAATCCAAACACATAGAGCCCATTCGCCAAGAGCTCCATTCCCTGCGGTCAAAGCCTCGTCTTCTGCAGTCTGCAAAATGTTGAAAAAAATCTGGTCAACGTCGTTCACAGTGGGGAGCGGCTGAGTCAGAAGCGTAGTATCAAATGCTGATTTCATCGAAGTCAGAAGTGTCAAGTCAAAATCACGTGGAAGGCCTTCTGCGTCCCAACATTGAAAAAAGGCTTGATCAGCATCAGCTCGAGAAAGCATCGTTACTTCTGAATGAGTAGGCACCGTAGCCACAACCATGACTGGTTGGCGATGGTACCGATCTGAGGCCGGTAGCTCATCAATCAATGGTATCTGAGTTGTTGGTGCACGTCGCCAAGTCAATTGCTCATAGCATCCATTGCGCTTCTGTCGACTGTAGCGCAAATGTTGTTGTAGCCTTTGAGCCGTCCAGAAACATCGATGACAAGCATCACATGTAGTAGATCTCATCATTTGTCGTTCAGGCGAAATGACTTCATGCGCAATCCATTGATGAACTTGAAGCTGATTCAAAGTACCAAAGTGCTTGGCACATTGACGACATTCAAATGTGAAAGGATCAAGTGGTATCTGTCGCATGGCCTGTGTGGAGTGCGACGGTCTAGAAAAACACTGCCGTAACCGCCAATGTGCTTGCACAACCTTATGGAGCACACGACCTTGGTGAAGCGCACGATGATACAGCCGTCGAACAAGACGAGGGCCACTGTCAACATGGCATGCCAACCAAGCAAAGATCTCTTCCACCGTCGCATGTAGCGGATCCCACATGAAAAGAGTGCTATCCATCTGGGCCAACCAAACCAACGCATGTCGCAGGGCTGGAATCCATGATAAGGAATGCTCAGGCGTGGCCGTGACAACATCCACAATCATTCGCGGGCAATCTTGGACAAAATGAAAGGCGTACAAAAGACGCATTTTGGCCAGACGCAACGTAATGGGTGGAAGTTGCCAATACATCAAGAGCTGTTGGTCCGACAGCATATCTGCAGACCAGAATCCGTTGGCACAAATGGTACGGATCCATTTCATGTAGAGGCCCTGGACCTTCTGCAAGGTTCTGTGTGATAACAGAGGCCAGTTGCCACTGCCGTGAAACAGAACCGGCAATACAAGTCCCTCAAAAAGCTTCAATCTCGTGGAAGTGGCGATGTGCCGGTTCATCAAAATAGGTTTGCGCACTTGGTGGTACGCATGGGTGGCACGAGCAAGTCGGTGTGATACCTCTGCATCGATTGCGCCCTCTGCCATGAAAATGGTGCCAAGGTGCTCATAACATGGCACACATTTAAGGATACCACCGGGCAATGAGGCACATAGAACACCTTGTCGATTGCCAAAACAATCACGTCTCATGTTGGGGGCGTCAGGGCCACGAAATGCAACCACTGCCTCTGTCTTCTTGGGTTTCATATTCAAAATGAGCCCATATGAGCGGCAAACCTGATCCACGTTCTGCATCACTTCCTCCGTCACCGTGGCAACCTCATGAGCATGTGAAAAAATCAAAGGCAAGGCCAAATCATCAATCCAAGCTATGATGGGAGAAGGCATACCTAGATGCGCCTGTGCAGCACGAAGCTGAGGCTGATTGTCCAAGATCGCTTGCAAGTCGGTCATGACAGCGATCATAAGGGCGTTGTACGCCGCATCAGCCAAAGGCGATCCTGGTCTACTGCCACGGTGGGTATGATGCACCTCATCGGATGAAGCCAGCGTGTACCACGTGTGGGTGTGGGCGTCCTTCAACAAGCGGACTAAAGCCGGTGTCACTGTCGCACCAATACGCTGCTGGGCACATTGTTCGGCCACAATTTGAGGATCACATCCTGCTGAGCGCAAAACTTCAACTAAACGTGGTGGTAATGGAAGATCAAGATCAAATACCGTCTCACGTATTAATGAGTGGAAGGCGCTACGAATATCCAGGAAAATGATGCAAGTGGACAAAGCCTTCTTGGATGCACACTGCTCAAGGGCACGCAAATAATGGGTGGCAAAAGTGGTCGTCTGTTTGGCGAAGCCGCCCAATTGCAGCGGCGCCCTGGCTTGAAGAAGTGTGGGCATCAATTGAGCTCGCAGAAGCGCGTGGGACATCTTCACTAACACGTCTAACAAGGCTATCCCACGCATGTCTTCGATACGGTGGCTCTTTTGCTTTTTCCCAATTGTATGGAGCAAACCGCCTTTCCATTGCCATGGCTCAGCACCTGTAGTCCACATTTTGAGAAAGAGCGATGTGATATCTGAAGCCAAGGCTGGGCCATGCTCTCGCAGAACAGCTGGTGGCACTGCATCGATGCCCGAGGCCTTGTTGACATTCAGTTTCGCACAGAGTTGTTCAACTGCCACTCGAGTGGGAAACTCAGAGAGAGAGAGATGGTCAAAGGAGCTTCATGAATGTTCTCACGTTGTGCTTGCCAGCATGTAGAGAGCAAGTGCTCGAATGGCACTGGCTGTCCAGCCTCAAGCTGATTGTAATTTTGGGCTTTGTCTTGCACCGTCGGGCCCGTACAGCGAAGATTCGATCGCTGCTTGGCCCTGCTTCTGGGTAAGACGAATTTAATCGCCTGCCATAACTGTCTTGATCCCTTTTGCGACTCCTGACCTGCTTGGACAGCTAATTGCTCGTAAAATTCTCGATCGTCTTGCCTGACTGCTGTCACAACACGCAGTGCCAAGTCTTGAAACGCCCAGAGGTGCTTGGCTTCTTGTTGATCACATTCTCGGAGCCATGGGGTGAAATCGTCATGAACAACCTGGTGATCCCTCCAGCTCAGAAAAATGCTTCTCAGCAAGGCATCACGTCGATGTCGACGAAGTCTGGCAAGACGATGCCGGTGATGGCGCTTGGCTTGGATCAGCTTCACTGTCTCTTGCGTCAGGTGCTGCTTGCGCATCACAATGGCTGGTCGGGGGCATTGACCAAGCCAATTTTGCAATGCTGCTGCATGTGAATGGACGTCCGTGTGCCAAGTGGGACGTACAATCTCAGTTTTGAGCAAATGTCGAAATTGGCGGGTCTTAGACAAACAAGCAAATGAAATAGGAACTTGAGCACGAACACAATCATGATCTTCTCGCTGAATAGCAAGATCGATGCGTTCTTCAACCCAGGTTTCAATTGCTTCCGAGCCAAGTTCTTGTGGACATGCAATGAAGTCCAATCGAGCTTTGGTGCCTGTCGCATGTGTCCAGGTGTCGGCTTTGCCAAAATGATGGTTTTGCATGGTCTGGGGCAAAAACAGTGATTGTTCCAAAAGCCATTGATGGAAATGTTGACCTTTGATATTCTCTTCGTCTGCCTGCCAGTCACCTACCGCATCAGACTGAACTGAGCCTAGCCTGCTATTGGCATCAGCTAACACAAAGAGATGCCACGAGCGATACTGTGCTGGAATGGCATTGGTGGTTGCATTCCAAAAGGCTTGTAAAACTCTTTCGTCTTGATCAACTGGTGCATGAAGAACAACAAAAATAAGCCGTAAGCCACCACATGCAAACCTGACAATGAGGCGTTGAGCCGTAGCATGAAGGATGTGGAGATGAGAAGTTTCAACTTTGAGAGTGACATCTCCATGACAAACTTGATGTTGAATCCACAGTTGAACACCTCCAATGCCACGCTGAGTCGCTGGGGAGGACAGGACATGATAGTGTGGGAGCTTCACATGGCCCTCTTGTCGACTTCGTGTTTCTTGCAAACCAACAAAATGAATACCGAGTTCATGAAAGCAACTGTCAAAACCTTCAGCTCTTGCACTCATGTATTGGGATGCATGATCTTGTCCTGGAAACAAAGTCAAGACGTTTGCAGTAGCAATCTGTAAGATCATGTTCTTGACGATTCGTGGACCATCTGGTTGTACATCTCGTCGCCGAGCAATGGGCTGTTGTGCAACGCTCGGGATCGAATTCAGAGTCTGTGCAATATTGAAGTGCCAATGTGAGTCATACAACGGAGGAGCAGAATCGGCACCCTGCATGGATTTCTCAAGCATCCAAAGCCACTGAATAGGCACCAAATCCTGATCGTCAAAGGTACATTGTTGCTGGTACAAGAACATGTCATTGACAGTGGCACCGTAACGTCTGGCGTGATGACATAGCGTGTCAGCCGCTTCGTTCCAAGGATGATCACTATGTCCTCGCAAATGTGTCCAAATGAAAGGCTCCAAAGTGGAAACTTCAAGCCAGTGCAGAAGCGCTCGAATGGGCAAAAGGAGGTCACTATTGTGTGAACTACCAAATTGACCCTGTGCAACTCCGGCTACAGTTTGACAATCAAATGCGAATTCAACTTTGGCTGCAGGATAGGCAAAACCAATTTGGAGATGGCAACACCAGCGGATTGCAAGCAGCAAAGCTGTGGCTTCTGCTCGAGGCGCTGTGTGTGTGCCGATGCAAGGTGTGGTTAAATAGCCACCCCACCGAAGGCCAGAGTCAGTGTGCACAAGCAAGACCACTGCCGATGTAGCTTGGGTAGATCCTCTTTTGGCCGACCCATCTGTATAGAAAGAGAAGCCAAGAGGAAATTCATCAGTCCAACAGACCATGTCTTGCAGAGCTTGCCTGGTAGATTGGCGCCATGCAATGTGATCCCATGCATATGTTGAAGTGACTGGCTGCCAGTTTCGCAACTGTTGTCGTAGGAAAATGGCTTTGTGGCAGTTCACTTTGACCCAGCTTGGTGTGACACAAGACTCAACTAAATCATCCAATCTTAGCTGCTTGCGTTGGCACTTTGTTTGCAAAAGATTGAAGGCTTCATCCTCATCATCTGTCGAATGAGGGGCCGGCTGGTGCCAAGGAATTGCATGTTGAACAGAGAACAACAAGGTGGCTGCTTGTGGAAGCGGTTCATGCCACGCAGGTGTAATTTCATGCTCATGCCACCACATTCGACATTGAACATCTGGGGAAGATGTCGCACACCGGTGATCGAGATCAACCAGATCCAAAAGATCTTGGCGAAGATGAGTCTGAGAAAGGGTCAGGCACATCAATCTCGGGTGCCACGGGTCCTCTGCTGTGTCAGAGATGGAGACCAAAGTCGTGACTCTGTTTGGTTGCGCTTGTTGAACCATGACCAAATGCACCATGACCTCAGGATCACCTCCATCAGGTTGAGGATCTGCTATGTAGCAAGCCAGAGCTTGGAATGGGTCAATGTGATCTTCCCATGCCATGACAATGGCTGTATACCAAGTGCGAAAGTCAGCTTCTAGTCGAACCACTCGTCCAATGCCACTGTGAGGACGCCTGACATGATCACTGAACCAAGTTTCAACAAAGATGGCATTTGACAAAGTTGTGCCAAAGTGCGGGAGTCTTTGTGTGACAACTTGGAGGAGTTCTCCAATAAACTCCGGTTGTCCAGCAAGTTGCACTTGTAATGGATCACGCCTCAACAGATGGTCACGAGCTTGCTGAACCTGTTCTGTTGGCGCATCGTCAAGTTTGGCGACAATCTTGGCATAGGATCTGTCACAATGCGAGTTGCTGACTAAGGTGGCGGTCTCAGTGGCCAACATGTGATTGGTGGTCGGCAAAAGTGCCCGAAACTGACCAATGTCGTATTGGATCAAAGAAAAGTCATCATCTGCTGGCTCAGTACGTCGACTGGGTTGGTCATAAGCATCCACATCTGTCATGCCGGTTTCATGACTGAGTCGGGCTCGAAGGTCGACTGCTTGGCGTCGTAGTCGGTGGCTTCTTGGCCTCGATTGGCTGACACATGTTCGTGTGGATGTTGCTGCATCTGCGGAAGGCAGGGGCGGTATGGCTATGCGAAGATAGTCACCGTGCTCAAGGTAGAAGCTGTGTTGCCGCTGCAGAGGGACAACCTCATTATTGATCCACATCGCGCACCTTTTCCGAACTCGATCACAGTAACCCTGAGCATCGCATATTGATTAGAATCAATATTTTGAGGCTCTGAGATATTGATTTGCTTGGTCAACTTGCAAATCAATATTTTTTATTGATATTTTTCTTGATAGCATATTGATTTGAAATATTGATTCATTTCTTGATAGCATATTGATAGGTTTGTGAACCCAATCAAAATCAATATCAATATCAATATCCTGCAGCTGTTTGGCTCTTTGAGCTGTTTTGTTTTTCAGCTTGCAATTTTGGAAATATCTTGGATAAGGTCTAGGCTTGGGCAAATCCAAGTCAAGGTCTTGGAAAAGTCCAAACAGGTCCTGGAAAAGTCCAAACAGGTCTTGGAAAAGACCATGTCTGGGGGTAGGGGTGGGCCCAGGCACCAGCCCAAACCCTGGATAGATGTGGGGCTTCTCTATGATTGCTTGAAAAAGCATGAGAAGGAACCCAGCTGTTTGACAGCAGTAGCTGGCAAACTTACGAGGCTGCAGTACCAAGCTCCCATGGAAGGCTTGAAAAAGCTCAAACTGAGCAATGAAGATCAGCTTGGAAAAGCACCTGCAAACAAGAAGCTTGGAAAAGCACATGCAGCCCAGGAGGATTTGCTTGGAAAAGCAGGAGCAAGCAAGAGGCAGCTGGTGCCAAGGGACAGTGATGTGGAGGGTGGTAAGGGTGGCAAGATGCACCTGATTGTGGAGATCAGTGCAAAGATGACTCCACACTATAAGGCCTTGATTGGCAAGATCAGGGAAGCCTTGGAAAAGGACAACCTGACCAAGGAGGAAGCCCTCTCTATGAGAGCCAAGCTCTTGGAGCAATATGGCTCATAGGAGGCTTCCATCCCAAATGCCTTGGAAAAGGCAAGAGCATCAGGTGCAGCATGGTCTTGGAAAAGACTAGAAAGGTTTTGCAAAAGACCTAGACAAGGTTTTGGAAAAAGCCTTATAAAGAAATGTCTTGGAAAAGGCTTCAAAAAAGTTTTGGAAAAGACTGTAGAAAGGTTTTGAAAACGACTTAGACAAGGTTTTGAAAAAAACCTAGACAAGGTTTTGGGGAAAAACCCTTATATAAAAAGGTCTTCGAAAAGACCTAAGAGGGTGTTGGAAATACCCAGAAAGGATAAGTCTTGGAAAAGACTTGTATATAGGCACTACACTTTTGCTCTGTGTGAAAAAAATGCAGTGCAGCCAGGTGCAGCTGTTGTAGTTTGTACCTGTGATAGTGCAACTCTGGGGGTGAGGGGGAACTTTCATGCATGTCTGCAGCTGTTTTTGTTCAGTTTGAGCAGGTTGCAACAACACACAGCTACATGCAGGTACAAGCAACACACACACATATATATATATACACATACACACACACAGACACACACACACACATACACTTCTACACACACTTCCACACACACTTCCACACACAGGCACAACACAACCTTCAGCCACTTCCTTTGTAGCTGAGCTGTTGGTTGGCTTGGAAAAGCTTTCTTGTCCTGGAAAGGGCTTGCTTTCTTGGAAAAGAAAGCCAGCTTTCTTGGAAAAGGAAGCCAATTGGGTGGCCAAAGCTTGGAAAAGCTATGCAGGAGCCTGAAGGGCCACCCAACAAGAAGGGGAGGCCCTTTGGGCATGGGACCACATCCCATGCCAGGAGAGAGAGGAGGGCCCACATGCAATGGTCAGCCTTGGAAAAGGATGACCCAGCCAGCTCCCAATGCTTGGTGAAGCATCTGGCAGCCTTGGAAAAGGCCCAGAAGAAGTGCCAGGAGAAGCTGGCAACTTCTCTGGCACAGAGCCTTGCCAAGGAGGGTGGGGGGGGTTCCAAACATCTTGGAAAAGATGGGAACCCCAGGGAGGTTCGCCTCACCCCAGCAGGAGCTGGAGAGCAGGCCAGCTCCTCCAGCTCTGGCTTGAAAAAGCCAGAGAAGAAGAGGGCCAACAAGTCAGACTTGGAAAAGTCGACTAAGGGATTGGAAAATCCCAAAAAGAGCAAGGGCTTGGAAAAGCCCACAGGCACAGGCTTGGAAAAGCCCACAAAGCCTGTTGTCATTGTGGACTGGTACAACACCCTTTTTGTGGGTGATTCAGTCCCAGTGGAGAACATCACCAGCTTGGAAAAGCTGTGTGCCTCCTGCCATGTGCCTGTGCTCTCCTTTGTGGCCACCAAGGCCAGGAAGGAGAAAGTCCTGCAGGACATGGAGCTCATGCTCCCAGACCACCTCCAGCAGGTCATCTGCAAAGAGACCTGCTGGAAGAAGGTGGGGCGCACAGGCAAGTGTGCCTGGGCCTGGGAGTGGGGAGCTGAAGCAATCTTTGATGATTGCAAAGCAATCCTCAAAGAAAGCATGGAGTGGGGGTTGGAAACATACCCCATCAACACCATGCAAGAAGGCCATGCTTGGGCAGGTGGTGGGTATGAGACCTTTGCTCTGGCAGTAGAGGCATACCTGAAGGACCACTGAGCCCAAGCATGGCCTTCAGTGCTTGGAAAAGCACCTTGGAGCTTGGAAAAGCTCCAAGAGGCTTGGAAAAGCCTAAAGTTGCTTCAGCTCCCCACTGGCTTGGAAAAGCTAGCATGAGTGACATGGCTTGGAAAAGCCTGCAGGGCAGGTCTGCATGGATGGGGCTGCATGTTTGGTTTTTAAAACAGTTTATTTTTGTGAAACCAAAAACAATCAAACCTTATCATTAACATTCTATATGGTTTGTGGTGTTTATGGTCTAAACATGCAGCCCCTGAAATGCAGACCTTACACAAATGGCTTGGAAAAGCCATAGAAACACCAGGCACTCTTGAGGCTGCAAAGAAAATCAACCAACAAACCAAAACAGTTTCAACTTTACTTTGTTTGTTGTTCAAATGCAGCCTCAAGAGTGCCTGGTGCAGTGGCTTGGAAAAGCCACTCATGCATGCAGCAACAGGCTTTTCCAAGCCTGTTGCTGTTTTTGTGCTTTTTTTTTCCATGTTTCACATGTACAGTGTACAGTGTACAGTCAGCTTGTACAGGCTGTGTTTTTGAAGGTGTAGCTGGTAACACACCAGCTACACCAAAGACTAAAAAATAATGAAAAATGAAATTTAAAAAATAATATAAATATAATTAATTGAATTTAATAAGAAATATATTTATATAATTATATAAGGATAGTTAAGTGAATTTAATAAGAAATATATATATATATATATACATGCATGTTTTAAGAAAATATATGCAGTAAATATATGGTTTAGAAAGATGTTTATATATTTAAATATATATTTAATAAATATATATATATACATATCAATATTTGAATTTAAATATATAGATATAAATAAAACAAATACAGTTTCATGCACAATGTATGCATTTACATTCTTTACATGTTTCTTCAAGATATTTTGTTTTTTTCTTTTGTTCTGAATTTTTGCACATGATTATTCAAAATGTTTTGTTTTTTGTGTTTCTTGTGCTCTGTTTTTTTGGTGCAAACACAAGTAGAGCCAGTCAAGAACTTGACAAAACTAAACTCTGGGACAACACAAAAACCACAGGCTTGGAAAAGCCTGAAAATTTTGAAGCCTGCATGGAAGTGCCCAAGTAAAATTCAAAACAGACCTGCCCAAAACTCAATTGTTTTGTTTTGTTTTTGCAATGTTCTTGCAAATTAATTTCTTGGGTCCAAGCTGGCATGAAATCTGGTGAGACTCACCTGTAAAAATAAAATATAACAGCACAGGTTTTTCCAAACCTGTAACTTTAAAACTCTGGAGACCATCAAATTCAATTTGACACAGTTTCTTCAAAAAACAAACATGTCTGATTTGAACAGGACAAAACACATAAACATTCACACAACCAAAATTTGATTTGCAATCTAAAAAAAATCAAGCAAAGATATTGATGTTTTTTTGCACTAAAAGTAAATTAAACATTCCCTTTAATCTCAACCCAGGCAAATGCCAGAAGAAAAATAACAACAACATAAACCTGTTGGTTTCAGGTTTGAACAAAACCACTGGATAAATATTTTTTTCAAAAAAAAATAAAAAATATAAGTCAGATCAAATCTGATCAAATCTGATCAAATTTGATCAAATCTGATCAAATTTGATCAAAAACAAGTTTTGATCAGATTTGATCAAATTTGATCAAAATTGATCAGAATTGATCAGATTTGATCAGATTTGTACTTGTCTATTTTTTTGTAGTTTTTTTTGAAAACAAAATTAATTGGTTGATCTGTGCGCTAACAAATTTGTAGGACATGAATTGTCCATTGGATTCAAAAATAAAAACAAAAATAATGGTGTTTGTTCAACACAATGCATTTCATTTAAAAATATTTTGCATTTGTTTTTTTAGTTTCAAATATGCACATATATGTTTTATATATATATACTTTTTTTCAAAGCACTTTTACACTAACAACAAAATATGTTGGAAAATGCAATATATGTTGTTAATATTTTCAAAGAATGCAAACTAGTCATTGGAAACATTTTTTGAAGACATAAACATATAAACAAATTTAGCGCATACATGTTTTTGGACTTGGAAAAGTCCATGTGTTTATTAAAAAACAAAAAACAAATATAACATATTGTTCCACTAGTTTATTATCAAACATGCAGGTGTGGTTGAAACATTTGGTTTGTTTAAAAAATCTATATTACATGTTGTATGGTTTGGGGTGTGGTGTGTTAAATGATTTGGGGTGAGATATAACATGGGTTGCAAAACATATATATATATGTATTTGAATATAACTGTATGTATATATAGTTATGTATATATGTATTTGAATATGTATATATATATATATTTATTTATGTAAATAAATAAATAAATATATATATATACATATAAAAAACATGCATGCATGATGCATGTGGCAGTTTTGGTTCAAACGTCTTGTAGCAGTTAGCTAAGCAATTTGAAACAAAACACACAAAGCAAAACAAAACAAACAAAGCAATGGCACCAAAGAAAGCCATGAAAGGCATGAAGGCAAAGGGCTTGGAAAAGCCTAAGGGCTTGGAAAAGCTAAAGAAAGTTATGAAGAAACCAAAGGCTTCCTCCAGCAAGCCTGGAAAGGCTAATAGGCCTGGAAAGGCTAGCAAGCTCAGCAAGGCCAGCTTGGAAAAGTTAGGCCAGATGAGCTTGAAAGACAAGATGAAGGCAGCAGCTGAAGGGGCTGAGGACCCAAATGAAGCTGCCATTGTCTTGCATGACAGCATGTCAAAGCTGGAGAAGTCAAAGGCTTGGAGCAAACACCAGACTGCTCTGAAGCATGGCTCCAAGCAGGAGCAGGCAGCTTACAATGACTTGTCCAAGAAAGACAAAGGCATTGCAGCTGCAGCCTATCTCTTGGAAAAGGAAGGCAAGCAATTCATGACAGCCTTGAAAAAGGTGTCTGTGGGAGAAAAGGTCACCAAGGCTGACAACTGGGAGACAGAGCTGCAGATGCTGGCCAAGTTCACACCAGAGGAACTTGACCTGCATCTGCAATCTGGAAGAGTTGTCTGGAGAGAGTGCCCTTCCACATGGGGTGCTTATGAATATAAGGACACCCAGTGCTTCCAAAGGGAGATCACCACCAACAGGGCCAAGGAATGGCAGAGTGGGGTGGAGTATGATCCAATGGAAGAGGACTTGGAAAAGTTCATGGATCTCTTCACCAAAGAGTGCCATTCCTTGGAGGTGGATGATCATCCCAAGGGCAAGGGCTCTGGAAAGAGCTATGGGAAGGGCAAAGGCCTTGGAAAAGGCAAAACCAAGAACAAGAGCAACCAGGACACTCCTGATGACAAGCTGGATACCTTGGAAAAGGTACTGAAAGCTTGCAAGACAGCCAGGAACATGGTTGCATCCACACAGTCAGACTTGGAACTGGCTTTGGAAAAGGCTAAGTCCAAGCTGAACAAGGCTGGCAGAGCATCTGCAGAGACTGCTCTCAAGAAGCTTGGAAAAGCTCTTGGTGACCTGAAAGCCATGTTGTCTGGAAAGAACAACAATCCTGCTTCCATCAAGAAGAAGCTGATGGATGTGGACCAAACTGTCAAGGAAGCCAAAGATGAGACCAAAGAGCTCAAGAGTGTTGGTGGCAAAGCCCAGTCCACAGCTGGAAGCAGGAGAGGCAATTGATTTTGGAAAAGGTCAGTGCCAAAAGGTCTTGGAAAAGACATATATTTCCACACATGGAAGCAGAAAAGCAAAGTGATTTTGGAAAACATCACATTCACAAGGTCTTGGGAAAGACTTATATGCTTCCACAGATGGGAACAGAAAAGCAAAGTGACTTTGGAAAAGGTCACAGCCAAAGAGCCTTGGAAAAGGCATGGTAGGAATGCCATGGGTTGCATCTTTAAACCCAAAGACTCCAGTTTGCAACCCATGGCCATAGGCACTAGCTTTGGCAAAGACCTTTGGGCAGCCTCAGCTTTGGCTTGTATGGAAAAAGGTGTGGCTGCTGCCACCCCCAAGCATGACACATGTAGCAATTGGGGTGGCAAAAACATCCATGTAGCTCATTGCTACCATCTGCAGCTGTTGGCTTCAGTTTGTCTGGAACCTTCAATTTCAAACATGCACAGCACACACAACTTCAATTTCAAACATGCACAACACAACAACATACAAACTGGTAACAACAACACACTGACACACAACACACCACACAAAACAACACACAGCAATCAGCCTCTTGCAGTAGCTGAGCTGTTGGTGAGCTTGGAAAAGTTCTGCTGCCCTGGCCCTGGAAAGAGGCTCCCTGGTCTTGGAAAAGGCTAGCCTGCCAAGTCTTGGAAAAGGCTCTTGCCCTGGAAAAGGGTTTCCCTAAAGGTCTTGGAAAAGGCTAGCCTGCCAAGTCTTGGAAAAGGCTCTTGCCCTGGAAAAGGGTTTCCCTAAAGGTCTTGGAAAAGGCTAGCCTGCCAAGTCTTGGAAAAGACTTTTTCTGTGTGCAGGGCCTATAGTCTTGGAAAAGACTTGGTTGCTGGGGCTTGAAAAAGCTTGTGTGCAATGTCCACACTCCCAGCACCAGAGAAGGCCCTAAGGAAGGAAGTCAGGGAGGAAATCCTGACCCTTCCTGCATATGCTGCCCCAGAGCAGCATTATAGAAGCACACAGCTGGCAGTGTGCCAAAGACCACTGAAGGTGACAGGTCTTTCTGTGTGGATCGACCTGTTGCCAGGCCAGGAGGTCTACATAGGGCTGGAGTTTCAGTGCGAATTCTTGCCAATGCTGATCTCTCCACATGTTACAATTGGAAAATTTAAATATGAAGGGAGAATCAAAATCAGCAAGCTGTATGAAAGCATGCAGTGGACATTGCAAGAATTTGCAATTACTTCAGCCACTTTGTCACCTTATGGTGGGGGCTACAATTGGCAAATTGAAGCTGCAACAGATTTCTATTGGCTCTGCAGACAGCTAAGAAAGATTGCCCAGCAAGCTGGCTTAGAAGGATTGTGGCTGCCCACCTTCCATGTATCCTGGCATGGCTTGCCCTAGCCTGTGGCACTTTGGAAAAGGTGTTTCACAGAAAAGCTTGGCATGCTTTGGAAAAAGCAAAAGGCAAACATGATTTGGGGCAAAATTGTGGGTTTTGGAAAAGACCTGCTGTCTCAATTCATGTGGCCTTGGGAAAGGCTTTGGCTGGCATGAGGTAGCCAAGTTGCAGCAACTTGCTTTGGAAAAGGCAAACCCAAGTGGCTGGCCATGCCTTGGAAAAGGCAAAAGGCACACATGCTTTGGGAAAGGCATGTGGGTTTTGGAAAAGACATCTTATATAATTGTAGCCACTGTGGCTTTGGAAAAAGCTTTGGCATGTTGCTTTGGAAAAGGCAAACCCAAGTGGCTTGCCATGCCTTGGAAAAGGCAAAAGGCACATATGCTTTGGAAAAGGCATGGCAAAAAGTCCAGAAACATTGGAAAATGCTAAGCTTTGGAAAAGGCCAAGGAAGCTTTGGACTTGGAAAAGGCCAAAAAGCCTTGGAAAAGGCCAAGAAGCATTGGAAAAGGCCAAGAAGCCTTGGAAAAGGCCAAGGAGGCTTTGGAAAATGTAGCTCTTTGGAAAAGGCCAAAGTAGCCTTTCTATATAATCATGTTTCACCCATGACCAGAGGCAAAGATCTCGACTGTTCCTTGAAAAATGCTTGTTTTGCAGCACCTGAAATATTGATTTTTCTCTTGATTTCATATGGTCAAAATCATCATTTTTTACATTGAAATATTGATTTGAAAAATCAATATCTGATATTGATTTTTCAACCCATCAAAATCAATATATTGATTCTAATCAATATGCGATGCTCAGGGACATTCCCATATATATGAAATGGATTGAAATGGAAAGTCATAAAATTCCATGGTTCCAAACCACCAACCAGATGAAATTTTAGCTTCACTCAATTTCCAGATCAACACAAAAAAGTTGTCCAAACGCACATTTGCACGCGACAAATCCGCACTAGCTGCGCTAACACGAATTTCCTACGTATGTATATACCCATAGGATCCATGGTGCTGGTATATATATGCTAACATAAAGGCGGTATATTGATGGGATCCATGGAGCACCATATATAGCAGCAGCATGGATCCGTCATGGGATACAGTACATCAGGGGGAAGTTCAGGAAAGTTGGGTCCCCAAACCAAAAAAAATGTGCGAACGCCGAGGTTTCAGCGGTTGTACACTGTACAAATTGAGTCGACTGACATGTCGACTGACATATTAAAGAAAAATGGATGGAGATGTTTTTTCATGCATTGACATTAATATTGACATATGGGGGTGGGTCAAAACCTATTATTATCAATTCTAATGGGATGAACATCCATTTACCAGCTATTTTGGGGTTCACTAGGTGCCAGGGTTTTGACCAATAGCCATATATTGACATATTTCATACATATGCATGTAAACATACCCTCAACTTGCTTGAACATGACCACGACAGTTAAATTAGCGAGCACCACCCAGATCTCTGCCTGTGGTACAATTTGGCTGCAATTGCTGCGCAGTTGTACTTTGTACAGGGCACAGCTGAAACTATATCACAACCATGTGATGTGATAAACAGAACGCTTACCCCTCTGAAATCAAACATGGGCCCAAACAAAACATGGTCATTTTGAATGGGTTAGCAAAATTCTTCCGATTTTGGTGTCGTGTGGATTTCCAGTCCCATGTTCAACTTTCAGGAGGTGACCCTTCCAGTTCTGACTCGACTGCAGATTGGCAGGTGAAATGGATCAAAGGAAAAAAAGGTGAAAGTGCTTTTCAAATCCATAGGATCCATGTATGCTATATATGGTAACATTTACCATCAATATACCCCAAATGTTAGCATATATAATATATATATACCATACATGGATCCTATAAGAGAATACATTCATGAAGTTTTGGTGCACATGTTTTATTACATCACGTGGTTTTCCAACATGGGAACCAGAAGGGCAACGGGCCGGGCAGGGGAAAACTCCGCGGAGTTTCCAGATCTTGCCCTGTGGGAACCTTCGAACTTCCTCAGTGAGTCCGAAGTGACGATGAGATCCAGTGGCACTGCCCATGGGGGCCCTTTTAGGACTTGGCATTCTGGGGATCTGATCTGGACGAACCAAAGAAGATGGAGATATCACTTGGTGGCGAACATCCCACGAATCGTCAGTGGGTAAGTTCACCCCAGTGATTTACATGGGATTTTTGTAGGGTTAATCCACTGAAATCACTGGGGTGAACTAACCCATTTACGATTCGTGGGATGAGCCACCAAGCACTGATCAAATTGAGGCTCCAGCAGGGCATGCCAATCCAACAGGGTATACCCTGCAGAGGTCAGGGATCTCCAGATTTTGCGGCGCTACATCAGGCTAGGCTCAAATCCATCACGCCTGCAGGAAGCACTACTGAAAACAAACGCAAAAAACTCGGAAGTGGAGGTCAAATGCAACGAACATGTCCAATATTTTGCAGATGTGAAAGTATTGGCCCAAGAATGAAAGAATGGAATCCATTCGTTCCCAATACAGGTATATTTCACATTCTTGACGCCAATATTTTCAAGAATGAATTGCCTGGCCCACTTTCGTGAAAACGTTCCCTATGTATGCGGGATCAACTCATCTCCGAAATCGGATGGTGGGATCTGATGAAAAAACCCATTGGAATTGGATGGGATTGGGTTGCAAGACTGTATTCTTAATATTCTTATCATCTACTCCTGCACTCTTTTTGTCAAAAATCTCAAACTATCTAGAAATGCACTAAATAGTAATTCTTGCACTTGAACTGCATCGAATCGAATTGCATCAATCCTGATGTGCCTGTCCAAACGTAGTTGGGAATAGATCTGTTGTTTACGTTTGTAAGAACGGAGGCAAACAGAAACATATAGCACTCGCACCCGCAAAATAGATAGAGTGCGAAACCTGAAAAATACGGGGGTGACAGGCTGCAAAGCCCTTTCGGCATCCTTGGCGGATGGTATTGCGGTGATCCCCATTGGCGACAAATCCGTTGGATGATTCTACTTCAGTGATCCATCATTTGGGTATGGGTCAATACCTATAGATACATTTTTAGTGGGATGAACATCCATTTACCAGCTATTTTGGGGTTCACTAGGTACCAGGGTTTTGACCCATCCCCATTTGGTTCTTGCAAACAATAACATATGGAAGGCCTGTCTTCACACTGAAAAATCTTGGTCCATTAAACACGATCTAAACGCAATGCCCTGTAAAAGTTGTCTGTTTTCAGAAATAGTTTCAGCCTGATCTCCAATGCTTTCCTATCTTTATGTATATATATTACAAACATATTGCAGACACATACATTAATTTACATTCATTTACCTATCATTTACATTCATGCAGACATTCATTTACATTCATATATACATATATAACATTATATAACATATATACATATATAATATAGATAGATAGGCACCTCCAGCTCTTGGGCGCCTCAACAAGGTGCCGCCGAAAAGTCGGAGGTCGGTTTTTTGGGGGTGAAAAATGGCAACCAAAAAGGGGGCTTTGTTTGTTGTTTTTGCCTGGAAAAGATCATTCAGATTCTATAGACCATGCTGCAGAAAAAAATCTGGAATACCTTTTTTGGTATCTGGCAGATAATTCACTAGCCTGATTTTTGTCAAATGGCTGTTGTCATACTGACATTTGGAGATTATTTTATTCGAATCAGAAGCAGCATTGACGTCACGAGTGAGTTCACGAGTGGGTTTCCATCCAGATATCATGGGATCTTAGATAAGCAACAATCTGATTTTGGGCCCTGAAAACGTTGGACGAACCTCCAGGGCTTATCACCAGGATTTATTGGAAAAAATCACAATTTGAACTTCCATTTGGATGGTCAGTTCGGGGTACACCATTTACATTATTTATAAGAGTGAGGAGATGCCGATCTGCTAAGCCGAAAAAAAATCTAAATGATGGCTAGTTGATGTTCAATGTGCTAAGAAACAAACACTGGACATGGCAAAGTGTTCATCAAATTCTACTTACAGAGATACCACAATGTCACCATGTGTTTTCTTTCTCTGCTGGAAAACATGGCCTCACATGTGTTTTGCCGGCAAAAGCATTGGTTTCAAGTAACCAGAGGCACCAGAATCAAGATGCGGGGATGGATCAAAACCAATCATATATATATATATACATACATACATAAAACACACATAGTACAAACATAATCATACATATGTATATATATATAACCTATATAACTTATAAAACTATATATATATAATTATACACATCATGAAAACATCCATAATATATATATATATATTATCCTAATTAAATTGAATGACCTATAATAATTTGGGGGGATGATGGGTGCAGAGTGACGTTGTTTGGCTTCCTTGGGATCCAACCAAAACGCTCGACCGCTCGACGCTCGTCCATCCAACAGGAACAACAGGATCCAGTTCATCATAATAATGATAGTTAATGATAGTTAATGATCTAGTTTTCATAGTTTAGATAATGATAGTTAATGATAGATAATGATATAGTAATATAGTAATAATATAGTTTTTCATATAGTAATATCCGCCGACCCCGGCCTTCGCCAAGGCAGGGGCGGCGCCTGGGACCACCGGAGGTGTGGAACCTGCTTTGTCACGGCCATGGCCTTCACGTTGTCCAAGGCTTCCACCAAGCCCAGTGGCTGAACCTGCCGTTTGGTGCACATAGTCTCTGTTGTTAGGGCGTTCTGCTGTTCCAGCGTCGCGGCCGCAGCAATGGCTTCTTATAGGCGTTCAAGGCTGCCGTTTGACAGGCTTCAAACCCCTAAACGGAGGTGTGGAACCTGCTTTGTCACGGCCATGGCCTTCACGTTGTCCAAGGCTTCCACCAAGCCCTGTGGCTGTAAGCTTCTGCTGTTCCAGCGTTGCAACCTGCCGTTTGGTGCACACAGCCTCTGTTGTTAGGGCGTTCTGCTGTTCCAGCGTCGCGGCCGCAGCAATGGCTTCTTATAGGCGTTCAAGGCTGCCGTTTGACAGGCTTCAAACCCCTAAAATGTCTCGCCGGCCGTTTGCAATGCTTCGAATACTCGCCGTCAGCCCCTGCTGTTCCAGCGTTGCAGCCTGCCGTTTGCCTGCACAGAGCCCAACACGCGCCACTCCCGCATGCACAACGCCCAACTTTGCAGGCAAACGGTACCCCAACAAGCCCAACAGGCGCCACGCCCGCAGGCAAAAGCCACCACAAGGCCACAGCAATGGCTCAAGGCATCCCCGCGGCCGCAGCAATGGCTTCTTATAGGCGTTCAAGGCTGCCGTTTGACAGGCTTCAAACCCCTAAAATGCTTCGCCGGCCGTTTGCAATGCTTCCAATACTCGGCCGGCCGGTTGCACCAAGCCCTGTAGCCGTCAGCCCCTGCTGTTCCAGCGTCGCGGCCGCAGCAATGGCTTCTTATAGGCGTTCAAGGCTGCCGTTTGACAGGCTTCAAACCCCTAAAATGCCTCGCCGGCCGTTTGCAATGCTTCCAATACTCCGCCGGCCGGTTGCACCAAGCCCTGTAGCCGTCAGCCTCTGCTGTTCCAGCGTTGCAGCCTGCCGTTTGCCTGCACAGAGCCCAACACGCGCCACTCCCGCATACACAACGCCCAACTTCGCAGGCAAACGGTACCCCAACAAGCCCAACAGGCGCCACGCCCGCAGGCAAAAGCCACCACAAGGCCACAGCAATGGCTCAAGGCATTCCCCCGGCCGCAGCAATGGCTTCTTATAGGCGTTCAAGGCTGCCGTTTGACAGGCTTCAAACCCCTAAAATGCCTCGCCGGCCGTTTGCAATGCTTCCAATACTCGGCCGGCCGGTTGCACCAAGCCCTGTAGCCGTCAGCCCCTGCTGTTCCAGCGTCGCGGCCGCAGCAATGGCTTCTTATAGGCGTTCAAGGCTGCCGTTTGACAGGCTTCAAACCCCTAAAATGCCTCGCCGGCCGTTTGCAATGCTTCCAATACTCCGCCGGCCGGTTGCACCAAGCCCTGTAGCCGTCAGCCCCTGCTGTTCCAGCGTTGCAGCCTGCCGTTTGCCTGCACAGAGCCCAACACGCGCCACTCCCGCATGCACAACGCCCAACTTCGCAGGCAAACGGTACCCCAACAAGCCCAACAGGCGCCACGCCCGCAGGCAAAAGCCACCACAAGGCCACAGCAATGGCTCAAGGCATCCCCCCGGCCGCAGCAATGGCTTCTTATAGGCGTTCAAGGCTGCCGTTTGACAGGCTTCAAACCCCTAAAATGCCTCGCCGGCCGTTTGCAATGCTTCCAATACTCGCCGTCAGCCTGTGCTGTTCCAGCGTTGCAGCCTGCCGTTTGCCTGCACAGAGCCCAACACGCGCCACTCCCGCACGCACAACGCCCAACTTCGCAGGCAAACGGTATACCCCAACAAGCGCAACAGGCGCCACGCCCGCAGGCAAAAGCCACCACAAGGCCAAGGCATCCCCGCGGCCGCAGCAATGGCTTCTTATAGGCGTTCAAGGCTGCCGTTTGACAGGCTTCAAACTTCAAACCCCTAAAATGCCTCGCAGGCCGTTTGCAATGCTTCCAATACTCGGCCGGCCGGTTGCACCAAGCCCAAGGCCACAGCAATGGCTCAAGGCATCCCCCCGGCCACAGCAATGGCTTCTTATAGGCGTTCAAGGCTGCCGTTTGACAGGCTTCAAACCCCTAAAATGCTTCGCCGGCCGTTTGCAATGCTTCCAATACTCGGCCGGCCGGTTGCACCAAGCCCTGTAGCCGTCAGCCCCTGCTGTTCCAGCGTCGCGGCCGCAGCAATGGCTTCTTATAGGCGTTCAAGGCTGCCGTTTGACAGGCTTCAAACCCCTAAAATGCCTCGCCGGCCGTTTGCAATGCTTCCAATACTCCGCCGGCCGGTTGCACCAAGCCCTGTAGCCGTCAGCCCCTGCTGTTCCAGCGTTGCAGCCTGCCGTTTGCCTGCACAGAGCCCAACACGCGCCACTCCCGCATGCACAACGCCCAACTTCGCAGGCAAACGGTACCCTAACAAGCCCAACAGGCGCCACGCCCGCAGGCAAAAGCCACCACAAGGCCACAGCAATGGCTCAAGGCATCCCCCCGGCCGCAGCAATGGCTTCTTATAGGCGTTCAAGGCTGCCGTTTGACAGGCTTCAAACCCCTAAAATGCCTCGCCGGCCGTTTGCAATGCTTCCAATCCTCGCCGTCAGCCTGTGCTGTTCCAGCGTTGCAGCCTGCCGTTTGCCTGCACAGAGCCCAACACGCGCCACTCCCGCATGCACAACGCCCAACTTCGCAGGCAAATGGTACCCCAACAAGCCCAACAGGCGCCACGCCCGCAGGCAAAAGCCACCACAAGGCCACAGCAATGGCTCAAGGCATCCCCCCGGCCGCAGCAATGGCTTCTTATAGGCGTTCAAGCCTGCCGTTTGCCTGCACAGAGCCCAACACGCGCCACTCCCGCATGCACAACGCCCAACTTCGCAGGCAAACGGTACCCCAACAAGCCCAACAGGCGCCACGCCCGCAGGCAAAAGCCACCACAAGGCCACAGCAATGGCTCAAGGCATCCCCCCGGCCGCAGCAATGGCTTCTTATAGGCGTTCAAGGCTGCCGTTTGACAGGCTTCAAACCCCTAAAATGCCTCGCCGGCCGTTTGCAATGCTTCCAATCCTCGCCGTCAGCCTGTGCTGTTCCAGCGTTGCAGCCTGCCGTTTGCCTGCACAGAGCCCAACACGCGCCACTCCCGCACGCACAACGCCCAACTTCGCAGGCAAACGGTACCCCAACAAGCGCAACAGGCGCCACGCCCGCAGGCAAAAGCCACCACAAGGCCACAGCAATGGCTCAAGGCATCCCCGCGGCCGCAGCAATGGCTTCTTATAGGCGTTCAAGGCTGCCGTTTGACAGGCTTCAAACCCCTAAAATGCCTCGCCGGCCGTTTGCAATGCTTCCAATACTCGGCCGGCCGGTCGCACCAAGCCCTGTAGCCGTCAGCCCCTGCTGTTCCAGCGTCGCGGCCGCAGCAATGGCTTCTTATAGGCGTTCAAGGCTGCCGTTTGACAGGCTTCAAACCCCTAAAATGCCTCGCCGGCCGTTTGCAATGCTTCCAATACTCCGCCGGCCGGTTGCACCAAGCCCTGTAGCCGTCAGCCTCTGCTGTTCCAGCGTTGCAGCCTGCCGTTTGCCTGCACAGAGCCCAACACGCGCCACTCCCGCATACACAACGCCCAACTTCGCAGGCAAACGGTACCCCAACAAGCCCAACAGGCGCCACGCCCGCAGGCAAAAGCCACCACAAGGCCACAGCAATGGCTCAAGGCATTCCCCCGGCCGCAGCAATGGCTTCTTATAGGCGTTCAAGGCTGCCGTTTGACAGGCTTCAAACCCCTAAAATGCCTCGCCGGCCGTTTGCAATGCTTCCAATACTCGGCCGGCCGGTTGCACCAAGCCCTGTAGCCGTCAGCCCCTACTGTTCCAGCGTCGCAGCCGCAGCAATGGCTTCTTATAGGCGTTCAAGGCTGCCGTTTGACAGGCTTCAAACCCCTAAAATGCCTCGCCGGCCGTTTGCAATGCTTCCAATACTCCGCCGGCCGGTTGCACCAAGCCCTGTAGCCGTCAGCCCCTGCTGTTCCAGCGTTGCAGCCTGCCGTTTGCCTGCACAGAGCCCAACACGCGCCACTCCCGCATGCACAACGCCCAACTTCGCAGGCAAACGGTACCCTAACAAGCCCAACAGGCGCCACGCCCGCAGGCAAAAGCCACCACAAGGCCACAGCAATGGCTCAAGGCATCCCCCCGGCCGCAGCAATGGCTTCTTATAGGCGTTCAAGGCTGCCGTTTGACAGGCTTCAAACCCCTAAAATGCCTCGCCGGCCGTTTGCAATGCTTCCAATCCTCGCCGTCAGCCCCTGCTGTTCCAGCGTTGCAGCCTGCCGTTTGCCTGCACAGAGCCCAACACGCGCCACTCCCGCACGCACAGGCAAACGGTACCCCAACAAGCGCAACAGGCGCCACGCCCGCAGGCAAAAGCCACCACAAGGCCACAGCAATGGCTCAAGGCATCCCCCCGGCCGCAGCAATGGCTTGTTATAGGCGTTCAAGGCTGCCGTTTGACAGGCTTCAAACCCTTAAAACCCTTAAAATGCCTCGCCGGCCGTTTGCCTGCATAGCGCTCTGTCGTTAGGGCGTCCATGCCTCGGGCACGCCCGCAGGCCACAGCAATGGCTCAGGGCATCCCCCCGGCCGCAGCAATGGCTTCTTATAGGCGTTCAAGGCTGCCGTTTGACAGGCTTCAAACCCTTAAAACCCTTAAAATGCCTCGCCGGCCGTTTGCCTGCATAGCGCTCTGTTGTTCAGGCGTCCATGCCTCGGGCGCCTCGCGGCAGCTTCCTCGCGGCAGCTTCCACCAAGCTTTGTGGCCGTCAGCCGTTGCTGTTCCAGCGTTGCAACCTGCTGTTTGCCTGCACATAGCGTCTGTTGTTAGGGTGTTCAAGCCTGCCGTTTGCCAGCGTTCAAACCCTTCCTCCCTCCCGGCCGCTTCCACCACACCGTCTGGCGGTAAGCCTTTGCTGTTCCAGCGTTGCAGCCAGCCTTCCAATCGTCAAAACTTTCAAAATCCTTGGGAGGCTTCCACCAGACACTCTGGCCGCAGGCATTTGTTGGGGGACTGTTGCCGCCCGCGGTTTGCTTCCATCGCGTCTGTTGTTCCTGCGTACATTCCTTCCGTTTGCCAGCTTTCACACCTCTCAAATGCTTCGCGGCAAAGGTTTTGCCATTGCCATCTGTTCCTACGGCAAGCGCAGCTTCTTTCTATTTCACTTCCTTTTTTTCTTTGCCTCTTTGTCGGGAACATGCCAATGTTTCATCTGGCATCGTTTTCCCGACGGCGTGACATGCGTCACCGCAATGCGCCCACATGACTGCGATGACCAAACAACCGTTGAGCACACCGGGCAACTGTGCGCATGACACCGTGTTTTCTTGCTGACCGCACCGTCCTTCACATAAAATCGGTTCCCGCAGACTGTTCGATGGTTGATTTGCCCTGTCCTGATATCGCTTCTCACACTTTCTCTGCAAAATGGACACCTGTAAACGATGCCTTTCTCTGTCACAACGCCATCCTGAACAGAAAATTTGTTCCCACAGACTGTTCGATGGTCTATTTGCCCTGTTGCCACGTTACTGGCCACATGCCCATTGCAGGTGGGACAAACGTAGTCATACTGTTTCGCACAGGGGCGTCCTTCCCTGACTCGGAAAAAGTTACCGCATGTGCGGCGGTGATTTACTTGGCCTGTTCGTACGGTACTGCTTACAGACTGATTGCAATGCGGGCACACGTACTGGAAAATCTTGCCCTTGGCCATGGCTTCTGCTGCCTTTCTTGGCCGCACCGCCCTCGGCCGTTCGTTGCTGTCGTCCTGTTGGCCATGTACCTCTGCAGGCCCCTCTGTGGTCATTTCTGTTCCGTTCTCTTGTCTGCGCTGTTTTGGCTTCGGCTCTGCTTCCTTCCTTTGGGGGCTCTCCTGTTCCCTCTTCCGTTTTCGTTCCGCGATGGCATCCCAGACATCGGCGATGGCGCGTGCCTTTTTTTCTTCCGCTGCCCTTCTCGCCACTTTCGCCTGCGTTGCCGCTACCCGCTGTACCGCTTTGCTGATGCTTCCCCGGGGAATGGGGCACTGCCAGCAGTTGCTACAGATTTGGTCACCATTACAAGAACGATGTTGCGCCAGCCAAGATTCAAAAGCGCACGCTGCTTGCTTTACCTTGCAGACGCTGCATCTCCACCAGCCCCATGCTTTACTCGAACAATCTAGACACACTCTACCGCCCCTGCGTGCTCGTTTCCAGGCCCCGCCAGAAAATTTCTTTTCGTCCTTGCGTGTATTGCAACCACTACACACTTGTGTCTGTTCGCACGTCTTACAAATACGATAAAATGTGGCTTGCGGCCTTGCATGTTCTGTCTTGAATGCATCTTCCTGTTTCCACGCCGTGCAGGCCATGCATTGCCACGGCTGCTGCGCTTCAACGTGCCTACGAATGCATTCCTTGCATACTCTCGCCGCATCTGCTCGTTTCCATCGACCAGCCGTGAATGCAGATGCCGGCTTTGCTTCATTGCATTCTTTGCATTGTCTTTCGTCTCGGTATTTCGCTCGCAGCGCCCTCCAATCCATTTTTTCACCACCCCAGAACCGCAAAATGGTGCTGCAGGGAACGGTCGGTACACAAACAAACCATACCTGTCTTGGACTCGCGTTAATGCAATGTAAGCTGTCAATGGGTCGCCTGCTTCCCCAATGTGCATGTCCATGACAACGCCTTCTTTGCACGTTTGCCCTTGGGCTGCGTGGACCCTGGAGCCAATGGAAACTGCTTCCGCGTGACACGGAGTACTGGCCGCTTCCGCCCCTTGTCCAGATACCACGGTTTCTTTTGCGGCGCTACGGGAAAAACGTTGTCTTCATCAATCCCTTCAAGGCTACCATTTGCGAGCCTCCCAACCCCTTACACACTGTCTTCTTGGGGCTGCAAGCGTGCCAGCCTTCAAACCCCTAAACGCTCCCCAGCAGCCCTACACAGTGTTTTGCTGAAGCTTCTACTTAAAACTCCCGGTTGCCAGCCTTCAAACGCGTCAACCCTCCGCAGCGGCCTTACACGCTCTATTCTTGGGGCGTTCCGCCGTTTGCCGACCTCCGGACGCGTACTGTTCGCAGCCGCACTACACATTCTGTCGTTGGGGGTTCACGAGTGCCGTTTGCCAGCCTTCAGACCTTTATTCAAACCGTTAAACCCTCCGCAGCGGCTCTACACACTGTCTTGTTGAGGCTTCAAGACCACCGTTTCCTAGCCTTCGATCCCTAGCCACACTGCCTTGTTGGTGCTTCAAAGGGGGGTCGGCGGCACCCGGGCGATAGCCCATTCTATAGATGGATCCAGTTTTTATATCTAGTTAATGACCCTGCTGGATCCAGTTCATAAGGATGGATCAAGTTGACTATAATACTTATATCAAATGACCAACAGAAGATTTACCCAACAATAATACTACTTATATCTACTTATGGTGCCAAATTGTTACAAAACGATGTCCTAAAATGGATGATTTTCAACAGATGTTACCCGGGTAAACAACGATGTGGAAGACCCATGGACCCGGGGCCCTGCCTCAAAGTGGGCGTTGGGACCAAACCTGAGCGCGGAACATAACACCACGAGAACTTCGGCCAGTGCAAAGCACAACATATTAAACATATGTAATATATATAAATATGATATACGTCTTACCATACCATAATATCATATTATATATATATATGTATTATATGTGAATTCTATATATATAATTATATATGATATTACATGGCCCATCTGAATTGAAATGTGCAACCGTTTCAAAGACATGGAATTGGAAGATGATGTTCCGAGAGTTTGTTCCATCCTTGATTTCAGTCAAGAATGGCTGTCCCCTGCTGGAGGAAACAAACCAATACAAACCATTCAATTGCAATCGAAGTTGAACTCTAACATCTTAGATAAACAAAATAACAGTATCTAGTTGTTTTTGTTCGGATAGTTTCAACTTGTTCCCACATAGGTGGGCCACGTTTTCGCGCTCCCAAGTTGGCTATAATCTTCGACAGTCTCATTCTTGGGATTACATACCTCCATTCGCAAGAGTGACGTCAGAATTTCAGTTGCTTGCATCAAGACGTATTGGACATGTTCCCTGTCCGGTATCTGATATTTATTCGCACAAAAAAACATCAGAAGTACAAGAGAGTTGATACCGTTTAATACTTATTCTAAATCCCAAATCCCAAATGCAACTTTTGGGATCAAATCTCGGATCTAAGTTTTAGATAGTATTGGATTCTTGGCTATCAATCAAACATATCACATATTCCGAAGCGGTCTCTTAGTTAGCACTTGACCCTCTTTCCATCTGCGAAAAAAAAAACACATCCCGACGACCTTAAGTATTCTGCGTTGGCAGAAGGGGAGCCGCACGCCTGCATGACAGTTCTTGGAGGACTTTTCACTGATCCATTTGGATTCTTAATTCTTATCTGATTGGATTGGTTTAAGGGAAAATCTACAGGAAACCATGTTTTTACCATTAAATATGGGGGTTTCCTGTAAATTTTCCCGTAAACCAATCTAATGATTATCTGATTGGTGGTTGACCTACCCCTCTGAAAAATATGACGAATCGTCAGTTGGGATGATGACAATTTCCCAACTGTATGGAAAAATAATCCAAATGTTCCAAACCACCAACCAGTTATGCATTCTTATGGCATTTTTATGTTTGTTTGAAATTGAACAAGAATGTGCCTCTTCAGGCAAGGAAACCAAAAGTGTGTTCGATCGTGTCTGCCTTCATCATATTCACAAACAAAACATTTCAAATACCCTCTGGTAATTTAACGTAGCTATTGAAAATGGCCATTTATAGTGACTTTTCCCATTAAAAATGGTGATTTTCCATAGCTTTTTGTATGTTTACCAGAGGGTAACCGTAGCTACCTTGGAGTTGCTCCACCTTGGAGAATTTCAGTAAAACATCGGAAAAATAGCCTTCCCTCTATAGATTCCCCAGCCTTGGTGGAATTTCAACTAAAAAAACATGTTCATCATGTTTCATATGGCAGTGTGTCAAAACCTTGTACCCCTGTAGTTCACATCAAAATAGCTGGTAAATGGATGTTCATCCCACTAAAAATGGTATGTATAGGTATTGACACACTGCCATATCTGTTCATCATGTTCAGCTCATTCAGCTCCAAAAATCCGCTTATCTCCAACTCTTGGGCATTTTTCGGGCCGCCTAGGTTGCGGCTCAACAATTCATGTCATGTGAATTTTCAAATTTTCAGCAAATTCAAGTAACTATAGTATATATATATATAGTATATTGTTATTGGTTATCTCTATTCTTGGGTATATCATAGTATATCTATTGTATATTTTTGTTGGGTATATTATAAGTATATTATCTGTATGATTATTTATTATTGAGTATCCCCCAGAGGAATTTCAACACATCCCCGGGTGGCATCCACCCATGTTTCACTCAGCTGCGCCTGGGCAACAGGCTCAGTTGGGACCTGCAGCAGGGATGGAAATGACATCGAAATTACTCCTTTTGGAATAGACCGAGATGCTGGATGATGCTGGATGACGCTGGATGATGCTTATGATTATTACTATGATCAATTACTATCTATCATAATTCTTATGTATCATAATTATCATTTTATTACTATGCCTATTCTTATCTAAAAGTATATTGTTATTATCAGGGATTATTATTTTTGTTACTATTATTGTTAATGTTGGTCCTGATTAGTGTGGGGGTACACTATTGTGTCCACAGACTCCAAAATAATTGTGAACCTTTGGAAATGATGGGGGGGTACACTATTGTGTCCACAGGATTCTGGGGTATTTGTTTCATTTTTTTGTTTTTTAATGTTTAAATTGTTTTAAACTATTTTCTATTTTTTGTTTAATTTGATTCAATTTTTGAAAATTTAACTTAAATTTTGAATTTTGTTTTGATTTAAGAAAATAATAATAAATAATAATATTTCTTATTTTTTATTTTGTTTATTATATTGATCCTAAATAATGTGTGTTTGTTGTGTGGGGGGGGTCGACTATTGTGTCCAGGTCCAGCTGTTTCCTGATGTATGTGATGTTTTTCAACATTCCCTTTACTTTTCATTTGCTATTTGTTTTTTAACTTTCTTATTTTTTTCACTTAAAATTCTCAGAAATGCCAAATTTCCCAAAATATATGATGGCTTATGAAAACCCAATAAAAAACAGCACCCAAACAATTTTTCTAAGGGTAGTCCATGACCAACCCTGATCCGTAATAGTATGGTTTGCTTGTGGGGTCCACTATTGTGCCCAGCTGCTTCCTGAGGTTTTTTTTGAAAGATTCCTTTTATCCTTTTCCTTTGCTAACGTTTTTTCTTTTAATTTCTTAGTTTCTTTCATTTGAAATTCTCAAAAATGCATTTTTTCAAAAATATATGATGCCTTATTAAAATCCAATTAAAAAACATCACTCAAACAATTTTTCAAGGGGGTAGTCCATGAACAATCCTGATCCACAATAGTATGATTTGTTTGGGGGTCCACTATTGTGTCCAGCTGCTTCCTGAGTTTTTTTTCAAACACTCCCTTTACCTTTTCCTTTGCTAAAGTTTTTTTTCTTTTACTTTCTTAGTTCCTTTCACTTAAAATTCTCAGAAATGCCCAATTTCCCAAAATATATGATGCCTTGTTAAAACCAAATTAAAAATCATCACCCAAACAATTTTTCAAGGGGGTAGTCCATAAGCAACCCTGATCCACAATAGTATGTTTGTTTGGGGGGTTCACTATTGTGTCCAGCTGCTTCCTGAGGTGATTTGTTTTTGTCAAGCATTCCCTTTACCTTTTTCTTTGCTAAAGTGTTTTTCTTTTACTTTCTTAATTTCTTTCACTTAAAATTCTCAGAAATGCAAAATTTCCCAAAATATATAATGCCTTGTTAAAACCAAATTAAAAATCATCACCCAAACAATTTTTCAAGGGGGTAGTCCATAAGCAACCCTGATCCACAATAGTATGTTTGTTTGGGGGGTTCACTATTGTGCCAAGCTGCTTCCTGAGGTTATTTCTTTTCCAAACATTCCCTTTACCTTTTCCTTTGCAATTTTGTTTTTCTTCTATGATATTTCTATGGTATTACTATTGGATTTCCATGGGATTCCTATGGGATTTCCATGATGTTTCTATGATATTTCTGGAGGATTTCTATGGGATTTCTGAAGGGATGCTATGGGGTTTCTATTGGATTCCTGTGTGATTTCTATTGGGTTCCTGTGGGATTTCCAAGGTATTTCCGTGATGTTTCTATGATATTTCCATGGGATTACTATGAGAATTCTTATGGGATTTCTGTGTGGTTCCTATGCTATTCCATGTTATGTCTATGATCTTTCTATGGGATTACTATGGAAATTCTTATGGGATTTCTTTGTGGTTCCTATGCTATTTCCATGCTATTTCTATGACCTTTCTATGGGATTTCTGTGGGATTCCTATGGGATTTCCATGATATTTCTATGATCTTTGTATGGGATTCCTATGATATTTCTATGAGATTCCTATGGGATTCAAAAATGATGTCTATGGTACTTCTATGATATTTCTAGAGGATTTCTTTGGTATTTCTGTAGGGTTTCCATCAGGTTTCTTTGGCATTTCTATGGTGGTTCTATAATATTTCTATGGGGTTTCTATTGGATTCCTGTGGGATTTCCATGGTATTTCCGTGATGTTTCTATGATGTTTCTATGGGATTACTATGGAAATTCTTATGGGATTTCTTTGTGGTTCCTATGCTATTTCCATGCTATTTCTATGACCTTTCTATGGGATTTCTGTGGGATTCCTATGGGATTTCCATGATATTTCTGTGATCTTTCTATGGGATTACTATGGGATGTCAGTTGAAAGTAAGTTGAAATCAATTGAAAGTAAATTGAAATCAATTGAAAGTAAATTGAAATCAATTGAAAGTAAATTGAAAGCAAACCGAAAGTAAATTGAAAGTAAATTGAAATCAATTGAAAATCAATTGAAAGTAAATCGAAATCAATAGAGAGTAAATTGAAATCAATTGAAAATCAGTTCAAAGTAAATTGAAATCAGTTGAAAAACAATTGAAAGTAAATTGAAATCAATTGACACCTATCATTTTTTTTGACCGCACAATATTCAGAACCCGAAACCTAAAAAAATCCGCACTCAAACTCTTGCAATCGAATTGGGGTCTCAGGATCTAGATCATGGGTCATAGATCATACAAATTTAAGTTTGATTTAATGGGTAGTTCCCTTTCACCCCCTCATGCTCTTGGTAAGTTTCCTGAAGTTAATAGAAACTATTTGCCAGCAGTTGTTTTCACAATTTTCAAGGTTTTCCCCTTATTGTTTCAATATAAAGTTTACTACAACTTTACTATTGACCTTAAATGGCGAACTGGATTGAAATGGTGGCCTTGGACCTCAACAATAAAAGATGCAATGTGTTTCAGGCTTGGATTCGGTTGATACAAAATGAATGTGAATCATATATGTAAAGTTTTTAGTAGATACTTTGGTCCTGATCAGGGTGTCTCTTCAGGCAGCAAATTGTGCTTGACCTTGTTTGGATATAAACAAAAAAAGCGCTTATCAGGGAACTTCTTCGCCAAGCGCTGTTTAATTTATGTTTGTAATGGGAGGCGCTACAGATTGGACATGATTGGATTTTTTGACTTCTTAGTGAAGGCATTTGATTCATTAGTATTTTTAGGGAACCTCTTCGGCGAGCACATGTTGATTTACGTTCTTATGTCGATACTGTTGAGTAACTTTGCATGGTTTTGGTCCAAGTGCTGCTTTATAACAAATGTCGCACTTGGACTATAATTACAATCATTTTTTCTTTACCTAGTTTCAACATGCTTTAACATGTTTTTGACTATTTGGGTGGATTTGAGCATTAATTAGGGGCGGGGGAAGGGAATACTTAAATTAAACCCTCTGTCCATTGGAGCTTTCAAAAAGCATGGGGCCAGACCATGGTAATGTGGTTATATTGCCCATCACAAAGTCCACACGATTTTCCAAGGGTTACCCAGGCAAGTTCCTCCCGATCACATGTGCCACCCATGGCCAATAAGTAGGGTAATGTGTAGGGCTCAGAACTTTGCATTGAAGTCTCAGATTAGTTTGCCAAACAAATCTCTGCGGACTTTGTGGACCTTTTTTCCGTTGCGGCCGATTATGGGGCATGAGATCTGCTGAAAAAAATATTGGCGGAAAATTGGGATCCTGTGACCCCGAATCGATTGCATTTTTTTTTGCGGACTTTAGTTTTTTCCTCGGCGGAACTTAGTATTCAGGCCTATGGTTCGGCGGAACTCATCTTCTGGTTTTGTGTAGTGGACTTCTGCTGATTCAATGGTTTTTCCCTAGGATTTCTGCTGAAAAAAAAAACATTTTCGGCGGAACTCAACATCACAAAATGTGCGCCTGAGTTCTGCTGATCTTGGATTTTTTTCGGCGGAAATCCATAAATCTGGTGATGCATTACTACCCATGATTCCCTGCTGCATGTTCGTTTCCCAATGTGAAATTTAACCTGTACCAGCCGCCATGGCAAATGATCTAGGATCCTGACTTTGAGGACCTTGGGGTTTTAAAATCGGTCTACCTAACCATGAAAATGGATTAACGCTTCTTGCTCGCGTGGGCATTTGGAATGTGAACAATGCATGCTGGATACATGACAATGTTTGCAGAACAGAACGTACATAGCTATGTTCAAGATAAATCACAGAGACATAATTGTATATGTGGAACATAGAGTAAGTCGCTGTATGGTTCTTTCTTTTTTCTGGGCTTATTGTAGTGAATTATCTATATGACTATATCTGGTGATGATTATGCATGGGTTTCATTCAAAATCCTTTAGTTAATAAATAGCAATCATATATCTTCTGGTACTGTAATGGTTTTTGCCATATTCAAGTTTTCCGTCAGATATTTCAAACTGAGTCCTGGCTAATGTCATTATTGGCCCTAGCTGGTAACATGGTGAGATAATAAAAAATGGCCATGTGTTTGAGGCTTTAAATTAGGTTGATACTAAATGTGAATCATATATGTAAAGTTTTTAGTAGATACTAGTACTTTGGTCCTGATTAGGGTGTCTCTTCAGGCAGCAAATTGTGCTTGACCTTGTTTGGATATAAACTAAAAAAGGCGCTTATCAGGGAACTTCTTCGCCAAGCGTTTTTTTTAATTATATTTGTATTGGGGCGACGCTACAGATTGGACATGATTGGACAATTGTCTTCTTAGTGAAGGAATTTGATTCATGTTAGTATTATTAGGAACCTCTTCGGCGAGTACATGTTGATTTACCTTCGTATGTCGATATTGTTGAGTAACTTTGCATGGTTTTGGTCCAAGTGCTGCTTTCAGATTCCAGGTCCGGGTGTGCGCGGGCCTCTCCTGTATAACAAATGTCGCACTTGTACTATATTGTACTAATTAATAACATACAGTTATCAGTTTTACTTCCCAGGGAGTTCTAACTATGGGGAGCACTAGGATATGAAGAAATACATGGTTCAATTCAGATGTAACAATGATGTTCCCAAATCAAAGTCAGCTGCCCCATAATCGACTGCAAAAGTTTACTATTGAGTATCCAAAATTAGTTTGGGGGGGGCCGACACTAATCAGGATCCAACATTACTAGTATTGCGCTTCCTGTTACGACGATGATCAATTTACACCCTGTGTCCAATGGCTTCATGATGTCACAGTGATATGCCACGTATTTTTGTGCCTGTGGAAAAGGTAGCTTTCCCAAAGAAAAAACATGTGTCAAACTGTCAAACTGTCAACTATATAATTACATAGATATTGAAAGGTATAGATATATTCAAATAATGGTCTATTTGAGAGGGAAAGTATCGGCGTATTGGCGCCCTTCGCGATTTTTGAAGACGAACACCCGAGCCAAGCCGAGCCTGTGCGCTGGGGAAGCGTGCCACGGGGGAACGCCTCCAGCTGCGGATCATCTTATTGGGCGCTCCACCCTTCTCTAATCAAGCAGGGTTCATGAATACGGCATTGACATGAGGCTTTGAAAAGACGTAGCCAAGCAAGTGGCGTTCGCAAACACTGGCAAATATTTCTTGGGAAACCCTAGTATACTTCCTTGCAAGCTCACATCTGGATAAAAATCGAGTACTTCATGGCCATAGGATCCATGTATGCTAAAAAATGGTAACATGGATCCCATCAATATACCCGAAATGTTAGCATATGTACCAGCACCATGGATCCGTCATGGGATACAAATGAAAGGTCTTGGGGTCAGGTTCACTCCTACTCAAACATTCCGACACTTGGAAGATCTTGGAAGACTCAAACATCACAAAAGGGCAAGTTTTAGCTGGTTCCTGATTCGAACCCAACTGGGATCACGAATTATTGGATACCAACTGCAGTTATCGCCATGTCTATCAGTTATAACTGGTTATTTCAGTGGGATGAAATACATTCTATAAATGGGGTTATAAGATGTTATAAGTACTTATAACTGGTATAACTCGGGCCATAACTGTGGACGATCCAGCCATCAGAAAAAAAACTAGCCCTCCAAACATGGCGGACATCCCCAGCTTTTTTCATGGAGCTTTCAGTGAGGAAATCATCAAACTTTGAGGAGTCCGGACTCGTCCTGGGTGCCATGTTTGACTACCGGGTATCTGTAGGAAAACTGTTGGTAAGATTTTCCCAAAGCAATTTTTGAAGATCCTGTTTTTTTCCAAGATTTAATGTGATTTAATGGTTTCAACTGTAGGATCTGTAGGTGTACATGGACCATGATGGACTATAAGCATCCCGTCAGGCAGTTGCATACCCTGTATGCCGGCAGGTTTCAACATACTGTTCAAATGGGCAAACATATGCCGTGCAACAGACTACCAACATTTGTGTACCAAAGAAAGACGAATGGATGTTTTATCAGAGCCACTTTTACTAAAACACTGTTTTGACATGATTCTTCTCTGAAAAATAAAAGCTTTCGCACTTCTATCTGTCTTGCCTTTTAGGAACTATGATGAGATTACATACCAGCCGTTACCAGTATCGTTGTTCTCAGCGAACATTCCAGGATTCAAATGACTCCGAATGTTGATTGACCACATCACCATGTTTGTGCTGTCTTGGTGGTGGTAAGTGGAATATCCCCACCAGGTGACAAGTCAACTGAGCCATGTTTCATATCGTTTCAGGGCCTGACCGGCCGCAGTTATGGGTGAAAAACAACCCCTCATTCTGAGTCTTCCACTCGACGGACAAATGCAAAGTGGGAGTCCATGGCGACCTAGAAACAAATTCGCGTTTTTGATGGGCGTATAGAGGGGGTTTAATGGAGGTACAATGAGGATTTATATAATGGGATATAAATACTTGATGATACTTGGGTTTGATACCCGACAATTGAGGACAGCTGAACCCCCTGCTGAAACCAACACTTCTAAGTAAAAATAACTCAACTCAGCCAGTGTGCAGTGCTAACTGCGATGACCATCCAAAAATAAAGGCCGGAGTAGCAATCCTTTCGCTTTTTTTGGGGTGCAAAACCCCATATCTGGATTTTTTGGCTACAGGTCAAAACAGGGTAGTTATATGTAATTACATGTAATTACCCTAAACATCCCTAAACAGTAGTGGCAATATAAGAGTGAATACAGTAAATGCGACCAGTAAAATACCATACTTCAAAACCTCACTTTTCACACGAAAACTGATGAAAACTGCCATAAAGTTTTGGACAAAAACACGTATCATTACTGGCGATATATACTGTAAGAACCAGCCATATCCCCATTTACCACCCATTTCCCCTAGACTTTTCCAGAAAAAAAACAGCATGTTTCTACTTACATTTGCTGAGCAGGAAAAAACAACTCCAAGTAGTGGATTTCCCATTGCATTTCCGGCAAGCATAACCATAATCATAGTAATTTAACCATAGGATTTAACCATTGGGGTGTCATGGTTGATTTAACCCGGTTTAACATTGCCAAATCATCCACTGTCACCGGAAACGGCTTTTAGCAGCCGCTTTTTTGTGGCCACCATCTGCCGAACTTGGCTCCCCAACTCGGGCGTCAACCCTCGAGGTGACCTTCGGGACTTCTCCAATAAATACCCTCTGGTAAACTAACATAGCTATGGTAACTGGCCATTTATAGTGGATTTACCAATTAAAAAAAGGTGATTTTCCATAGCTTTTTGTATGTTTACCAGAGGGTAGGTTGTTGGTCAATGACGATGAGGACTTGGCACAATGAAGCTACGAGGACGTGGCTTTAGGTAACAAACATGCTGCAACGCTTATGCCACGAGAACATCTTGCTAAAGAATATATGACGAATTTTCATAGATTTTCTGAAAATTGACAAGGATTTGTTTTTTTCCTTGTGACATTTTCATACATTTTCTGAAAATTGGCTGGGATGAAAATAACACACTTTCTTTAAGGAAACCATGGGGACGCTACGACTAGTGGATCACTGGGGACTGGCCATGGAAATTCCCCCGTTTTTTAAATACCATCATTCCAGTGACCTCACGTCTTGACGTCACTATAATTCATAGTTACATATATATATATATATAAGTACATATCATGTAATTATCATATCATATCATATATCAAAATATAATAATATATCCCATGACTATGACGGATTCATGGTGCTACTATATATGGTGCTCCATGGATCCCATCAATATACCCCCAATGTTAGCATATATACCAGCACCATGGATCCTATGGGTATTATAATATAATAATATAATTAATAATATATATTGATAAATATAATGTAAATCAATTTATATCGATTTTTTTCGAAGCTGTGTCTGTCGAAATGTCCAAGTCAATGGGGATCGGCACAATCGGCACCGGTGAAGCGTAGATAAAACGCTCCATGGTAGCCATGGTATTCGACCAAAAAAAATGGTGACTGAACACTATGTTGAATAATGATTAACATATAAACATAAAATTCTTGATAATTTATTGTGTCAATTGCTATCAGTTACTTTAATGTTAATGTTAAAATTTATGGTAACTTAACATTAACCAAACAAAGGGTGATATGTTGAATAGAATGATCATCTCACCATAGCCTCGAAATGGGTGCGGCTCGTAACCGGTAAATCATCGAACTTAGTCGGCCCCTTTGCGCCATGGTGACGTGAAAAATTACAGAGGGGCCATGGTGCCCAGGTGAAACATGGAACAAGGAGAAACAATAACTTACAGGGGCACCATACACTCTGTAATTGAAACCAATAACACCAATAACGGTATTACCACATTCACGGTTGATTTCCCAGGTGAAATAGGTATCTCCGGCCCTCAGTATCTATATCATTCTGGTATAGTTCCCCTTATGCTTACTGGTGCGTTTTACGCAGGGAATTCTCGGGAATGATCCCACTAAATCACTAGTAATCATCCCAGCAACCCCCAGCAACCCATCCAGCAACCCTGCGTTTTATACGCACCAGTAAGTCATGAACCATTATGAACATACATCTGGGTAAATGAAATAGATATTTCCATAGATATTTCCATAGATACACTATATATATATATATATGGGTAAATGAAAGAATAGTTCACTAATCTGAATCTCAAGGCCGTTTGGGGATGATTCCCCTAAAATAAACCATGATTCCAGAAACGCGGTGCATCAGCTTTCAGCTTTCGTGCAGCGTCGTGCAGCGATGTGCTTCTCCACTAGAAAATCCAGGAGAATCTGTGAGATCCCCAGTGATCAGCATGAAATTCTGGCTAAATGAACAAAAAAACTTACCCTCTGGTAATTTAACATAGCGAACTGGAAAGATCCACCATTTTCAATGGGAAAATCCACTATTTCTATGGCCATGTTTAATAGCTATGTTAAATTACCAGAGGGTATCAATACTTATCATATTCATTCCAGTCTTTTTAAAAAATCAAGCATTCCAAAATATATTCCAATGACATGAAAACTTATCATATTCTTAAGATTTCTTAAGTAATATATCATATTCCACTCACCTGAAAAAAAATCGGCTACGGAAAATCGTTACCTCAGGCCATGAGTTTTGTTCGAAAATTCTACATCCCGTTGAAACCCCATGGCTGGTTGGTCAAATCATTTGGTTGTAGAATATGTTTCCAACACCATAAAGGATGATCCTATTTGTTGATGGATAATCCCTAGATAGCTAAGATATGCTAAGCTATGCTAAGATATGCAACAAAAAACCATTTAACTTACCCTCTGGTCAATGTTTACATAACGAACTGGAAAATCACCATTGTTAATAGGTAAATCAACTAGTTAAAATGATCAATTTTCCATAGCTACGTTAGTTTACCCAGATACATATTTTTCCCATCAAAATCCCATTAAATTCACATTACATTCCATGAAATCCCATTAAATCACCATTAAATCACCATTGAATCACCATTGAATCACCATTAAATCACCATTAAATCCCCATTTCTATCCTCTGCGAAATCCACACATGGATTCTTAAGATGAAATCGCCGCCGTAAAAAGCTTTGCACCTGGAGTATGCCCTGGCATTGAGGTCCTGGAAGCAAAAAGGGCCGAAGTTGACCAGTACATAAAAGTTGCAATGTATTTACTTAACCACTTAACATAAAGAAATGTATATATATATATATAAGTCAGAACAACTGGGATCAGTGGATGTTTGACTTTGGATCTGGCTTGAAAATTCATTGATCTCAAAGAACAGTAAAGAACAGTAAAGAACAGTAAATACAATAGTTCTTCAGCACACGTATTATATATATAATTTAAGTGCCATATGTCCAAAGAATAGAACCACACAGAACCACAGTTATGGCCCGAGTTATACCAGTTATAAGTATTAACAAAACCCCATTTATAACTGTCGGCGCACCTCCGGAGTCCAGACACTGGGCGTAAACCTCAGGGCGACTCCAATGAATCCATTGCGCTATGCCGAAAATGTCGGCTCAGCTCCAGTCGAAATGGTGAGATTTCAGGATTTTACATGTTTTTTTTATGGATTTTCAATGGATTTTTATGGATTAATGATTGTTTATGGATTTTCAATGGTTTTTTTAAATGGATTTTACATTGTTTTTTTTTGGATGTTCAATGGATTTTATTGGATGTTCAATGGATTTTTACGGATTTTCAATTAAAACTATGATTCATAGATGTTCATGGTCATGCATCCAGTGAGCCAATTCCACAATGTAATTCCAGGATGTCAAAGTCTTGCAACTTCGGGAGACAAACGAACTCTGGATCTTTATTGTTGTTATTTTTCTTCCTGTCAGTCGTTGGAATCGCTTAATTCACTGTAATCCAACTAGTCCAACATGTTCGTTTAGGCAAACGACTAAACATCTGGACAATTTTCATCGTGATTCACTCAGCTTCAAAGTTCGACCATTTTAGAAAACTGTCCCCACAGTTATGGCCATTTATCAGTTATAACTGGTTATTTCAGTGGGATTATACATTCTATAAATGGGGTTTTCTTAGTACTTATAACTGGTATTTCGGGCCATAACTGCAGTGAAATTCCCATTTACATTGTACAGTTATGGCCATTTATCAGTCAAAAGTACTAAGAAAACCCCATTTATAGAATGTATTTCATCCCACTGAAATAACCAGTTATAACTGATAGCCATGGCCATCCAAATTGATGGGTTTTTTTCGGAGAAATCGGGGACCTGTGACCTGTCGAAAAGCTGAGACTCCAACGATGGCAACGGAGGTCCTGGGGAATCACCAGCCGTGGCGAAATCACCCTGACTGAAAGCCACAACGGTGGATAAAATCAGGGTCCAAGTGGCTTGAAAGCCCTGACTATGCACTGGTGGATAAAAAAAGGGTCTCTCTGAAAATGGGGATTCACCCACATGTTACCCGGCCTGGTTATGTCAACAGTTTGCTATTGAACATGGCCATTGAAATAGTGGATTTTCCCATTGAAAATGGTGGATCTTTCCAGTTCGCTATGTTAAATTACCAGAGGGTAATTAATTATTCCATGTTAACCAGAACATTCTGATAGACCATCCAAATTTGTGGCTTCCCCCGAAATTTGCAAACAAGGCTGTATTCAGCCATGATAACTCGTGGTAGTGGCGAAGGATGCTCAATATGATTTTCCTGCATCATCCAAAGGCCGTCACAACTGGTACATCAAAGGGTTGGAGGGGCCATCCCAATCAAATAGACCGTATGCTTGGCCAACATGGCCAACTGTTTAGCTGACTTCCAGTGCAGAATCATAATAATCAGATTGAAACCCTGATAATCATTGGAGTTTCCCATGAACTGTGGGCCATCTTTGTAACCTGATTCTTGTTTCTTGACCATATCCCTAGTCTATCCTAGTCTTCCTCCAGTTGTGGGGATTCAAATCACCCCGATGACCCGGGTCATCCCGGTCGCTCATCCCCTCACCGGGCTCCTATGGGCGTCGCATCTAGGAAGCTGGTCACCTATTGCCATGCGGCTGAAGAGCCCTGAAACATGTGCGAACGTTGAAGGGATCATCATAGATAGGATGAACACGGATGAACCATTTAAATAAACAATCAGACCATCAACCACGCACATGAAGTCAAAAGAATTCAAAAAAAATATGCGATACAACATGATATTATTCCGTAGATCAAAGGGAGGTTTAGGGGGGTTCATGCAGTTTCATCGAAAAACTGGGAGGACTTCATCAATGCTGAGCAGGCACTTGACCAATGGCCGCCCAGGCCCAATGGATACTGATCGGTGTCGCCATCCGACCGCTCCGAGGGATGGGAAACAGATGGTGGCACTTGAAACAAACCTCTCACCTTTTGGCATGGTCCACTTGATTCAATCAACTAGGGTAACTAGGGAAGTGAAGTTTTGTTTTTTACCATTTCAATATGATTCGTGCCTCTCAACATGTTAAACCATCAGCCTGATAATTCACATTGTTTCCAACTTTTGGTTGGTTTAACCATTAACCCCCAGGGTTCCTACCACCTCCCAGTCCAATGTCCAGGCCTTGGGTTTGATCCTGGCTTCCGACCATCCCGGAGACCCGATGGTAATTCAAAAAACATGGGGATGTGGTGATCAAAACATGGCTGGTTGGTGGTTTCAACCTACCCCTCTGAAAACTATGACGAATCGTCAGTTGGGATGAAATGACATTCCCAATATGATGGGAAAGTCATAAAATTCCATGGTTCCAAAGCACCAACCAGTATATATAAAGACACCATGTTCAATGGGTAAATCACAATTTTCAAACCACCAAATGTTCCAGTCACCACCGATGGTGATAGAACCAGCAGCAGATTTTCAACATGATTCAACCACGAAGAAATGGAAATTCGAGGCAGAAGCACAGGATTTCAGGGTGAGTTGGGCACCGTTGGCCCAACCTTTCTGGGCCCCGTGATGTGACAGATGTAACCAGTGAAAAATCCTGTCAACTGCAGTTCCAAGATTTCCTAGATATCTTTAGATGCATGGTGAAGGCTACAGTCTGGCAATCGAGCATGGTTTGCTGGATCATCCATTGATAGATCTTGTTCACAGATATTATAATATATTATAATTATTATTATATAGATGCCCATGAAATTCATGGATTTCCCAGCTAGCCATGTTTGATTATCAGAGGGTAGATTAGATGAACCAAAAAATGAATAAAACTGGTAGTCCCACCCCCAGCTAAGAGACTTGAACCAAGTGGAAACCGTCTTTTTTTTGGCTACAGAATCCATGGATTATCACTACCCTCTGCTAAGAAATCCACTTAAACTCAATGAACCCATGGGCGTTTTGGGGAAAATCATCAAACGAAACTTGGGGGGATGGTCCAGCCAACCATGTTTGATTACCACTGGTAGTATTTATTGCTTGCTATTAGGATGGGATGTTTTGACATAGTTTATCCATGAAAAACTCGCTTAGTTGGTCAAATCAGTCCTCAGTTGATATCCCCATTAGATCAATGGGAATTTCAGGATCCTAGAATTGGTAGGTACCTCCATTTTAGGATCCTGAAATTCCCATTGATTCGATCTCCATCAGTTTTTGCACCGCACAGCACGGCGGCCGTCCTTTTGAGTGGCGAATTGCTCGGAGTTCCGTCCTGCGGTCTGGCTGGTCTGGGTGGTCTCGGTGGTCCCGGGTGGCCCTTTTTTCGGGAAGATGGGCGGTCTGGAATCCAAACGATCAATCCAAACCAACAGGAAAACCATAGGAAAACCATAGGAAAATGGTGGTTTAATGGGATTTTATGGGATGTACCATCTGGTTATGACTAACATAGCCATGGAAGCCATGGCCCATAGAAATAGATGGTTTACCGAACTTAAAAATGACGATTTTCCATGGCTATGTTAAATAACCAGAGGGTAAATGTTGCGATTGGATACCAGAAAAGGCTTAACCTCTGGTAATCTATTTAATGTGGCTATGGACATTCACATACATTCACCAAGGACATCGTGTTTGATGAATGGAGGGTGATTACTTCGCACAATGGTCGCATCCCGAGATTCTGGGGCTGGATGGGGGACGGCAATGTCTAGCTGGAGCTGTATCGATCTGCACATGTTGTTAAATGAATTTGGATATGACCCAGATAAAGCTTTTGCTCCGAAACAATGCTGACATGTTTTGTGGTTTATTTTTTGAAGCATCCCTGTACATAACTGGACATGTTTTGTTTTTGGTACTAAACCTTGTCCAGTGTCGGGTTGAGCGTTTTGATGGTTTTGAACCATAGTCACAGCCGCCAATGGTTCTAACTTCTTCGAAACACTTCGAAGTTTCAATTCATGTCACTTGGGAAATAATCATATTGTTCATATATACCCTCTGGTAATTTGTTACATAGCTATTGAAAATGATCATAGAAATAGATTTATAGTGGATTTACCCATTAATAGCATGGTGGATCTTTCCATAGTTTTTTGTATGTTTACCAGGCCGGGTAAGTCTTTGGATTAGTGATTGGCCGCTGGAATCCATATTTAGGCAGCCGCAAAAAACGCTGTTTCTGCTAAGGGTACCGAAGCGGAGCTGTAGCAGCGCAACCAGCAACCATCCGCAGTGAATGCAAATATTAACGCTATACACTGTACATTTACACCACCTATAAATATAGACCATTACTAAAGATATCTAAAGATCCTTCAAATACACCCAAGAAATGGCAAAAGTACTAAGCCAACACTAAAATTACCCTCTTGTAATTTCACAAAGCTATTGAACGTCACCAGCTGTTGAATAGGTAAATCATCTATTTCTATGGGCCATCTATACCATAGCTATTCTGGTAAGTGGTTGAGCCCTACCCTTCTGAAAAATATGACGAATCGTCAGTTGGGATGATGACATGACCCCAATATGATGGGAAAGTCATTCAAAATTCCATAAAATTCCATGGTTCCAAAGCACCAACCAGTATATAAAATCACCATTTTCAATGGGTAAATCACCATTTTCAAACCCTTTTTTTATGGCCGAAAAGACCAATCTTTTACGGCTACGGATGGTCGGATGATCTCTAGCCCTCTCCTGCGGCACCAAAACGGGCCTCAAGTTCCAGAACCGGGCCCCTGGAAGAAAAACATGTTACGTTCCCAAAGAATTTGTTGGGGATTATTGATATATATTATATATATATATATATTTAAATATGGGAACGATTGGGAATTATTGCGGAAAAAATAAGATTCTGAAAAATCCTGGAATCTTGAAAAATGTTGTGAAAACACACAAATCTATACAACCTGGAAATACTGTTTGGCATCTTTTTGGGGTTACCATCGGTGAAATAAAAGTCATTCTGCTGGGGTCACAAAAAACTGATTGAAGGACATGAAATTGATAAATCATGTCTTGCTCACTGGTCACAATTTTTGTAAGCCATCAGTAGATATAAAACCAACTCAAGGTATCTCAGGATAGTCGTTCATCAGTTTTGAGGTGGACCAAACTGATCGTTTTAACTTTGGACAAAGACTCAGAGAGTCAAATCCAAATCGGTAGACAAAGACTCAGAGAGTTTGGATTTGGAGAAAGACTTAATTTGGACAAAATTTGGATTTGATTTATGTACCCTCTGGTAAACTAACATAACTATGGAAAATCCCCATTTTCAATGGGAAAATCCGCTATAAATTGCCATTTTCAATAGCTATTTTGACATAACCAGAGGGTAGATTGCTTTCGGTCACGTTGAGAATCCCATCCACAAGAGAACATACCATCCACGAAACATGTCCCTTTGGGTCCGTCACGAATCGTCAGCCAATCCTGCGATATACCGAATCCAAATCAATCCAATTACCCTCCAGTAAATTAACAGTTGGACCCTGGTAGATAGAGGTTGGAAGATTAGTTTCCTCTAAAAAAATGTGATCTTCAGGGTCTATGTATGTTAATTTACCAGAGGGTAATATTAGCTGCAGAATGTGGTTTGTTTCCCAACGACGATAGCTATATACAAGTAGCTGGTGGTTCCAACCAATAGGACAACATGTTTGTGGATCTTCACACAACACTCGACATGACAAGAGAACCATCCACGGCTCCCAAGACCCTGCGTTTGAGGGGAAAATAGATAGATTTGTAGATGAACAAAGTAATAAATTCCCACATGTTGACCCAAAAGTAGCTATCATTCACTTATATCACCTCTCCTAATTTAACCTGGAACATATTCATTTTCCATGTGGATACGCCATCATCCAAATGGGCCATCACCCTTGGCCAAGGGGCGAGGGAAATTCCAGTCCAACTGGACCTGGGTCTCAGAGTCTCAGAACCAAGGGTTGAAACCGTGTTTTCGGAAAAGATGGTGTGGTTACTGCTCGAAAGCAAACTCCAACATGTAATTAAATTTAGGCATATATATATATACAGTATATATATACACATATCTATGGATCCAAGCACTGTCTGAGAAGGTACGGCTAAGCCCTTAAATCATACCCCAAGTACTTCCTAAGAAGGTACTTGGATCCAAAGGGATATATACTGCATAGCACGTTGCTATCTGCAATCAGCCGCCAGTGAGACCATACAAAAAGGGATCAAGATAATAAATTCACTCAAACAAGAGTCACACCGCACTTGTTGTTGATGAACTTGGGATGCTGTGCTAAGGACAATGAACTCACAAAGGAATTTTCAGTAAATACATCTAAGTAATCTAAGAGAGGGAGTCTGATCACACAACCCTTGCCTCCAATACACTGACATCACTATTCCGCTCAAAATCAAGTTCAAATCTCACATTGTCTCATATTTTGTTTCAAACATTTTATATCCACGACTCTCACTACCCCTCTCTCTCTCTCTATCTACTTACTCGTTCTTTTCCTCTTTTCCTCCTTCCCTCTCTCTCTCTCTCTATGCCATGTATAAATTAATGTCTATAAGATGTGGTGATAGAAACAATCATAGATATATCACATTAATGTCTAGATATATAACATTAATGTCTATTAATTTATATATACATGTTTCATTAATGTCTATATATAAGATCTACATATCCACAATGAAACATGTATCAACATGAAACCATTCCATCTTGGAGACCAGCGACTGGACGATGGGCTTTGAAACCGGTCACGCATCGGAGAGCTGAACGCGCTCAAAGCCTGCCCGGGGGATAGTAGGTCTACTTGGAGGTTGATTTTCATAACCATATTAGTCATAGAGTTATAATCCAGTTATAGATGGGATATCACCAGAGTAACTGGATGAAACATAATCACCATAGGGTTAAAAAAACAGATTATCACCTGGGTGATGAAATATAATCCAATTATAAATAGTGATATAACCATAGTAACCATGAATAGTTGTACCCAGGGTTACCACTGATAAATCACCCAGGGATGGATGTGTTCACCACCATTATGGTATAGTTATGGGTTAAAGATGATAGGTATAGATGGGATAACCCATTTTATCCGTTTTTTCTCTTGGGAAGCCGAGAAAACCAGGGGTTATTCACCACATATTTCACCACTTCCTCGTCGATGGGGATTGGGACCAGATCGTTTTTTTCAACTTTGACCAATGCCAATCTTTTGAACTTGAAAGAGGTAACTCAAGAAACGAACGGATTGATATGTTTTTGATATTATCATTGCCTATCTTAGATACCCTGCAAAAAAAACAATTTCTTTGCTGGTGAACGTAGATATTCCCATCAATACCAAAAGACTAAAGGATTAAAGTATCCATGTAAGATTGACCTAGTTATTTGGGTTGAATCCCTCAACCTCAACCCCAGAATAGGGACACCATGAGAATTTAACCCAATGCCATCAACAACTGCAGGATAGCTTTAGCCTGTGACAATTCATGGAACTATTCAGGATGGTCCGTGTAGTTTACCACATGATTTACACCCACCAGCCCGGCAGGATTGCGGAAAACAAGATCAACTTATGAAGTACCTGACACACATGGAACTGGTTGGTAGTATACCTACCCCTCTGAAAAATATGCTCGTCAGTTGGGATGATGACATTCCCAATATGATGGGAAAGTCATAAAATTCCATGGTTCCATACCGCCAACCAGATTTATTAATCATTGATTATCATTATTAACCACTATTAACCACTATTAACCGCTATTAAAGACATGCCAAGTTTTTCGCGCGGCATGGTACAACCAACGCTCCTTTGAGTCCGCTCGGCACCAACTCAGATCCCAAGCCTTGGGTGATTTGACCCAATTTCCATGAGACCCAATTTCCATGGATAGTATATGTATGTATATATATATAGTATATAAACATATAAATATAATGTGTACATATATATATATATATATATCATATTATGCATGCATATTCATTTATAAGATGTTTATAAATATATTAGGCGTATATATATATGACATATGTAATATGTATAAGTATAGGTATGTTGATAATGTACAGCATTTAACATGTGTAAACATAGTTATATTCATAATGCACAGTAGTTGTAACATATATATATATATACTGCGTTAAGCATAATATATATATATAATGTCATATGTGCACCGGCAAAAAATTAGCAACCACATTTTCCAAACTCTCTGTGCATTTTCAATCCACACCTGTCGAGCTTGTCGGGGTGCAGGTAAAGTCTCCTACCAAGGCGCCAAGGCTACCGTGGGCACATGGCCGAATCGAACATCACCATGGTTTTATGGGGGTGTATTGATACTTGTAGATGTATATACATTTATCATATTATAATAAGTTGTTTAGTAAGTATACATATGTTGTTTAGTAAGTGTACATATAAATTCATATAGGTATATGATACATGATATATGATGAACATCAATACTTTGATAAAGCCAAACAATTATCATATATTGATATATATATATAACAAATCTATACGTACATGATATATGATATATGATAAATATCACTCATAGTCCTAGTCATGGAGTTTTGATGGCTTTTGTGGGTACATCATTTCTTTGGAGTAAAACAAATCATGAGGTCATAATGTTTGAACAAATCAGTCCTCATGGGTGGGTTTTTTTCGATGGTGATATACCATCCATACATGGACAATGATTTGGATGGAACCAATGCTGTTCCCGACACCATACTCAACATGACCAATGTTCATTTATTGGATGAAACCCCAAATTTTGATGATTTTTTGGAGATGAATCCATCTAATCCATTCACATCTTTGAGAATGCAATGCCTCGCATTTGCATCTGAGGAATGGTCCAGGTTCAGTGAGACATCTTGCATAGAATGAAGCTCTGAAGCGTCAACGGTCAAAGACAATCCCGTCCCACGAAATACCATGCGGATCATTCAGGAAAGGGAGTCTTTTCAATGAGAAGATGGGGAGGCGGATGCGGATCGCTGGGGATGCCAGGGTTCAAAGTACCAAATGAGACCAGCCACCGGGTGAAACAAAAAGGCTTTCCTAAAATCTGGTATCCCCTTAACATGGCTTAACATGGTTTAAAAAAAAAACATCAACAAACTTGGGGGTTTCCTAAGTCATAGGTTTTTTGGGGTACAAAAATAATCCCCGTTTTTCATCCAAGTCATGGATGACCATGACTGAGTATTGAACTTAGTAGCTCCAGCACGCAGCACGCGCAACGTACCGTTGCAACACGCTGTTTCGCAACGCAAGGGCTTTTGGTATGATCAACACATATGGATGCATTTACTTGAAGATTAAAAAAGCATCCGCTAAGGTTCCAGGCTTTGGGGGAGCCCAAAAATATATATGTTGCCGGATGCTTTTTTCACTGTCAAGTAAATGCATTTGTTGCAACACAAGGGATTTTGGTATGGTCGACACATATGGATGCATTTACTTGAAGATTAAAAAAGCATCAGCTGAGGTTCTAAGCTTTGGGGGAGCCCAAAAGTATACATGTTGCCGGATGCTTTTTTCACACTCAAGTAAATGCATTTCTCTGGGGGCCTGTGCAAGAGACAAGGCCTTTTTCACTCCTCCACATATCTAGGGTTTTTACTTTATCCAAAGTCCTTAAAGGGCTTACTTGATCTTAGCTAATATGCCAATGCATTTTTGATTCACCAAAAAAAGCATCGACATGCCTCTCACTCAAAAAAACCCAATGACGTACTTCTGTCCATGAAAAATGCATTGGCATAAGTTGCAGCACGTAAGTTGCAGCACGTGAGTGCCGAGTGCTCGCAACGCGAGTGCCCGAGCAACTAAGGTATTGAAAGCTATGGTTTGGTGAATCTCCCAAACCAATATCGACACAGAATCGTTGCCAAATTGGGACATGACATGACCAATGATAATCTGAGGAATACAAAGAATCACAAGCGCATGCAATCAATGTTGTGATGCACATCACATTTCCCTGCAATAGCGGTCCTATATCTTAGAATGTTCTGTCATGTTCTTTCCTAGAACAACTAGCACATGACAATTACATGACCCATGTGAAGCAATCTGTTTAAAGGACACTGGAGATATTTTACCCATTTTACCCATATAAACTATAAACACTACCAGTGGAAACCACTAACTGCACCGGGCACCCCCCACACCACGGCACTCCGGTGCCAAGGCCTCCAGTTGTGAGGACCTTGGTGAAAATCTAGAGCAATTTGGGGCAAGGAATCCCATCAAACACTCCCAGTAGGGCCTCAGTAGGGGATTTTACACATACATACAGTACATATATCTGGGTAAATAATAATATTTCACTAACCTGAATCTTGCGGCTATTTGGGGATGATTTCCCTTATTAACCATGATTTCCAGTGAGGGAGAACAGTGAGGTCGTTATAATTTACCCAGAGACATACATATATATATATATAGGTTTCCGGCTTGGAAGATCTTAAACATCTTAGATATCGATAGCGTCAACCCCCTAATACTAAACACCCCCATTCTATTAATTGTCCCATAGAAGTGATTTCATCCCCACAAACACCATGGTTTCGTGAACGGGAGATGTGAATCACCAAGGTTTTCCAGTTTCAGAAACCTCTGTATTATCTGCTTTGAAACAAGCTGCTGAAGGCATTTCTCTGAAAAACTCTATGTTGATAAGCTAGAACCAACACATATGATATATACCATCTTGACGTCTGAATCGTTCAACGACTTCAATCTTAAACTTTTTGTGATATATATATATATATATTGTAGACCAATTAAATCCAATTAATTAGTCATTTGTTCAGAGTATATACAGCTCAAACACTGAAACCCTAAGGCCCCACAGATATTGACCATGCCAGGAGCTTAATCGCTGGTTGATTTCCAGATTTGACTTATATACACAAATGTACACTTATATACTCTCTGCAGTAGAATCTCTAGTGTGATGATCTCATGAACTGACTGGAATTCACTGGATATATTTCAACATATTTCAAAAAACAGTAGATCTTGGTGAACCCGTGGTAAAATGGGGCCCTCCTGATGTCCTTTTCTCGGTGTCCCGGCGCTTTCGCCGTGGCCCAAAGCTCCGACACCGCACCCAGCGGCGCCAGCGGCGCTTGGTACGCCGCGGCGGCAGAGGACGCGGTAAGGGCGGCAGAGGAAGCCTCGAAATGTGCCGCCACGCTGGGGACGATGTTCTAGGCATATTAGGGAAATATATGGAAAATCAATGGTGACCTGAGGGAAATATATGGAAAATCAATGGGGACATTAGGGAAACATATGGAAAATCAATGGGGACATTAGGGAAATATATGGAAAATCAATGGGGACATTAGGGAAACATATGGAAAATCAATGGGGACATTAGGGAAATATATGGAAAATCAATGGGGACACTAGGGAAACATATGGAAAATCAATGGGGACATTAGGGAAATATATGGAAAATCAATGACATTAGGGAAACATATGGAAAATCAATGGGGACATTAGGGATATATATGGAAAATCAATGGTGACCTGAGGGAAATATATGGAAAATCAATGGGGACATTAGGGAAACATATGGAAAATCAATGGGGACATTAGGGAAATATATGGAAAATCAATGGGGACATTAGGGAAACATATGGAAAATCAATGGGGACATTAGGGAAATATATGAAAATCAATGACATTAGGGAAACATATGGAAAATCAATGGTGACCTTAGGGAAACATATGGAAAATCAATGGTGACATTAGGGAAATATATGGAAAATCAAACATAATATCATGGAAACTTATGTTCTGGAAACATATTGTGTTTTGGTGATTTGTTTTTTGTTTGTTCATTTCACTTGACATATCAATGGTTTTTGAAATAAACAACTTTAAGTTATGAAACGTGGCAATTGAAGACATTCTTCTTTTATAAACAAAAATGCTACTGTATCTCTTAAAAAATAATGAAGAATGGGGGATATTTCATGGGAAAATGTCCTATGTTAGGATTTTGGTAGGAAAATTGAAGGTAACTTTGCTCTTTTTTTCCAAACATAAAACGCAGATTTGGGGGAAAACACATGGTTTCCCGGTGTCAAGTTCCCCAGATCCCAACCATTGGGGTTTATAACTAAGATAACCACGACTTGAAATGCATTTCATGTTCATATCTAAAGTTGAGTGAAATTATGAGCCAAAATATACCTGGGGGACCCTTCTTGCATCGTTTATGCAAACGAAGGGGGTATAAACATGGGCGATTACCAGCTATGAGTCTATGAGGCTATGAGGGCTAAGCTCAGGGGAATGTGGCGGCCAGGGAAGTTCTCAAGTGCAGTGTTACCTTTTATAGTCAATATAGCCTGTGTAAATATTCCATGAAATATCTCGGCTTTCAGGGCTTACACCCTACGGTTACAAATAAACCAACAATTGCAATCTTCGAGGATAATTCCAGCGAATGCATCCGACAAAAAAATACAAATAACACATACTGTAGATTGAGACACTCTTGATCATCAATCATGGTCATTGAAACAGGAACATCGAACGTTTGTGTATCCGATCAACACCCTACGAACAACTCTGGTTGGTGGTTTCAACCCCTCTGCAAAATATTAGTCAGTTGGGATGATTATTCCCAATATACAGTATGGAAAAATAAAAAATGTTCCAAACCACCAACCAGACTCAGTTCATGCCAATGGGTTGCAACGTGTTGCAACCATAGTTCAACCATTGTTCAGCTTGCACATGTATCGCACCGGTGCAGCCACAGTTATGCATCCAGCATTTGCTGATCGGGGTCTTGTTGAACAGGTCTTGTGTGAACTAGGAGTGGGCCCTAACTCAGAGCCTGCTGCGATTCCTACTGAAGACTTTGGTGATGTCGCTGTCCGAGGGGCTCGTGAAGCCTTGTCCCTTGAGGACGATGACGATGTATGAAACCGTGTCTGACACCGCCTTGGGTTTTTTTAGAAAAAGTGGACTGCTGTGTGTGCAGTTGGCTTCTGGGATGCGGTCATCGGGTTCTGTTCTTTTAGGACCGGTTTCCTTTTTGTTGGGGTAGACGGACCACCAGAAACTGGCGGGGAGGGTCTGCGATGACGTCTTCGGAGGGTTGTGTCCTGGGACTGTGGCTACTGCCATGAGTCGCTTCAACCAACCAACCAACCAACCAACCACTCCGCGTGCAAGTCATAGGATCCCCCAGGGCAGAGCTGAATGAAGTTGGTGAACAATCATGGATTGTCCTGAGCAACATGTATTATGTATATATAACTATATATGTGTATATATACATTATTTATATATATATACACATAATGTAATATATATATATATATATACATAATGTAATATATATATATACATGAAATACATATATATATATATATATACATACATGAATTTCATCATCAGAGATGGTGCTGGAAAGGAGAAAGCATGCTTGGGATTTCATCTGCAGAAAGACTCGCTTGATCTTCAGTGTCACAGTGTTTCGTGACAACCAAGGCTGGCTATGGATTTTGGAGCTGAACCTTACCCTCTGGTAATAGCTATAGCAGCTATGGGAAATCACCATTTTTAATAAGTAAATCAACTATAAATAGGCCATTCTCAATAGCTATGTTATTTTACTGGAGGGTCTGTGGTATGAAACCAGCCCAAAAGACTTGTGCCATTTCAAGATTCTGCTTAAAACAGGTGTGTTGAGCTTGGTGTTTTGGGTCAGCGATCAACTCTTGATGTAAAAATATTGGTTCCCGTTTCAATTCGGGAAATTGCCTAAAATCGAATTTGCATCATCTCAGGATTCAGGATATATTTCTGACATGAACAAACTGCAAACAGTAGTGAATAATAGCACACACACACATATATATTACATGTATATATATATATAATGGAAAATTCTAGAGTCACATGGCAATATTCGAGAACATGTTGTTCCTGGTTGAAAACAATCAGGGGATGACTCAGTGGAAATAGTTGTTGCTCCCATCAGACATGATGATTGGGTTTACCACATCAAGCAAAAACACTGTGCTAGGTGGTTCCGCCAAGTTATAGCTTGATTTATAAATCCATCAACTATAGTTAAAGGTTTTATAGGTTCTTTATACCATAAACCCAACAGTTATTGGAATTACACTGAAGAGTATAGCTCAAACTTAGCTAACCAACAAATCCCATTCAATCCCACTAAATTACCATTTACCCACTTGAGTATCGTAAACGGGGTCCTCACCTTGTACCACACAAAAAATCCACCAGGACTTCTTGCCTCTAGCCTTGCTTCCCGCGCGGCGCCAATCCTCGGGGTAGATTGGAAAACCCTGACAAGAATCGACAAGTGCTGGGGGTAAAACCTACTTCTAAGCGCTTATTTTCCACTTCAAATGGTTGCATCAATTACCCCAGAAGAAAACGTTAACGTTCCCACATCCATGTTACAATGTGAGGCCCCCCAGTGATGTTAGTTGGTTTAGATTCGCCCCAGTAACTATAGTTATCTGGTTGGTGGTATACCTACCCCTCTGAAAAATATGAATGTCAGTTGGGATGATGACATTCCCAATATATGGAAAGTCATAAAATTCATGTTCCAAACCACCAACCAGACAAATATGGAGAAAAAGCTGGGAAAGCGTTTTCAATCAACTTAGTTCAAAATTGGGAAAACCTCATCAGCCTAATCAACATCACCATACACCATAGTTGGAGTTATTTGCACCAACGCTTCACGCGATTTCGTGGCCGGGGGCCCCGGGGGCCGTGGGGGGCCCCATGGGCCCCATCCGGAAACGTGGCATGATGCCAAGGAACTTCATAAAACGACCGAATCAAAAAAAAAAAAACTCCCAACATGGCGGTTTCGCTTCTACAGTTAACTGTTTTTTTTTTGGAATACAAAGATACTACAAACATATTGAGGACCAAGCAATGAATCGCATTTCGTGTTTCTGGGTTCGAATAGGTTGGATGTGTGTTTTCTGCTGTTTTTGTCTGCCTTAAGGACAACAGCAAAATCAAAATAACCAAAGCCATTATCTTTAAAGGACAATCATCTATAGACAATAATCATGAGTAATATACAATTAACGGTAATATATAATATAAAATGAAATAATTTCAAAAGTGTATAATATACTTCGACATCTAATGACATCTACATGTTACATATATATATACATGTACATACAGAAAAAAAACACGCTAAGGATTTCCCAAAGAACCCCCCTCATCAATCTATCTGCCAAGAAACGGCAGAGTAAGGTCCACATCTGTGCTAACCTCCTGCGAAATTGAACAATCCATTGAGTCGGTTCATGACAGGGAGAGCGCTGGGAAAATGATGGATCTACCAGGAAAACATGCCATTTTCAGAGGACAAATTAGATGCCAAATGTGTAAATAAAAACCTATGACAAAGCTTGGACTTTTCTGCAAAAAAGAACATGAACGTCAGAGTCAGAGGTATAATGGGGACATAGTGAGATATTGGTGGAATATTCATTGGATGTTAATGGGATATATATATATATGTATAGTATATAACCAACAATACATGTTTTCCCATGGGAGTTGCCATGGAGATATGATGGGAGTTGCTACGGGGATATCATTGAGAGTTCTATGGACCTGTTTCATCCTAGAGCGAAAACAGCTACCCATGAATCTAGCAAAACAAATTGTATACATTATATATATATATATATGTATATATATACATATAACATATACATATGAAAAAAACACGTTACCACTTTATTTCCCCACCAGGTATTTGCGTATCTAACACCAGTTGTTGCAACACCAGAGTCCTTAAACAGCGTGACACAAACTCGTATCTTTATCGCCAGCAACCTTTTTCACCAGTTGAATCAATGGCCATTTCAGGAACCTAAATTGGAGGTACCTACCATATATGAGGCCTATGTAAGGCCTATGTAAGGGAATATCCCCACAAAATATAGCCTTATATGGTACAGTACCTCCATTTTAGGATCCTGGAATTCCCATTGAATAGATATAGTCAGAGAGGGGGACCGTGGTCATCTCTACTAGTAACAGCATGTCTTTTGGCATCCATATGCTGTCGTTGGGATCAACCATTTCTGCTTTACTTCCTCAAATGACCATAAATTTGCCCATGAAGCAACCGATGGTGCACAGCCAATTTCTGTTCAGGAACATCTACCGATGGTGCATGAAGCCCGGCAGTCTCTGCCCCGGAAGGTATCCAACCGCTGCCAATCCAACATGATCCAACCCACTTTGCCGAAGAGATCTTAAGCTGCTGCTCAACACTGGAATCAATCCTGACACGGACTCAAACGACTGCCAAGCTTGATCACAACTCAATGTTTCACGAGTTAAACGAGAGAAGGTGTTCCTTGCTAGAGGTGTTTCTCCCTTGCTTGGTTCAATGTTCTATGCTTAAGATCCAGTATTTCCGCACCGTCCTCAGAATTCCGATTTCTCGGACACCTTTCCCTTTGAACCCATCCAATATTACGTAAAATCTTTCTACATTGCACCTGTATATATATATATATGATTATATACAGATACATATAATATATATATATATATATACATATATTATTATATATCCAATATTATCCAATGGTATCCCTACAACATCATCATTGGACCCTCTGGTAAACTAACATAACTATGGAACATCACCATTTTTAGATGGGTAAATCATGGTAAATCAACGAACTAAATGGTCACTTTCAATAGCTCCGCTATATCAACCGGTGATTTTTCGACGATCGTCTCTCCCTCGGATTTTTCAACCCCCCCTTGATGATTTCCGGTGAAAATTCATGGTGCAGTGAAATTCATGATGGCCTTGCCGCAAACCGCGAGTAGTGAAGATAGTTAACCTACTCATGAAGCAACAGAAAGCTACCGGTAATCAAACATATGGCAATGGGGAATCATCTATGAAAACATCATCCATTTAAATAGTGGATTTTCCAGCTATGTAGCCATGTTTGACCACCAAGGGGTAAAACTATGGTAATGAACACGTAAGTTGAGATACATATAATCTCAAAAAGAACTATCTATATATGGTTATATAATGTTATAAGTCATAACTGTTATATATATATAATCAAACCCCAGAAACTGAATAGGGCAGCACCAAAAAAGCGATCATGTCTTCTAGCTGAAGTCCCATCAAAGTGAGATCCCTCTAGGAAACACCTCAATTCTATGGTCTCAAATATGTGTATTTTTTTTTTGTAGTAAAGCACTATGAAATAACCTCCACGCGATTGTAAATTTTAGATGTGCTATTTAAGTCAAAAAAGGTAAAATTACATCCCCATAGGATCCATGGTGCTGGTTTTTCTATGCTAACAACCATGGGGTATATTGATGGGATCCATGGAGCACCATTTTTCTAGCAGCACCGTTAGGATCCGTCATGGGATCAAGATGACAAATTACATGTTGGTAAAATTACATCAAATTACCCTCTGGTAAACGTTTACATAACTATGGAAAGATCCACCATGTTTAATGGGAAAATCCACTATTTCTATGGCCATTTTCTATAGCTTTTTGTATGTTTACCAGGCCGGGTACATCAATTACAGGTTGAAACTTGCCATGGTGGATCCCAAGATGTTTTTCCAACATCGGCATAGCGGGATGGGACGATCTCGATCCCTCTCCTGAGCCTCCAAGATCCTGGGGCGGCAGCGACGTTTCGACGTGCGTTTCTGGTGCGGTCAATGAAAAATGGGTGATGGATTGATGGATTGACAGCAAAATAGAGATTGAATTTTTCAATTACCCTCTGGTTATGTCAAAATAGCTATTGAAAATGACCATTGAAATAGTGGATTTTACCATTAAACATGGTGATTTTCCATAGTTATGTTAGTTTACCAGAGGGTATTCAATTATATTCAATTGACCAAAATCAGGGATGAATCATGATGAATCAACCAAACATTCCCAGCACATGAGAGCTTAATCAAGCAACATCTGGCTCATAACCGAGTAACACTGGGATTTTCTGGACTTGGAGAAGGCTGGAAATATGGTTTATTCCATTGAATATCACCACTTCATGAGATTAAATCCCAAAGTTTGCAGGTCTTAAAAAAATAGATGGACACAATTGGACATATATATATATGTATATATATATATACACATGTTTACTATTTTGACATGTGCAGCAAGATCAAACGCGCCTGACTTGTTTCGGCGTCTCCGGCTTTTCCACCTACGAGGCATGGCCACTAGGTGCCGGGAGGCATGGCCACCGTGGCAGAGTTTGCTAGTGAAGCCACACTTACCCTGTGGTAAACAAACGAACATAGGTATTGAAAATGGCCACAAAAATGTTGATTTACTCTTTAAAAATGGTGATTTTCCAAAGTTGTGTTAGTTTACCAGAGGGTATTGCGCAAAGTTTCAGTGGATTTCCGTTGTTTAGCAAATATGTTTTCATGGTTAGAGGCTAGAAATGACCAGATTTTTTTCGGTCCGTTGGTACTCATGTTTTGGTTGTAGCATGTCAAGAATAAGCGCTCACAAAATGGGGCCACCACACAGCATGGCAAGTAAAGTTGAAGAAAATAAATACCATCTCAGCTTCAATTTTTCAAGTGGACCCTGTCCCTTGAACACTGTGTCTCTTCCCCACACATGTTGTCAACATGTACAGACCCATAGGTGACTGACGAAACCTTTCATCCAAAAGATTCAGCCATCTTCTCTGTATTCATTTCAAGTGGCCCAATGATGCAAGTGGAACCCCCCAGTGTCACAGTCAAATAAGGAAATAACATCTGTATATACAGCTCTTCCCATTCATAAGTGGGTTATGCCATTGTTGCTGGACCCTCCAAATATCCCAAAGAATTGGTAAAAGTACGAAACTTTTGCAGTAAAACACAGTTTATGGGTACTGAGAGGGTCTAGGTCTAGGTATACTTACGGCATGTTTTCTGGCTATTTTACATAGCTATGGATGATTTAAAATGATTTACCCATTAAACACATATAAAAACAATGTTGATTTTCCAGTTCGATACGTTAAATTGCTAGAAAGTATATATAGGCACTTACTACTATAGGTATTATTATAATCAGTATGATGTCTATATTTGAAAACATAAAATATAATATAATAGAACAATAATTATATATATAATAATATATTACAATAACATAAAATATTACAATAACACACATATATATATATAATAACGTATAATGATAATAAACATATAACAATTAATATCATGATATAATATGATATAATATCAACATATGTTGACATAATATTAATATAACATAATCGGCATAATATAATAGTAATACATATACATACTGGTTGGTGGTATACCCACCCCTCTGAAAAATATGAAAGTCAGGTGGGATTATGATTCCCAATAGGATGGGAAAGTCATTCAAAATTCCATGGTTCCAAACCACCAACCAGATATATATATATTAATCATTGATTATCATTATTAACCATTGTTAACCACTATTAACCAGTATTAACCACTATTAACCACCAAATTTCTCACCAAATTACGGCATGTTTCACCCAACTTCGTCGGATGGCCCCCACCTTGGTCGAGGTGGTTGCCGACAACGAGGGTTTAGGGTCTTGCTGAGGGGCCTGTGTTTTTTTGAACCGCAACGGGAGACGGTGGAAATGTCACTTAAGGCGATGGGGGAAAACAGAAAATGCATGAAAATACATGTGGCAATACATGGAAATTCAAAGTCTTCTTTAACCAAATAAAAAACACTTGATACACATGGAATATGGAAAACACATCACAATCTGTGCTCATTTCGTCAAAGGAAGGCCATGCAGAATGCATGAACATGCAATATCTGCATGAATTTCGTTCGAAAACTGTATTAAACACATGGCCTTCTATCAGGGATGTACCACATGGATAAAGCCAACTTGGCTTCCTTCGTCGAGTTTCAGGTCACTTTTTTATCCCCCGCCACAAAATACATGGCCTCCTTCAAACTTGGCCATGTTTGGCATGATTCCTACAGTTATGGCCCGAAATACCAGTTATACGTACTAACATAACCCCATTTATAGAATGTATAATCCCACTGAAATAACCAGTTATAACTGATAAATGGCCATAACTGTACCAGCCAAAATTTACGGACTTTGATCATCTTTGATCCTTGTGAGCGCAAATTTCATTGGATCTCCAAGATGACTCTCCCACAATCTCCCACTGCCTGCGGTTGCAACTGCTGACTAAGCAAGTCCATCATGCTCGCCACGTCCTGGTAGCTCAAGGCATGGGGGGATCATGTTTTCTCAACCGCCATACATGGGGGAACAACCAAAAAACAGAGGAATTGGACATAGTTGGGAGGTTCAGTCCAAGACATATATGCCATTATATGCCTAGATAATCTAGATAGCTGGTTGGTGACTTACTTGTTAAACACCTATGATTTGTGGATGTGGGGGATGTAGCTATATACACTTAAAAAACATGGCTTTTCTCAAGCAACAAACATTTCACTGGGAAGAATCTCACCTTTCCGTGATGCAAAATCAAAGGATCCAGGTCGAAATCGATGGGACCTCTGGATATCTCCCAGTGACAGGAACATCCCATGCTTGGTTGGTGGTTGAGCCACCGACCAAATCAATGGTAATTTTTGAAAAGTCACCATCAATTTACCATTGATAGATTAAATATCATCTGGTTGGTGATCATATACCTACCCCCTCTGAAAAATATGACTATGAGTTCGTCAGTTGGGATGATGACCTTCCCAACTGTTTCTGGCAAGTCGTAAAATTCCATGGTTCCAAAGCACCCACCAGAATACTGTGACTTGTTTGTTCTATCACCATTTTTTATGCGGGCTTTTTTCTATTACTGAGACATCAGGTAAAATCATGGCATCTCCTAATGCAGTGAACAGTTCAGCCATTTGGGGGTGATTCCCCCTATTGAATCCAATTGCCCGCATCCAAATGGTGAGGTCAAAAAATCGCATCGTTTCTTCATTTTGAAATCGAGTTGCTAAGTTGGTTTTGCATATCCCAATTTTATCTAAAATGATTATCGTTTTTTTTTGGGATATGAATCAGATTTTTGTTCCCCCTATGTTTGGGATATGATAATTTATGGGATAATCCAATAATTTTGTGGATAAATTTATGGGATATTTTGCTTACAGTTATGGCCCGAAATACCAGTTATAAGTACTAACATAACCCCATTTATAGAATGTATAATCCCACTGAAATAACCAGTTATAACTGATAGCCATGGCCATAACTGTACCTTGTCCATCCTTGTCCAAATGATTTGTTTTTTTCGGATAAGTTATAACTGATAAATGGCCATAACTGTGGGATAATTTGCTTACAATCTCCCAGAAACATTTTTCTGACAGGAACCACGTCCGCTCCATTCCTCATCGCAGGACGTGGCCACCGTCGCGGTGGATTTCGGCTCCGGCTTCCTCCGGCTAGATGGGTTTCGCGTAGCTTTTTGGGGGAGATCTTGGAGAGGGAAAATGCTTCATTTATAGCGGAAAATGCTACAGTTATGGCCCGAAATACCAGTTATAAGTACTAACATAACCCCATCTATAGAATGTATAATCCCACTGAAATAACCAGTTATAACTGATAAATGGCCATAAGTGTATGATACCCAGAAAATTATGCAAATTTGTATGGAATCTTTACCAACATTTGCCCTAAAAAATGCCCAACTGCAGGTTTTTATATGCCATACATGGAACATCTGGCCATACATGGAACATCTGGGATATGGAAACCCTCCGGTTGACATAATGGAAAGTGGCTCATTGACATGTCAGATGTCCCAGTGAGTTTGATGCTTTACCGTTAAGAACGGTTATTTTCCAGAGAAAAATGTTGAAGGACGAGCCAGGGTAAGCAATGGCAATCGACTATGGGATGGCTATCCCATCTGTCCCATCCCACTTGTGCTTGATCTTGATAAACAAATATGTAGAAGTTAAGGTCTGGAACAACAACATGCGCGAAGATCCAAGAAAAATAGGTGAAGATTGGATGAAAAAGCCACTAAAGTCTAAAATATTAGGTCATTAAGATAGGAATCAAAGCAACAGACGCAGGGTATCCCCACCTATTCATCCATGAAAATGCTTACATATCACAAGGCGTGGCCTCAGTTTGAAGTTTGTTTATGTACCCATTACCCTCTGGTAAACTAACAGTTTGCTATTCAACATGGCCATTGAAATAGTGGATTTACGCATTAAAAGAGGTGATTTTCCATAGTTATGTTAGTTTACCAGAGGGTAACTATAGTTGCATCCCCAAACCCGAACGTTAACCAAGAGAACTGTGCGCCAACTTAGGTATCCTTTGAGGGCCACACCAGACGAATATCATGGTACCATGGTGGTAAAATATGGTGGTATCATGAGGAAATGGTGGTATTGACTGTGGAATTATACAACCATTAAGATGATGTATTTGGGCGGATAACGCTCGTATCATTTGATATTAGCAAGATAATTGTTCAGATATTCGTACAGTGGGACTGGAATAGATAACCAACATCATATTATATATGAGTGTGTGGGAAAAATCGTGCAACCCCAAGTTATGGCAAATCTGATGGGACAGGAATGATGAACCTTAAACATGTGATTTCACCATATCATATCATATCATATCATATCATATCATATCATATCATATATATAGGATAGTTTGACATCAACCCACGGCAAGCCAAATACAACAGGACATGCTGAAACTCATCTGCATGAGAATTAGCAACACTGCAAAGTTTGACACGTTTTAGCAGAGGAGTTTTCACCAGGAACCACTCATTTAGTTATTTCTCTGGCACTCCCCCTTATCCAACCATGGTTTAGTAGTGGATCAAAATCGTGGCCCCAGTTCACATCCCAAACATGCCGCCAGAATCAGAATGTTCATGTAGCTAGACTGCCCAAGTACCCATAAAAACTTGTGCAGAATCTGGGTATTTTTGGTTGTATTTTGTGCAGTACTTGGAGGATCTAGGAAAGGATGTGGAGTCAAAACAACAAAATCCATATTTTGATGGTCCTTGAGTTAGTCTAGTAACCAATATATCTTGATTGAAAGCTGAATAAACCATAGTTTTATAACGACCGTATGCTACTGCACCTACTGTTCGACGTTATTGTAGATAATTGAGAATTCTTAGTGGTTGTAGTCATCCATA